ACATGATGCAACAGGTGACCTTCTCTAGATTTATTTTACAGCTCTGGCTGATTGCATCACTACCACTGCAGGGTGGTTACGGGTATCACACACCAAGAATTCCTTAAAATTTCAAACCTCTAGCATACCTCTACAATGCACTGGCGGGAGGGGTGGGGGGGGTTACAGTAACACCTGTGGGTAGTGAGCGAGACACCACCTGGTGTTGGGCGTCGCAGAGGGGATGCAGGATACAACACATTGTTAAAACGTTTCTTGATAAATATCCTGTTCACTGGTAGACACATAATTCATTTACTAATTATTATTAACATTAGCACCTTCCATGACGGGCTAGGGGCCAATGAGGTAGTCTCTGTCGGCAGCCAAAGGTGTGTGTGTTTGTGTGCGTGTGTGTGTTGAGGGCCGCGTGTTTTGACTCTCGTCGTGCCCTGCTTTTGCTGCTTTGTCTATCAAAGCACGCTGTGAACTTTGTTTTTAAAGGTGCTATATGAACAAAAGTTTTTATTTTTTTATCACTACCTCCCGTGGCAATTCCCAAATACCAAACTGTGCTTTCAGGAAAGTAAAAGTGTACTTTTTTTTGACATTATGTCCCAGAATGCCACCGTTACCTCTCAGGTCACTCAAGTAGGGTTTTATATTTAGCCTTTAACCTGTGATTGGTACGAGCGAAGTGTTGTTTTCCCTGCGCTTTGCGGCCGCGTGAAGCAAAGCGACCTGCACAGACCTGAGGCAGGGCAGCACCGCCTTTCGTGGTAACGGCTTAACTTTACCGCTGGACAGAACATAAAGGTGGCTGTGTCCTCTCGACTCCGTTTGCATGCACGTGCGAAAAAAAACACAAACACACACCAGTCTGGTTTGCGACATGTGCGATGTAAACACCTATTTTTTTTATTGATGTGTGAGTGTTTGACTGAACGCTGCGGGGGAATTCATTATAAAGTCATTACCACAATGGAATAACTCTCATTTCTCTAGTTTACTAAACCGCAGAGACACCTTGTCGTTTAGCCCCCCTCCTGAAAGACATAGTATGAATTGACAGTATGAATCTGTGATTTTGAATCTCTCTGAGGAACTCGAGCCTGGAGAACAGGAAACAAGATAACATGTATGTGTGCGCATATGGGTGTCAACTATGTCAACACAACTGTTGAGGAAAGCTTTTATCAGCGTTACACCTGCCATTGACAGATACCGCGCCACACGTGGTGCGGTGAACGCAAACTTTATGTTGTGAGTTATTTGAACAAGGGATTCAAATGAAACGAGCCCTCAATCGTGTGCACGCCATGTCTCTTGAATTAAGGAACAAATTACTCAACTGACATTTAGCAATGACAGTTGGGGAGCCAAAGTACACACAGACGGGCGAAGAATGCAGCTACACTCATATAGATACGCATAGCCTTCTGTGCTGCTGTGGGTGTGTTTGGTTTTGAGCACACAAAGTCTTTGACTGGAAGCAGAAGAGGATCTGGGTTGCATGCAGCAGGATTTGACATCGGCTTATTTCCTGTCATTGAATGTGGGTCACATGGCGAGTGCGTGGGCGCGAAATAGTGGAATGCATTAAAGGAGCGAGGCTCTTGCCACCGGACGCACAGTCTCTCACACACACACACACACACACAAAGAGCAGGACCTTGTGACGTTTTTGCATTATACACACACTTAGGCATATTGAAACACACTCTTATGTACTGATGTTGAAAGTTTTGGGTGGAGAAATGCAAGACCTCTTTGAGAGATTCGCATTGACTCAACTTTCGCCCCTCGGGTCAAACGCTCGCTTGGTGAAGTCAAGGTGTTGTGCAGGCAACAACAGTCAGATCCAGCGAGAGATAGAAGGGTTCAACGGTGCAGCTGTAAAAAAAAGAAAAAAGAAGTGCTATGCGCATGAGGAAAAAGCATGAGGCCTGCATCCACCCACGCACACAGACAATGCAGCGTGTGTGTCCAACTTTCTACTTCCCACTGTTCACAAATCTTTGCGTGTGAATGAAACTTTGTCATCCAATCAAATCACTCACTGGCCGCACAGACATCCACGCCCCTTTTCTTTGCTGCCTCACTGCTCCACTTAACCCCACTCCCTCTCAGTCTGTTGTCCTCTTTCAGCTATACGTAAAACATCTTGTCATATGAAGCCTATGTAGAATTTGAAGTTGTCATCCGAGGCGTGACATCCTCTTATCTGCAACACTCAAAAGGCAAACGCGGTGCGCGGCTGCTTCTCGTTTTGGTCGCGCAGTCGTCGACGGCTCGTGCGAGAGTGTGAAATGTTCTTTACCATTACTTTAACTGGTGTTGCATGTAGACTGTCACAGATGTGTTCGTCCTGCATGTCCACGGCCTCACTGAAGATATATAGGGCGCTTGAAACATAACAACCCAGCTACAGTTGTGTTTAAAGTTTCAGTGGACAGAAATATGCATGGGAGCCCAGAGTCACATTTGACCGCTGACACCCTATGTGGCCCCACTGTAACGACTACTCCAGACACACACACACACACAAGCACACGCGTGTGCCAATAGCGTGGCCTTGATGTGGGCTGGTGTGCTGTCTGCTCTGAGTATCTGCAGCTGGAGGCCAAGGCTGCTGGAGGAAAGGAGGAATGAAAGAGGAGAAGAGGAAGGATCGCTCAGGGAGGCAGGAGAAGAAGAAGGAAAAAACACTGGTGCAGAGGAGAAGATACATACGCGGTGGAGGGAAAAGACGATCACGATGATCAAGACGGGCCAACGCGACACGGAAACGACTGAGGAGGGGTTTGGGTTGGAATAAATCATCAGTAGGAAAATGATTTCTTGCTGCAAGAAGAAGGACAAACGAGGTGATGAGGACGAGGTGGTGGAGAGAGGTGGTGGTAGTCGTGCTGAAGCGGGGCAACAGTCAGCAAGGGAGGCTTAATGTGACATGTTTTAATACAGCAAGGGGGATATGTAGCTGTGGGCCTGCGTGTGTCCAAAAAGGCCTTGAACGTAACTCGAGCAAGAGCAGATTGACAAAAAATGTCAGATAGATCCTGTTGATTGTTTCGTTCATGATAATGTACTAAGAGAAGAGAGAGATGCGACCTACTGTCGTCTTGTCACTACTGCACATCCAAACTCAAATCTCTAGGACATTTCATCCAGCAATTGGTGCATAAGTCACAAAATCAATGCTGGATCAACGTTTAGAACTAATCACTCACCACAGTGATTTGCAGGTCGAAAGGTCACAGTATAAGTCATGTCAACCCAACCCGTCAGCCCCAGTGTTTGTCTTTCTCAATATCCCCCGGTCTTATGCCAACATGTTGTTCCCTTTTAAAGATATTCTGATGAATTCACAATTACCTAATTTTGTCTCATTTTCACTTGACAATAAAAAACAGTTGTCAACAACATGACAATACTTTAAGTGACAGGGAAGTACAAGGTCTGAAATGTTAAAAGAAAACGCTTCTCACTTTTTGATAATAATAAAAGACACCGGTGAGGCTAATCTTACTCAAGCCTGCTACAACTGATAAAAACTAAAAGCAACCAATCTCAAACCAATTTGCATCCTACGAATACACACTAATTGGATTCATAGGGGGTCGTTGTGGCGCAGGGGTTAGAGAAGGTGTGCTGGGAAGCACAAGGTTGAGTCCAGGCTGCCCCATGTTCCATGTCGAAGTGTCCCTGAGCAAGACACCTAACCCCTAATTGCTCTCTGGGCAAAAATGTAAAAGCCACTGGTTTAAAGTGTAATGTAAGTTGCTTTTTTGCTAAATGACCTGTAATGTAATATAGTCGGTTGGGTCCACTGCCCCATCGCCTCGCTCTGTCTAGTAGATGGTGCACTGACCCCATCTAAAGGTGGAGAGTAACCTTGCAGGTCCTGTTTCATAAAGGTACGAGATAATACAATGACTCTTTTCTCTATATTACAACACATTTACAATTTTGAGATCATTTCGATTGCATTCATGAAAAATATCCCACAATAGCAAAATGTCAAATCTTCCAAATCACATGTTCTCTCTAACAGATACTGCATAGTTTTATCAGTTCCACAGTAAACGGACATCCAGTGGAGTGCTTGACAGCAAAAACAACAACAATCAGTGTATTTAATGGTGCCATCACCAAACTAGGCACTCATTAACAAAACCTACAATGGCATGATTCATTCAATGTGCAGTTCGCTCCCCACGTCCTTTGAGATCCTGATCGTGGAGAAGAGTGTGTGTTTAAGTCTTTAACATGTGACTGTTTTGTGCCTGCTTGTGTTTTTCTCTTGCACATGGAGACGAAGCTTGAAAACACCAGCTTTTTGCAAATGATTTCACACACATGACCAGCGTTAAAATGACATCCCTGGCGACACAAATAATTCTTTGTATTGCACCAATGAATACAACTTGCTGGACCCGAGGTAACAACAGATTTCCCTCCAGTTTTCTGTCCTAGAATGAGGTCTGTAAAATGTCCCGCCTGTATCTTGAAGGCATTTGAAAGGTCGGTGATGCATGTTGTTGGTAAGTTGTTCCTCGGTCACTTTTCTCTCTGTCTTTCCCGCCCCGAAGGCTCTGTAACTCCACCGAACAGAGTGACGAGAGCGGTTCAGATCTCTGGTTGCTCGCTCTCTCTTGGTTTCACAGCCTCGGGGACTGAAGCGGCAAACAGCTCCTGTGTCATGCTGTAAAGACTCTACTCTCCTTTTACAGTTGTATGCCTCAGTGTCACTTTGCCAGAAACCGTGTGTGAGGTTGTGTGTGTGTGTGTGTGAGAGAGAGAGAGAGAGAGAGAGAGAGAGAGAGAGAGAGAGAGAGAGAGAGAGAGAGAGGGGGCCACGCTGGGCCCGTCTCCCTGCCAGGTGAACCTCTTCCTTCTCCCGGTGTCTCATGGGAGGGGCCTTGGCGGCGTGCAGGCTAAAGCCTGTTCCTCTTATTTCCCTGGCAAATGTTATGACCACAACCAGTCACATTTCTCTCCTCCTCCTCCTACTCCTCCTCCACCATCTCTTTCTCTTCCACTCCTCTCCTCCTTCCCACATCCCTCACTCCCTGCCTGCCTTCCTGCCTGTCTGTCACAAGTCCCACATTTCCCTGGAGAGTGAGATGCCATGGAGGCCGGAGGAAGAACAGCGCTGTGTGTCTGCTCTATTCTCTTCATGCTGACAGGTGAGCCTTCAGTTGCCGCGAAGGCCTGTTTTGGTGTTTGTCAGTGTTGCGTTGGTGCAGCTACAGCCGTTTACTGGGGTTGCCGTGTTTTTCTTGGTTGTCGCGGTGATGCTGAATCCAGCAAGGCATTTGTGGTACGCAGTAGCAAAAGGTGAACTTGTGAAATCCTTTTGTCTTTGGAAGGTTTCAGGACAGAGAAGCAGTAATGTAATGGAGTTGCAAAATGTAAAAGTGGTGAAGAAACTCCCTGTGTGTTGTTGCGTTTTAAACACTTGGCTTTGTAGTGTTGTAACAGTTTGGGAAAAAACATCCCTAAATCCTTCCTCCATCTTCTGCCTTTTTCAATTTTCAAAGCTGTCCTTTGAAAGTTTACCCTGGTCTGATTTGCATGAGCTCTCCATAATCATCACAGGACAGAATTAGCTTTTCTTTCGTTTCCTGCTATAAGGAAGGCCATAAGTCGGGTGCTGGTGGAAAGAAGAAGTGGCACAGCTCTGTGACTCAGTGATAACAGACATGATTTCCCCGCATCGCCCGATGAATCTAAAAAAAGAGAAAAAGGTCCCTGACACGCGGACTACCCACTTTGAGGAACACGATTTGTCTTATCTGACAGAGGACAGACGACTGTTGGCATTTCGACACGCACCGGGGGAACTTATTTAGCATCCAAACAACCCGGATGAGTGCGTGAGGGGGACAACAGGCAGGTGCTTGTGAGTCTCAGATAGCTGTTTGAATGTGTGTGTGTGTGTGTGTGTGTGTGTGTGTGTGTGTTTCTACTAAATGAAGATATCCTCTCAGCCATTGTCACCGTAATCTCCATGGTATCGCCACAACAATATCCGCGTTGTTTAGGGGACAACAGCGAAGGAACGGGCTCGGCACACTCCTCCTCGTTCTGCCTTTTCACCGGATCTCAGCTGGTGTAAACACAGGCACACTCCGGCCACTGTCCACACACACACACACACACACACACACACACACAAACATGAACTGCCCTGCAGGCCTTAAAGGGTGGAACGTGTCGATGGGGCGTCTGCATTATTTAGGACGCCAGACACACAGAGAAACTATTGTGATGAGCGTGAAAGGCAGCGATCACCGGGGACCTGTCTGAAAACAGCTGGATGTCTCCAGGGGGGAGGGGAGGGGGGTGGACGGGTCAGAGGGGGGAAGAAAAGGGGTATGTGACAAAAAGAAAGAGATTAGAGGGTCAAAATATGGTTCAAAGTTGATATTCTGAGTTCACCCTCTGATGTATCGTTCAAGATTTTATGGCATGAGATGTGAGACACCTAAATAAAGTGAGATCTTAGAGCAAATGAACAGTCTCATGGCCGTTTTCCACCTCCCCCAAGTCCTCCAATGCTGCTACTGAGAATGAGGACGGGCAGCCAGAAGTGAGACAAAGGGACACAAGTTAGAGAGAGTTTTTTCAGTGAGTTTGTTTCACAGTAGCTGCCTACTCACATGCTGCCGCTTATCTCAACCTGGCATCCGAATTCAGTCGCTCACTTTTTAACTGCAAACTGTGACAAAATAGTAATACCCAGAAAGGGAAGTTTGTAGTCGTGTAAACAATTTTGCAAAATGAAACTATCACCAATTAATGATCCTTTAAATGTAATGTGTGGGAGAGTTAACGTGTGAGGTAAAACCTGAAATGATAATCTGCTGAGAAACAGACGTGTCTCCTCCTTTTCTTGGTGTTTACCGTTGTGGGAGGGGCTTAATCTGCTAATTTCCACCACATTTGCCAAAACACCAACTACCCTGGCAACCACAGCCAGATCTTTAACGGACACATCAACGGTCCTGCGGTTATCTTCATCCAACCCAAGTGATCGTTGAACGAGTCGACATCAAAGAGACGGGCCTCGTCCTCGTCTGACAACAATGACAACCTGCCGCGAGCTGGGTCAATATTAACTCACTGCCGTTTCAGGACCTGGATCATATGAAGACGAGGGTTATAGACTAAGAGACTAGTCAGACAAACTGAAATGGGTTCATCTTTAAATGAAAATATCCCAATGGTGCTGTCATATTGGTGTTTCTCCCAGTAGCTATACGCTGTAATTCTCATAAACACTCATATTTGTTCATGAAAGGACAAAGACACAAAAGATCTATTTGTTTGTGCGGTGGTGTAGCTTACCAGACCAACACATTAGCATAAGGTATGTATGCAAGTATGCATAGAGATACCTGCATTGACCCTAACCATCCGATCTAAAAGACAAAATATATAATATATAATATTAATAACATATAATATTATTCAGCTGCTCTTTTTCCCTTTTTAAATTCTTTTAGTTTTGCTCAATTCAAATTTTTGGCTTACTTCCTGGTTTTGATTCACTTTGACCGCTCTCATGGCAGCTGTTTTCAGTGGGAAATACTTACTATACTTTAATAATAATAACGTAATAAAAATAATTTTATTTTGAAATACAGGGAGATATGCATGGGAACAGAAACCCACAGCACCTTGGGTATTCATCTCTACAATTACCTAATTATTCAAGATCATCATCAACTAGTTACCTAAAAGCGATTGTATACTAATTATATTTGTTTCCCTCCTCCTCCTCTTCTTTTACCACCTCAGACGTCAGCCCCGACTTCATCCACGTCCCTCTCTCCATCCATCATGGCATTGAAGGCGAATCCGTCCTCCTCTCGGTTGAGACTCGCTTCCCGCTGGACGACGTTGAGATCCAGGGTACTTGGTCCCACACTGGGCCGAGCGGCGTCAGAACCACGTTGGTGACGTTTAACAAAGAGACCACAATCACTGACATGACGTACCGCGACCGCCTCCTCTTCAGAGGACCCAACGTGTCTCTGCTTATCCATGAATTGCACCAGGCCGATGAGGGGGATTACCACCTGAAACTCAACATAGCGTTCCATAACGAGACAGGGCTGGTCATCAAGGAGGAGAGAACTGTGCACGTGACCGTGGACGGTGGGTGCCTCCCTGCCACGTCGCCATCATCGGTCGGATGTCGTCCGTGGACTCGGGCGTAACTTCTTTTGTCTACTCCTCAGTCCCCGTCTCCACTCCGGTCGTTGAGAAGAGCCCGTCGTACGCTGTCGTTGAGGACAAGGCAAACGTGACCTGGACGTGTTCTGTGGAGCGAGGGACGAGAGTCGTGTTCCAGTGGCTGCGGGACAACGTCGCGCTGGATCTCCGGGACGGATACCGCTTCTCCCGGGACAACTCCACGCTGGTGATCGCTCCCGTGAGGAAAGAGGACAGGGGGAGCTACCGCTGCGTGGCCGGCAACGCTGTCAGCCGGGGGCGAGCCAGCAGGGCCGTGGAACTCAACGTGTACTGTGAGTATCCATCGGAGTTCTCCTTTGGTGTGGTGAAGAATAAGCCCGCAAGCAATTGCAGTGGGGTCCATTTAATATTTTGTTCTATAATATAAGGGGCTGAACATTGACGTCTCCCAGCCAACAACTTCTCAAACGTAAGACTTTGATAAATAGTTTTATTGGGAATGTAGCTGCGATGAACACAAAAAATGATGGTTTACAACTAAATGAACCAATACCGTAGAAAGCTGTTGTTTTTCTCTTTGCTCTGTAGTAGGTCACATTTAAATGTCATTGATGTCAGACTACTTTCTGACAACTGTGAACATGTGACTGTTATGGGTATTTGCATGCGGGCGGGCTTATCTCACAGAGCTCCTCTGTTGTGCCGTGAAGCAGGTAGATAACCTCAGAGTTATTCTACGGATTCATTTGAATTTGTTTTAATTTTCACAAAACGTGTTTTTCTGTTTTGATGGGACATAAAGGATTTTTGTGACACAATCTGTTCCAGCAGGAAGTAGATCCAGTACGATGAATTACAACGCTTTCTTTAGTTAAAACATTCTTTCATTTTTATTTGCAACTGACAAAGAATTATTTTTTATCATCCATATTTCTCATCTGACGCACTTCAAAACCAATAAAACACAGGTTTTATTACAGCAAAGTTTATCAAGTTTATAAGAGAATTATAAGTGTATAAACACACTGACTTAATTTTATAAAGCAAAAATCTACTGTACTTGTAATTACATTATCTTCTTTTAAATTAAATTTATATGAACCATAAGGATCAAATTCACGACCCTGTCTACCATAGAAAAATATGCCGTTCTTTATAATACGCAGCACACTGTCATGTTTCCCTGACCCTCTGTGGCCCCCTGCAGACGGCCCTTACAACCTGGAGGTGAACTCAGGCCAGGGCCTGCGGACAGGAGAAGTGTTCACCATCAACCCCGGAGAGCTGGTCTTCTTTGAATGCCAGGCCGACTCCAACCCACCCAACAGCTACGTCTGGATCTCCAAGAGCCGCAACGCCACCGTCATCACAGAGGGCCCCCGGCTGGAGGTGCGCTCCTACAAACTGGCCCAGGCAGAAGAGTACCTTTGCCGCGCCTTCAACAACGTTACACAGAAGCAGAACGAGGCCCAGTTCACTCTGGTGGTGGCCAGCTTAGGAACAGGTGGGTTACAAGGTGGAACGTGGCGGTGAAAGGGTTAGGGGTTAGGGTTACGGGTTCCACTCTGCAAAACACTGCGTCATGCCAAAAGCAGAAGAGGTTTATGAACTACGACTACGATATATGATATACAGAACATCTGGGTGGATAAAATACTGGAGCCCGGTTATGGATACAACATCAAATGCACAAGGCTGTTATGAAACCGGCATTTTATCTTTGTTGCTATGGTTCCAGAGCCTGCAGCCAGTATTAAAGCTCAGTTGCAGGGAAAGTAAACAGTGGATAACAGCTGTCGTATTTGTTGACTAAGTTTTATAGCATGTGGAGTTTCTGTGTGCCGAACGCGACATTGATATGTTGTCTTGGTGATTCTCACCGAAGGCTTCTCTTGATACCGGCTATGATTTACAGTGCTGTTTGCAGAGTCAACGAAAGTGATTACATCATCTATTTTTAAATGACACCAAAATCTCTTTTGAACATCACCAAAGAATCCTCTGGTGACAAAACCCTTTGATGAGACAAGCTGGTCTAGCTGCTGTATGTTGAACATAATGCTAAAATGAGCAGGCTAACAGGTGACGATGCTAACAAGCTGATGATCAACGCATCATCTTTAACAGTTGACATTTTAGTTTAGCCAAGAACATGACAACACGCATTGTGCTTATTAGAATTGTGCAGCTGAGGCTGGGCGTGTCATGACTTTTGCAAATATGAAATACATTTTAAATCCATGTACGGCCTATAAAGACACTTTATCAGGTCCCACTACACATGATTGATGCCCAAGGCAACCTTTAGCATTTGTGTAGGCCACCCCCCCCCCCGATGTTCAAGTAACGGATGCTCTCAATGTAAACCTATCTGCGTCATTATTAGACGCTCGGAGAAAATGCTCTGTGAGGTAAGCGAGGTGGAGACCAACACGGGACTATCCACTATGAAACCGGCGTTTGCGTCCCAAAGTTTGGCTAGTGATGTTTGTGACGTGTTTTCCTTACCTACGTAACTGTGTTTCCATTTGAGTTTACGTAAGTATTATTTAAAGCCCAATCATGATAATCATCTTAAACCCAGCTGAGTGGTTTTGTTACCTGAACTTAAGTAGGAGAGTTTGAACTCAAGACGTTAACCAAAGAAACGAGGAGTCATCATCTGGGGACCATTGACGTGAGTTATTGACGTCATGACCAAAGTGGTGGACCAATGGTGCTGGTGCTGGTAAACCAACATTAACATCTCTGGAGCCAAGTTGGCTAACACTGAGCGTTAATATCAGTGTCTCTCCCGTGTTTGTTTGCAGGAAAAGAAAAGCACTCCCAAGCTGGCGGCTATTTATCCCCCCTGGCAGCCATTACTGTCTCCTCTTTGTTCGTCATCGGCTGCATGTTGCTGTTCTTCCTCAGGAGAACCTGCCATCCCAAGAGAGGTAATGTGCTACTGTGCTGCTTTGACGGGGGTGGTTTTCTAAAAGTGAGTCCTACAAACTGAAAACTAAGTGATGAGATGAGATGAGCGAGACAACGCAAAATGCAATGATTTCTTACATGTGAGGTGAATGATGCAACGCAATGCAAATGTCATTTCAATTGAAAGGTAACCATAGCAAAGTATGGGTGCATTTGAATAAGACCATATGTAATGTTAAATAAATGTGTGACTCTATGTGTGAATAATTATTTTGTCCTGTGTTTTTCTCTCCGTTATCAACAGTGCTCATGAGCATCTACAACAGGTAAGAGCCTTGAATGTGAGATCAATACATACGTTCACATTTTGTAATGTACATCATATACGCTTTGACTGACAGCTTTATGAACCTGTTTTTGCCAGACCGCTTTCAGAGCAGAAGCGACCACATCGTTCAGGTGAGCTGCTGCTTGTTTTTAAGCGTTGGGTCGGGGTGTCTCATCGATTCCAATGATCTGACATTGAAGGTTGTGTGTTAACAGGTCATGAAGATGCCACAGAGGACTTTGGTATCTACGAGTTTGTCTCTATACCTGGGAAAATGGAATCAGCACAGGTATTGAACATCTTATACATTAACATGGATTCAAGAGCTTCGCCTTTTGTCTGTTCTTGTAACGTTGTGATTAGTTTTTAAAACGCGCCCATGCAACTGTCCTGCAGGCATCGTGCAGATCTCTGGCTCGCCTTGAGTCAGTTCAGGATATGCACACCACCATCTACGATGTGATCGGACATGTTCCTGAAACCCCCAGTCAGAGTTTACTCAATTAAGCTCGGAGACTTGAGATGGAATTTACAGTCATTCATTGAAGAGTAGCTTTATTTTATGTCGTCGAAGCCGGAAACTTTGTCTTTGGTGAGCCGATTTTTGCACAAGGGATGAAGGGGGCTTGTGTGAGTACACAACCTGCACTGTTACTGTCCACAGCTTGGAACAGATGTTAAATGACTTTTGCTGACCATATTTTTTATTTATGTTAAAAGTACAAAGTTTTCAAACCGTTTTGGTCTTTGCGTTCAAAGCTTGAGGTCGTATTAAACCAAGCAAGTAACTCTTAACCATGATCTCGTGAGATACACCTTAGCTACCCAAACTGGTCACAACATGTTCAAATTTATATACTACGGTTTAATTTGAAAATTCAATAATATATTTCTAATTTCAAATTCCCGTCAATGAGAGTCTGTTTTGTGACAAGTGTTATAATGAATACGTTCTCTTGTATGAAATATATTTAGGTTAATTGTAAATATTGTACATGGATTATACGGCAGAGTCTTCATTCTATTTCTGTTTGTCTATTTATTCCAATAGAAACACTTTACCCTGTTTCTGCAAATGTAGCATTTGCTCCTGCTGGATGTAATGAAATGCTAAAGCAAGAAGAAGGATTAACGATTCCTAAATGATTGTACAGTTTGCATTCATATGCTTGTTTTGTACTTTAATTAAAGATATAACTGTTTACTTCTCTGGGTCATTTTCAAAAATACATACTCTATTCTGCCATTTATATTTACACTTTATATGTCTTTTTCATGGATGGAATTTGCATTAATGGCTTGAAATGAACACTTTCTCAATCACAGATCATAAAAAAAAAAAGAAAAATAGCTGAAGCCAGCAACGATGTCAGTTGTGCTTCTTCACAGTCACTCCTTGTCTCCCGTCTTGGCAATGAGCTGTCTTCTCACAAGTGTTTGAGTTGTATTTGTTGTCTTAAATTGGTGCAGAGTGGCCGTTGCTCTCGGCCTTGTTGCATCGGTATTCTGTGTACCTGCCGCGATATGACAACAGACGGATGATTCAGCGGGAGGCTTTATAAAAATGTGTGTGCTTGCTCGTCTGCCTGTGTGTTCGTAAGAGAGAGGTGTAATAATAATAATAATAATAATACAATTAATTGAGACTTGCACTCGCTCTGCTGTTACTTTGCACAACTTTAATGTACCACTTCTGCTACGGTTCAGCTTTTTTATCAAATTATTGTGATTGACCCCAATGTACGCATACTCATACGCTGAGTGCTTCCAGTCAAGTTCATTCCAAATGCCGTCACAGTGAAATGTCCAAATTCACAAGCTTTAAAACTTTAGGTGGTTTGTTCCCAGAAAACTATGGACTCAGTTACAACTAAATAATACAATGGAGAAATTATTATCGTAGAATATTGACACTAAATGTCAAGAAGACAAATTATTGCACTGATGTTAGTTTGCTTGTTCACTGTAATATAATCCTGAACTTTGGACTGAATGCACATAGAGAGCTGCTGCACTGCTGAGGATCGTAAGGATGCTTCCCATGACGGATCCCTGCATAACAACAAGCACTTTATGGAGTCCAGCTCTAATTATGGCGGATGAACTGAGCAACTAAGTGTGTGGTGTCTTTGTGGCGGCATCTCCGGGTAAGGCTTGCCATCTGTTCTGTTTCAAAGTGTGCTTTAAGGGAGGCTTCGCACTGTGGATGAGTGCTTCAGAATCAACAGAGGAAATTCACCTAAGGAGAGAGGGAGAGAGACCTCACCTTCATTTGACTGGGAAATAGCCCGAGGCTTCATCAACCAGGAACTAGAACTCACTGGAGCTGCTGCCTGTTTGCAGCCTTTAACCTGCTGCTTGCAATAGCACCCAAGGGGGCAGTTAGAAAACAGGCTGAATGGGTTTGCACGCACCGTTTTTTATTGGTTTACTAAACATAACAATAAAATAAAACATAGTTATAAACTGTTACATTTATTATGTTTGAGACTAGATGATATGTATCTAATAGTAACAGTATTGAAATCATAGTACATATGCAGAAAGTGACAGACAGTTTTGCTCAAGTATACTCATATCCGGAAATTTGGATAAAAGAATAAATAAAGACAATTAAAATGACTGATTATGTAGAAAAACATACATTCCAATAATACAGTATATAATTATATTGGATTACTAACTAATAACTGATGCACCCACATGGCAGCAGGATTTTAATGTTGTAGCAGGTGCAAGATAATCAAATTTGATTTACTTTAAACTGTTGGAAAGTTTAAACTAGTATATGTTTTCGAAAATGTGTCCTATTTAAGAATAGTAATGGTTGAAATTAAGTTAGTTACATTCTTGATACTTAGCTGTTTAAGTAGATCAGTCAAGGTTATTTCAGTATAACCTTAAGAGCAATAGTGGCATTTTTCAAAGCCGACATCTTGACACAACATTATCATAATACATAGAATAACATGAACACTCTCTTTAAGTGTCCTGGTAAGCCTTGACAGTGAGAGATGGGTGTTTCCAAGACCCATATTCATCAATAGTTTGGCAGCTGCGATATATCAAAATGTCTCACCTGACACATACAATTAACGGTGAGCACACAGAAGTAGAGTCGGTTCTTCAGGGACGTAGAAGAAACTTGATGTCTGGTATTATATTCTGTGATGTTAGATACTACCATCCAGTGGTGTGAGGAAGTAAAACATGTATTAGAATATTATTGCTCTACAATAATACTGTATTTAACATACATTATTTTAGTTCTCAACATCATATTTTTTTAATTTAATCTAAATATGTTCTCTTGTTTACCCTCGTGAGGTTCGGACAGGTGTCTCAAGCAAAACTCTAAAACAAAAACTACCTTTCCCAGCGTCCTTTGCCATTTCCTCGTTCGCTCCGTACCAGTCACGTGACGGTCAACTATGGCTTCCACCTGGTAGTGATGGAGGCGCATCGTTGACAACAAAACAAAACTACAACTTTGCTCGTTTATTTGTACGCTGCCACAAGTTGGATTCACAATGCAGAAGATCAAGTCCCTTATGTCCCGGCAGGTGAGCGAAGCAGCGCAGCCCCTTTGTCCCTGACAGCTGCAAGTGGCTAGCTTGCTAGCTAGCTAGGCTAACTGGCTAATTTGACAGCTCGTCGTGGGGCTCAATTAAAGGGTACATTCAGGCCGAATAGCCCCAGCTTATTCATCGGCTGAGTCACAATTCCTCAACAATTTACCCCACGTGAAGAAAATACAGGTGTAGTGAGAGAAATACCCGCGTGCGCCGAGTTTAACGTTACCTTCTTGAGAAAAGCACACGAACAGGGCATAACAGTGTAAAACGGGCGGTCATGTTCTCCTCCTGCACTGCAGTCATGTTAAGCTCCTCGGTTCCCCACTACACAAGAGAGCCTGTCGTTATCACAAAATCTCTCCGTCACTTCCACTTTTTTGTTGAAGGCAGTGGTGCGCTAAGCTAAGTCACGACAGGCACAGGTGCCAACTGTGTAAACCGTTACAGTCACTTTACTTTCTGGGGCTTTGGGAAATTTATCAGTGACTTCTTATTTTGACAGGGCCTGAAAAGCCCCCAGGAAAGCATGGCAGACCTCAGCCCCGTGGAGAGCCTGAGGATCCCGAGCAAGGTAAACCTGCATTGGCTGAAGCTCTAGCGCTCATTGCATTGATTCTGCACATCCTACAAAACTGACATTTCTCTAACCACGACCACAGCTAATCACGTGTTTAGGAAGGAAAAGGTAGATCTACCTGTCCCGTGTTCAACTACTGGCATTGTGTAGTAATGAATACTTCAAGTCGAAACACTGGGTGTCGATAAGAAATCTGCACATTTACGAATGTGCTACGGTAGCACATTCATAAATGTGCAGATTTCTTTTTCAGATAAGACGGCGGTCCATGGACCATCGTCTTATCTGAATAAATCAAGTAACTATTTTGCCAACTTGATTGCATATTACTGATAGAAGCCAAATTCAGTCGAACTCCAAAGCAATTACATCAACTGTGTCGAGATGCGTTGGGATTTGAACAGGACGTATTGTATAATTAATCATTAACGCGTGAGATTATATCTTGGCTTCCATTTCTGTCACTTGCGGACACACCCATCCAAACACCAAAAGTGTGAAGTATGGTCTCCCCCGTTTGAGTCCTTTTGCATTTCTCCGTGGCGGTGTTTGAAAATGCAATCAGTCGTGCTTGGTCACAATGAAGATTTGTGCTTACCCACTTGTGCACTTTCAATTTGCCAAGAGCAGACTGAGCCAAGCCGCATTGTAGCTCTATATATTGGATATAGACACTTACTCACTGGGCCCTCCATGCACCGCCGGGTGCTGGATTTGTTTTGACTTTGACGGGTAGTTGTGACCTTCTAGTGTGGCTGTGTACCATTCGGAAGGTGACCAACTCTCAATTATTCATAGATATCAGGTCCATCCAGCCAGACATTTCATCTCCCTCCAGTGAAGATTGTTTTGATGGTAGATTGCAGTTTGGGGTCAACGTGAATGCAAGTCTCTTCATGCGTTGCCTCGAGTGTTTTCTGCCTAGGTTGAAAAACACATCAACAGATAAGATAAAAAGGAAGTGCTTTTCCGTCAACTCATCGGTCAGAGTTGAGGAAGATGGAGCTGACAGGAGTTCTGAAATTTCTCTCAATCTGTTGTTTATTTTCAACAACAGATTAAGAGAAGTCTGTCCTCTGATTGGCTCGTACACAGCAATGACATTTGTTTTGGTCAACGATGAGGACTGGCCTTGATAATATTGTCACGTTAAGTTGGCTGGTTGTTTCACAAGAAAGACAATTTCTGTGATCTAATAATTCAAGGTCATTGTATAGTTGTCATAGTTGTTTAGACAGCACGGAAGTCTTTTGTTGCAGAAATCCACCCAAAGACGCAGATCGAGCCCAGATAAGAAGTCATTTAGTCTCCAGGTGTAATCAGAGCCTCAGTTGCTTCTCGCTGGATGCGTCGCTCGCGCCAGCTTTGGGATTGGTGCACATGCAGACATCAAATACTTACGTGCTTACGTGATGCGAGGAACTGTGGTATAAGCAGATATAACCATCGGGAGAGACTTAGTGTAGATCATACACATATTCGCCTACCTTTACCTTTACTTATCACGGCGTGCGCTGTAAACACCTGCATACTGTGTGTTCAGCCGAAACACTGGTCCTATTATTTGACGACACAGTGCACTGACTGTATTTACTTTGCTGCGGGGGCCTGTCAGCTCTCAGGGAAATGAAATCGGAGACCACGCATCCTTTTGTTGTACACTGAAACCCACGGCCACCTTTGATCGGAGGGGAATATTACTCTGTGTGTGTCTCTCTCTTTATTACTTAATCTGATACTTACTGCTTGGTACTGGTCGTGTTTTGTCCAACCATTTTAAGCCGGGGTTCACGTCATTCATCGTGCTCCACGAACTGACCGCAACATCGGGTTAGTGGAGGGGGACGCAGGCCGGTTTATAGGTAGTGCTGATTGAGATTGGATGCTGTCAACTCATTCTCGGGACACACAACTTAAAGGGTGGGTGGAGAAGAAATGATGTTAGCCTGAAGGTGTGAAATGGTGTGCGTGTGACAAGGCAAATAAAGGGACCCTCGTCCAGTGTTTCCCCATTTGATTACAACTTCGGGGGGGGGGGGGGGGGTAGATGTCTGTCCACGGGGCGCCCCCTCTGATACAACTTTAGGGGAAACACTGCGCGTTTATTTGATCGCGGTGACCCACGCTGACGGGTGACTGATGAGTCATTTACTCCCCACCCGTGACCTCACTGGAGACGGCTCACACGGTTGTAGTCAGTAAGAGAAAGTGCCGACTGATCGCTTTTTACATTACATTTACATTTAGCTGACTTCCAATAAGTGCATTTCAACCATAAGGATACAAACAGTAGAACAAGAAACAAGAAAGTGCAATTTCATGAAATAAATTGATGTTGTTGTTTTACGATTCTCACAATATATTTTTTATCGATAGTTTAAACGCAGAAACCCGTGGCAGACATTGCCTCGGGTTGCCCAGAAGTCAGTGCGATGATGTTGGAGCACAGTGAAGGTGATAAATGGAAATCATAAAACTGTTCTGATTGCATTTAAACATGAGCTTCTGTTATGCGTTATCCATATGGCGTTGCATATTCTTTCCTACTATAGTTTTCCTACAATATGATTTAATAAAAATCCCAGCATACCCTGCATACAGTACAGCGGTGCATTTAAAGGTGTCTCTAACGGTGTCACGGCGCGTATCATAATACTGGATTCTTGCCGACGAACGGATCCAATTGCCGTTGAGGCAAAACCCTTGGATTTGGCTCCGCCCACAAACGTCCGGTTGGAGACACTCGCTAGAGGTCAGACTCTTGGCTTGAGCAGCAGTTTGCTCCCCTTCCCTCCCCCATGGAAACCTTTTTCTCAGAGGCAACACGATCCTCCTCGTTCACCTGCTGTGGGATACTTGATGCCCTTTACAGACGTACACTAAACCCGAACAAAGGGCCTACGTTTAATAAGCGTTTGACCGTAGTCAAGATTTCTATGTGATTTAAGCATAAAGATGATTATGAAACGAGGTACATGCCGTTAGTGATTCATTGAAGCTAATTTATATAAATACCATTTGTTAAAAGCTACGTATGATTTAAACAACCCATTTTCAATCCCTTTTGAGGTTTTTGCTTGTAGCGAATTTGTCTTGGTTTCTGATGAGCTGCTCGGTGTTCTCACGCCATAACAAACGACACGTTGTTTCTCAGTTCAAAGCTGTCGTCCCCCTTGCGGGTGAGTTTTAAGGATTTTCTTGGCAGGTATTGTGGTCCTCTTTATCTCTTCAGACTGTTATGGTCCCCATCTTTTCAACCTCATATTGTAAAATCCAGGTCTGTGCAGGGACACTTTCTCACCAGCAGGGGTCCCCATCAGCTCGCCCAATGCACTTTATCTTTCATAAAAATTCTCTGTTCTCACAAAAAAACATTCAGGCCTCTCCTGTTCAATATTGCAGTGCTTCCTAAGATTTGAGGTTTGAATGGGATTGGCGGAGGAGTGTCTTTTTTTTTTTTTTAACCTTCAGACGGCAGGCTGAAGCTGTGAGGAGGTCATTCATTTACGTCGGCTTTTCTCAAGGAGGCCGGAGACAGACGCGGCTCACTTTGACATTTCACTTTAGTTTCTGAGATACTCGCTCTGACCACAGAAGAAGTGTGTGACACTGTACATAGAGGGGGTGGGGGCGGGAGGGGCGTCGCTTTTGGCGCAGTGACAGACTTGAGAATTACCTTTGAGGAAAAATAGAATGGAGAAAATAAATCTGAGCATAAACTCACAAGTATCACACGTTGGGACCGCAGCGGACCCACAGGGGATGCAGTGTGGATGTTGGTGTATTGACATTGTCATTGTGTCTTAAAGTGCCAGGAGACAAACGTGTTAAACACCCTGTGTAAGAGCAGATGAAGATAGACACACACACACACTCACACACACACACACACACACACAAACACAAACAAACACATAGTTGGCTCATCACAATGAGGATGTTTTGATTTTTTCTAATGAAGGATTCCGTGGAGGAAATAATTGGCCCTCCTGTCTGTCTCCTCTCCTCGTGCTCTTCCTCTCCTAGCGTTTTTTTTTTTTTTTTTGTTCACTTTTTCCTGTGTTATCTGGGCGCCAACGCATCCCTCTTTTTGTTGTGCAATTGATTTCCCGCATTCAAACAATCAGCCCACCACACGAGTATCCGCTTTGATGATGCTCGTTAAGCGTCCCACGCTTTGGATATGCAATTGCACTTTTTAATTTCCGCCACAAGACGAGAATTTCATTCATTCAAGGAGGCGGTGCTGCCGCCATCCTTCAAAGTGAAATGTGATCAAAGCCTCACGGCGGCTGATGTTCAGGGTTCACGTGCGCGGCTCAGGGGCGTCTGGTTTGCTTCCTCTTCTTCTTATTCTGTGTGCTCGCTTTATTCAATCAAAGGTGGCCTCTCAAGGAGTCGATCCCTTAAAGATGCTCATTTTCACGCATCACTTCAGGTGGGAGGCCGAGGGAGTGACAGGGAGGGAGGGAGGGAGGGAGAGAGAGAAGCAGCGGGGGAATTGCTCTAACCACACAGGAGTGTCTTCAAATCATTGTTTTGTTTTTTGCTCATTCATCTCTCTCTTTTCTTCATCCTTTTGCTGGAACTTTTTGCTCCCGATGACTCATCCACCCCTCCCCTCTCTCCCTTTCGCTTCCCTTCTCTTCTCGTTTGAGCTGATTTGCCGCCCACCAGAAGGCAGAGTGTGATCTTCTACCTCGACCCCTCCCTTCCAATCTCACACGCTCACCCCCCCCCCCCCCCCAGGGAGGGTCCGCTTGCTCCGCGGACCTGGGTCTAACATGGGAGGACACACACACACACACACACACACACACACACACACACACACACACACATACAATAAAGTATGTCCAATGAATTTATACATGATGCACAAAAGGGGATCCGATACGCCGCAGAAAGGAGACGTTCGTGGGGAATCGGCTTCCTGGTTCTGGGTCACATGGGTTTCACCCCTGCCACGCCCCTTTTTAGCCTTGAAGAGGGCTTTACAGTCTGTACACATGCGACACCCCCTGTCCCAAAACCCTTACATGGGCACATTAAAAACTCCCCCCAAAAATGTAAAAAACCCTTCGATGGGGAGGGAAAAAAAGGGAAGAACAACCGAGGATGCCTCCCCTCGGCATGGAAAGGACCGTGCGTTCAATTAATACGACAGAAATGATTGAAATACACATATTAGGGTCTTGAACTCCGGATGATCGTCTCCTGCTCGTCAGCGGAGAAAAAAAGCGGCTCTTCCTTTGACTTTATTTGCCGTTTAATTGTTAGAAAATCTTGGTTTTGGTCATCAACTCTTCCCTCTTTTTGAAGTTGCACGCGTAATTATCCTGATGACTGGCGTCTTATTTTGAAATAACGACACTGTTTGTGAGCGGATCAGCCTTTGAGGAAGAGAGATAGCCTGACTTCAATCATCAGGTTCATTTGCGCTGGCTAATAGGACATTTGATCGACTTTATTGAACCACGTACGAGGAAGGAGCCCCAGATCCCCGACGACCCCCCCCGGCCCCTGAAAACTGAACACGTGAAGATAACGTTATAAGTTCCCAAGCTCAGAATCCTTCATGTGAAAGTCTGGCTGACGCGCTGGGCCTCGACGGATCCGCGGCGTGTCAATCGATGCGGGTTTGATGTCTCTCTGGCGGGGAGGCGGGGGGGTCCCTCGTTCCTCGTCCTTTTTTAGTTCATGCCTTTCTTCTCGTCTTTCCTCTCAAGGCTCTCGGCCGTCCCTCATGACAGCTGGCCAACGAAGCACGCTGCGATCTGCGCTCAAGCTAAACTCCTCCTTCCGTCTCCTCGTCCCCTGTCTTCATTTTTATTCTGTCCTCCCTCTACATTGTCCTTCATCCTAATCCTATGTCCATTCCCTTCATCCCGCTTTCCCTTTGCATCATTTCTATTTTTTGCTCTCTGTACGAGCCGGTTCTCTTTCTTTTTGAAGTATTTTTTTCTCGATGTTTATATTAAAGATTTGGTTTGTTGTTTTCATTAAAGTGATGATGTAATTCTGTGTTTTTGACTCTGTTTTGTGTCCCAGTGTGTCTGGAACTTTCTTAAGTGCTTGCTTCAAGGACATCTTTGAATTTCTCTCTCTTTCTCAACCTCTTCCAGGAGGAGTTGCGGGAGCTGAGGGAGCAGCCCATCGACCCCCAGGCGGAGCAGGAGATCATCGAAAGCATCGAGGAGGTCTACTTCTCCACCGACTCCTTCGACATGGTGCAGCACGAGCTGGAGGTCAGAAGCCCTTTGAATGCACATGCAGTGCTGACGGAGTTAGCAACACTCATTATATATGTGTGGGTGGTATGGTTGCCTGCACTTTGAAGCTTGCCTGACTAACAGAGTTAAAGTTCTTTCTCACCTGAGCTGCGGATTCTTCCACTTGAGCTGAGCTGCATACGCACCATTGACACCCGGATTGATGGATTGCGTCCGCTCAACAGAGGAAGGGTGTGAAATCTCATTAGATTTATCTTGGTATTGCTACACCATCTGAAATGAGACTCTCAGTCAAGGGGAAAGTAATTACCTATCATCCTTTGGGCCATGGATTTGCAATATTTTCTTTCCTTACCGGAGTTTGTTTACTGTTTACTAAATAATGTCCTTTTGCCTTCTTGAGTAATTTTACTTCTAATCTGGCAAAGTGGATTTCTTTTGTTTTATTTCCTTTTAATGGAGTAAGAGCTCCAGCTGTCGTCAGTGAAATGCAGAGTGAACAGGACACTCGCTTTCAATTCAGTTCACTTCAATTTCATACAAATATTACTCCAAAAAAAGGTTAAAAAAAAGCACCGTCAGAAAGAACAAAGTAGGACAATCGTTTGCAATTTAGTTCTATTGATACTGTTGCATTTTGAAGCTATTGATGGCTGTGTGGGTAAAAAAACAAAGTAGTCGTTTTTATGTAGAGGATTCAATAGACACAAATACACCACCTTGTTGTTTTTTTGTGTGTGTGATTATAGAAACTACCACCTGAGCTAAATCTGCAGGAGCTGGAGGAGTACAGGGACAAGCTGAAGAGACAACAGGCGGCAGTAAGTAGCTCCCTCTTCCACTCTTGCTCTCTCGCTCACATCCTCATTCTCTCTGAAAAGTAATTAACCGATGGCAGCCAACTCTGTCCGGATCATGTCTGACAACTTCATGAGTCACACTCCAGTCAACAGCGACGCCTCATGCAGGCGGAGACTCCCGGTTTGGGAAAAAGGAAGCTAATGCTGAAGTGTCTGGGACGTCCGTTCTCTGCGAGAGCCAAGCCCCAAGAAGTCTGATTGTAGAGAAGTCTTTGAGAAAATGACCCTTTTTCCGCCTTGATTTATGACCTCATTAAACATTGTTTAGTTTGTGTTCTCAATAACTAGTTTCAAGTCTCCTTTAGTACGGCGTGATGTTCATTTTGTAGGTGACTGTGACCAGAAAGAGCCCATTTCCTCTTAAATTGAAGCTTTCACTCAGGTGTTTTCAGGTCATCAGAGATAATTGTGATATCCCTGTTGTTTTTAAAAATAGCTTAATACTTTATTTGTACCCCACTCTCTTGTGTCACTATTGGTTCCAAAAGACTGAGACGGCAAAGGAAAAAAAAAACTCCATCCATCAGTCCACAAACCTTTGGAGCATTATCCGCCCGATGAACGGCTGTTAAAGCTGACAAAGGGGCCCGTGCCCAGTAGCCATAGCTCGTCCTTCTTGCCTCTCGAACTGCTTTGACGTCAGTAGCAGCGTTTTTTTTTTTTTTTGTTCTCTTCTACACAGCGGGACCACTTTTCAGGTCGCTCGCAGTTTCAGACTTGAGAGCTGGCCGGTGCACAAATTCTATTCCTAGAATGCCGTGGTAGAGCCGCTCTTTCCCCCATCTGCACCCTGAATCGTCACAGTCCACTGCAGAGGGAGTCCACTTATCCTCCTTCCAGACAAGCTTGTGCACTTTCCGCGCACCTGTTCGTCTCCATCACTCCCTCGGCTCTAAAGACTTTGCCACATGCATCCCCTGCACGCTTCCTCTTATCCCGGTTTTCCATACACGCCCCCCCCCCTTTCCCCTTCCCCCTTTTATGTTGGCAAAGTCCAAGAGTGCGCGAAGACAGTCTCGCTCATGGCCGCTCTCTGGCGGGGAGCCTGCAGGCCCCTCCATTGGAATAACCACGGTAATTGGTTCAGCATGTCAGGCAGAAAATCCACATCTATGAGTCTCTGCGAGCTCGTCAATGCAAACCGCCGCCTAAACGCGCCGACACTCCGTCGGCCCGTTTGTCTCCCGAAATGCCCACGAGGTTCTTGTGAAGTATCTCATAGCTCCTTTTTATTTTTATTTTTCAAGCAAAATGTTTATGGTCTTCCACCACCCGGCATTTGTCATCTTGTTACATTCTGCGGATCTCTTCCCATTCGAGAGGAGAAAGAGACCAACAACCTTCCACACACACAGAGTGTGTGCTATAAAGGAAAGGAGAACATATGTAACAGTATATTTAGGTATGCACACAATAGGAGCAAAATAACAAAAGCAAAGGGTTTTTGTGTAGTATTTGTGTTTTGCATCGATCCGTCAGACATTTTCAGAATAATTACCAGCAGATGAAGATTACACCTGTTTCCATTATGAATAATGACTTTCTTTTATTCTGCAGTCAATCATTTGAACAAATACGGTGACTACCATTCCGATCCCTGCTAAACGCAGCAGATGGGTATTGTCTGTAAACACGGAGCTTCCTGCCATGTACGTGTACCTTGGTGGTAAAAGATTCTCTTCTCCGGGTTTGTCAATAAATACTTGTTGTTTTGTATCGGCTAAACAACTCTGTTGTCATAACGGGAGCCGGTTTGATTGATTTTGTGCTTTAAAGCTGTTCAATATTGTGATTTATGAGGTTTGAATTAAAACACCGTCTTATTGCTATTGCTTGTTGAGATACAGGTCAACGTTTAAAATGTACTACTAAAGTGAGGCTTTAAGGGGCTGCTGAACACAAGAAAAGAAAAAAAAATGAAATGAATTTGACGAAAAACCTGCCAATTACTCAAGCACACGTCTTCGTTGTATTGTGAAGACGCACGTGTGTGTGTGTGTGTGTGTGTGTGCGCGTGCGTGCGTGTGCGTGCATTCTTACTGGACACACACAGACTCTTACACACACTTACACACCTGATCTTGCAGAGGCTCGTAGTCGTCAGAATGTGAAATAGAGCAAAGTTCCCTGAAGAAGTGCTAATAGTTCTTTCAGATTCTCACCGTGGGTCTGGCTGCCTCTCCTCCATGATGGAGTTGTGTGTTTGTGTGTGTGTGTGTGTGTGTGTGTGTACTAGGCAGAGTAAGATGAAAGTGAGAAAACTTTTGTGTGGTATTTCCTCTATTTGCTGCTACTCTGCCTTTACTCCGGCTCTGAGGAGCCGTGTTGACACGTAGCCCCTATCTTTTATTTTTCTTGTCAGCCTCTGTGGGGCAGAGCATTCTCTCCGTGGCACCGGAGAAGAGAGCCGCTTCCCCCGTTGTTGTGCCACAGCACACAAGTTAATAATTGGCATCTTTAAACACGCCTGGCAGAGGCTCATCTCGGGGGTGGGGGGGAATTGCTTTTCCGTGCAGCGAGACTTACTTCATATTTGATGAAAGTCTGAGTCCAAAGACCCAGTTTGGTAGAGATTCAGATGTTTATTGACTGTATTCACCAAAACATGCACTTCCGTAGTATAACTGACCTGTAATACTTCAACAACGTGAATAGTTTTACAGTCTTTTACCGGCTTTGTAGTTACAGCTCATGAGCTGCATCACAAAATATATATATTCTCCTCATCCCCCTCAAAGTGGTTTCCTCTCCGCAGAGAATCAGGCTGCATAGACGTCGGAGGAGGCGATAACTGGGATGAACATATTACATTTTTAATGAAACTTGAAAGCTGTATATGAGTATCCCTCCCGCAGCAGAAAGGACTTCTCCCCCCCCCCTGTTCGGAAAGTGCGTAATGCTTATGCAACCTTTCTCCGAGCCTTTCTCGGTTCCCCGTGTGTCAGTCGAGCCGAGACGAAGTCCCGCTGTGCAGAGGGATCGTGTGCCGGCGCTGACGAGCTACGATCGTAGACTGCGAATCAGACTGTCGTCCCGGGCCTGTAGCGCCGGCCGTCGTCGTCTAGATCTTTTGCCATCGCCATCCTGTGTTTTTACGTAGAGCGTTGCCCCCCCTGCTGGCCATTAGAAGTAATTGTACTATCATTAAGTTTAGGGAAGTTTTAGGATTTCGTTTCGTACCCGGAGGTCGGCACTTGGCTACATCGCTCTATGTCACAATGAAATTGCAATACCACCCTAATGACAAGCCAACAGCAGCTACCCGGCCGCCCTGTAGCTGCTGTATCGTCGCCGGCAGCGGAGCGTCTATTCTGAGCGTTTGTTTACCTCTGTTGATCGGGACGACTGACCCTCCATCACTTTGCTCGCTCGGGCTTTTTCACCGCTGCCAACACTAATTAGCGCTTGCTAATTCAGCTCTAATTGCTCTCGCACGTCTCGGCTAACACTTGCGAGAAGTAGCGAACTACTCCGAGGCTTCTATCGTAAGCCCGTGTTTAGGTTTGCACCAAAGCCTCGCCGCTAATGAGCAAATTGTCCAAACATGTCATTTGCTTTTTCATTCTAGTAGGTGTTGCGTGGGAGCGGCAGAGTGTCGTCCTGTCACTTTCCCTTCCCCTTCGCGGCACACGACGGCCTCCTTAGCGAGAAACGTTGCATTCATTGTCCTGCTGTTTGCCTCGAGTTGAGGATCGCCCATTTGCCAGTCAGCCAGGCAGCAGCTTTTTGGACTCTACGCTGCTGAACATCGCGTGCACTGTGCTCGACTCGCCACCCCGTCGCCGCACAATTAGCTTCCATTTGTGTTTGTGAAGGCGGGCGGAGAGCTAATGACTTTGGCCTTGTGGCTCAGGTAGGAGGGTTTGATTGCTCACTGCAGTTCGCTTTATGTGTCTCTTTCACACCTTTTTAAGTTTAGAGTTAATGTCAGTGGGTTGCAAATAGGTGGTGTTATTGAATTTGTGGCAGCTCTGCGAATGGCTGCGTTGTGTCTTTAACACAATTCCCTACTGTTTTTTGTTTTATTTCTTTCTTTCTTTTTATTTTATTCTGGATGTTAAAGTTCCAACACGGACACAGAATGTGGGTCTCCGAGATGAGCAGCACGTTTGCCTCCAGCTCACGGATCTGTAGTGAGGCATCAGACTTGGGTCACACTCGACTTTGAGACTCAAATCAATTGTTTTTTCCTCTAATTATTGATACACACAGTCTATAAATGAAATCTCACTCAACATACATTTACTCGTCACGCCGGTGGCGTCTTTAGGGGTACTCTGTCTGTATATGCAACTAAAAATATCTAACAGATGGCACGTCTTATAAAGTTGCAGCATGGATGTGCAGTGTTTGACAGGCAGGGAAAGTCCCATCACACCCGGAAGTCACAAAACGGGACTGTTTACTTTTTAAAGTTATCGTTGAAAGACAGTGAATTGGAATGAAACTGAGAAAGGAAGGTGCTCTTTTGAAAAGGCTTTGGCCTTAAAGAGCTTCAGATACAGACGTCAGTGCTTGTTATTCCAGCTCCATCCCTGCTATCATGATTGCAGTGGCCAAACCGTTTTTGTGGGGTGACCTTCGGGAAGAATATTGAAATATCTTTGTTATTTATATATATATATATATATATATATATATATATGTTAGATTTCTGACCTCCTTCAACTCTCCCCTTTCTCTCTCTCTCTCTCTCTCTCTCTCTCTCTCTCTCTCTCTGTAGGTTTCTAAAAAGGTTGCTGATCTTATTCTGGAGAAACAGCCCGCTTATGTCAAGGTAAGCTTCCAATGTAAATTGACAAACACTAAAAAATCCACAAAAAAAAGCATTCATCTGTGTCGCGCATGTTGACATAAAGGAATTACCGATGCGCCGACTCGGTCGCTGCGTCTGCTGCTGCCTCTTGTCCGTGCTCTTATGAATGCATAATCCATAAGCCTGTTCAGTATGTTAATTAGTAAACAGACACACACACAATAACTCTATTCCCCCGTTTGGAGCTTTTCTGATCTTGGATATCAGTGCTTGTCAGTAAACAGGCTGTATTTGATTTCATGGCTTCAAGTGTGCTTCAAAATTAAAGTGTTCTGGAAGGTGACCAAATATTTGTGTATGCCTGAATGTGATGGTGCCTGTGTGCGTGTGGGATGGATGGAAAGAGTTGCTCTTATGATTGATCTGATTTAACGTCAGACGTCCCCTCGGAGGCCCGAATATTAAAGTTTGTCCAATCTGTGTTTAGTGTGTCAGTGAAGCTTTGATCTCCGCCAAACCCAGCACACGACTGGCCCCTTTGACAAATCTGATGTGTAGTGAAATTACCATCATTGTTAAGCCTTCAGAAGGTCAGCGTATGTATAGCAAATTGATCATTATTTCTGTGACCCTCTGCGGAGTCCGAATGACACCGAGGGCTTATTAGCAGGCGCTGCCAGGGATTTGGGAAAGCGTTTGGCCCGTCCCGGCCAATTTTCACTCGGCCTGCAGATGCCCCCGGTGGAGTTCAGAGGGCACTTTGTGTTTCCGCAACATCAGCATCGGCGTCACAGCGAGACGACAAGAGTTTTAAGCGGCTTTAAGAAATGTCCGAAATACCGTCGCTATGCCGTTTGATGCCCGGTGAATGCGCTTCAACCCCCCGCTGCACCCCCGAGGCCGCCCGCCACTCTGCCGCGTACCTCCTTCTGTACGAGGCTTGTTTGTTTATCCCCCTTGTTTTTTTCTTTTTCTCATCCCGCGGCGTCTCGTCTCCTCCGTGATGTGTTGTCAAACACGGACACAGAAACACAGGCCCCCGGGGGCTGTGTGTTTGTGTGTGTGTGTGTGTGTGTGTGTGTGTGTGTGTGTGTGTGTGTGTGTGTGTGTGTGTGTGTGTGTGTGTGTGAGAGAGACACCTCGGTACACTCACAAATAGCCTCCGTGCTTGAAATGATGGGCCACTAAGCGTCGTGATGTGAGTCACCGCAGATCGCTGTACGATGCGGCTTTGTCTCGTAGAAGGTTACAACGAGGCCGGGGCCATCATGTCCGATTCATTTACTTAATTTACAAACGTTGATTACTAATTCATAGTGTATCTTCTCTCGCAACCCACGTTCTTGTTCCGCGGCGTTTTAATTTGGTATTCTGAAGTTACATTATTGTCCCTAAGTTCAAAGCGTGATCCGGTTAAATTGCTTGATCACGAAAAAACATGGAGCGTGTCGATTTAAAACCTCGACCCTCTCTTATCTCTCCGAGTAAAAAGGAATGGGTTAGAATTAAGTGGCCAATTGCAGGAAAAGAAGGATTGCCTGTAATGAATTTGCATCAGGTAACCCCGACAAGGTCATTCCACACCATCGGGAAAAACAGCCCCGACTGGTGTTCAATTACTTCCCAGTGGAAAACTTTATTTGTTTTGGTTCCTCCCTTTGTTTGTGTTCCCAAGTCGCCTTCTTCGAAAGCACTCGTGAAACGGCCGGCGTGTATTTGTCAGGCACGACCGCTGTTTCATCGGGGGGTTGTCAGGAAACATGTGGGTAAATATGTGTAGGGGTGTGCGAGTATGGCCACAGACATACAGAAGCAGCAGCAGCAGCGTCATTAGAACACATCGGTGAGCCGATGCTCTTGGGGGGGGGGGTCTCAGGTAGGACCTCTTCTGAATATATAAATAAAGAAGCCTGGGGAAAAGCCTGTGACTGAACATCTCCCCCTCTCTCACCTACACCTCCCAAACCAGCGCCTATGTCTGTGGACAACGTGGGAGTCTTCTTTAAGTAGCCCGTCGTATTGTACATCGAGGAGGAATAACAACGCGCGAAGATTCACTTTCAAGCCTTCCTTCTTAAGTCGTGTGATGCCAGCTCCAAAAAACGACTGCTGTATGTTCGTCGCGCAGACAGAGACGATTTAGTCCGGTTAACTGTAGCCTGCGGGCTCGGAGCGGTGCTGCTACACAACAAATTGGAGCCTGCGGCTGCACACTGAGCGCTCGGCGGGACTCGTCCTGTGTGGATTGGTGCACATTACTGAACGCATGAGTGTTTCTGCGTTACATCATTGACAAAGGGCTTAGACACCGGTGGGGTGCAGGGTGGGGTGGGAGGGGGTGGGGGGGGGGGCAGTGCTGTGTTTTCCTAAAAGGCATCATAAGGGGTGGTGAAGACCTGGTGTGTGTTGGTCTGACGAAGCGAGGGAGTAGTATCTGTTAAGTGTCTCCTTCCTTGAGCTGCTCTGTACTCTTCGTAACCAAACAGACTATTTTAGACTGAACTAAAAACCAGGTTCTGTGCCAAAAAAGAACCAATAGAATGCAAACAAATAGATGTGAGTGATCTACATCTGAATGAGTCTTCCTTTACTGATTCAAAGTCTGCAGGTTAAAGGTTTCACCGGTGGTTTCAGCACCGTCCCCGGCCGCGTCCCAGAGCAGGAGCTTTTCCCGAGGACGCTGTTACACCGTTACAACCAATACTTAGTAGTATTCTAGAAAGGTCACTGTGTTCTTGATGTGTAAAGGCTTTATGGACCGTTGCCCTTGGATGCAGTGTTTCCCCTTCTGAGTATAAGTTCATTTTGTCTTAATTAGATTTTCTGTACAGCGCCAGGTCACAACAGAAGTCATTCAAGGTTAGCTTTCCAACAGAACGGGTCCGTTTTTTAAAGATTAATAATAGTTATTTATCGTATTTGCATGTTTTTTTGCCCCACTGAATGTGATTTCAGAGATCGCGTCCATCGGAAAATGTATCGGCCTCAATATGTGTTTAGCGCACGTAAACGACACTGCTGACCATCTTCTTTTGACTGAGAGGATTAAAGCACATTTGTCAGTTTCCCAAAAGAAAAATCTTAAATTAACAAAGAGTTTACAGTATCACAATGAAAGACTTTAATTTGAAGTGATTAAAGCTCTATAAACAGTATATCTCTGTCGGTGCGTATGTGGCTCTAGTGAAACCAGCTCTGCATGTTGTCTCACAGACCTCATTTCGTGGGCCCCCGAGCGGAGAGGCCTCACCGTCGCATGGTGCGCGTCCCCTCGGAGGAAAAGCCGGGCCGCTGAATCAACCCTTGTCAAACCGTTCAGAGGGCTTGTCATAGTCTCAAGCCTTGGGATCATGAGGGCAGATTGGCTTGAATGGGATCATTGATCATCGTCCCCCACAGCTGAAGGCTCACTTAAATGCTGCTGTTGTTGTTTTTATAAGTGTGGATAATTAATTTCACCGGACTGTATTCTTCTAAAAAGGTTGTGTCAGGGATGACAACGTTATAAAAACATTTTTTTCTTGCGGTGAGTTGGAAACGAAGGTTGAAAACACGACCATCTCCCACCTCGGGCTCGTCATCTGGCAGATCAAAAAATAAAAGACTTCAATGAAACAGAAATGCAAATTTGTGCCCCAGTGCTACTTCTGTCTGAGGGAGTGTTTGTTCTCGGCAAAGGTCACTGACGTGGGACTCTCACACCAGAGAGCCCATCTATCCTTTTGGTAAATGTCAGCTCTGTGGAGAAATGCACCTTTTCTGTTATTACTCATTTTTTTTATAAGTTGTTCCTTTTGATCAACATTGGCCTTAGCATAATGGCATCATCTAATATATTGATAAAGCTTTCTTAAAAGGCTCTCAACAGGTTGCTCAACCGGGGAAGTAGAGTGCTGTCAAAAATATGTTTGTGCGCGCAAATGTGATTCCTGTCTGCACAGCACTGTTCTGGGTAAATGGGATTATTACTGGCACATTTCACTGGCAGATCCCTAAATCAACCAGTGCTTGCACTGATCATTAAAATATGTCGATGTGGCTGTTTCTCAGCACTGTACAGATATTTTCTTTTTTTTCTGACATATTTAATAATTTATAATCTAAAACGTTAAAATATGAAATGTTTATTCCAGTGTCTTCCTCGTTCACAGGAACTGGAGCGAGTGACCGCGTTACAAGCCAACCTGCAGCTGGCAGCGGTCATCTGCACTAACGCACGGAGGTAATGCTGTTCCTATACATCCTCTATCCGCTAAATGAAACCGCCCGTTCCCACGGCACTTGCACATTAAGTGCTTTCCGCATTAACCGCCGTGATGTTCCTGATTTTATCTCTTTTTTTCCCCTTCAAATACTGTACGAGTCAACAACGCCCCGCTACACAAGGCGCTGTGAGCACTAGAATTTGGTATTCATCTGCTGTTTAGGGCGAGTTGTTACACTGCTGCGGGGGACAAGAGAAGTGTTTAGTTATGGCGTATTTTTGTATTCGTTCCTACTCAGGATTGATCCAAATAGGCAACTGTGGTGAAATAATCCCTCTAAACCTCTGGTTCAAATAATCCCAGCATACTGAGTTCCAAAAGTGTATCACAAACACTCATCACTATGTATTTGACTTTTAAATCCTTACTACGCGTTTTAGTTTTTTCTACGTGTGTTGCTACTTTCTCCCTTCCTGTGTAAAGGCAGCTGAGCATGTCGAAGGAGGGATTCACAGAAGCCAGCTTGGGTCTCCTGTCCAATCAGAGGAGGCGACAGCTGCTGACGGGCTTGCTTAAGTCACTGAGGACCATCAAGACACTGGTAGGGTTCACGCACATAGTCGACTACAGCGCGTTTTGTGAAACAGATCCTTGTGTTCCACAGTAATCCTTGCAACCGTGAAAATGAATTTAACTTCATCAAACGTATATACTTCTTTGCTTTGATCGTTTCCTCTAACCGTACTCATTAGGAAACGTTACCCCCATGGTCACAGCATGAAAGTGTGCACCTTGTGTACAATCAGTTATTTCTTGATATTTATATTTTGTGCAAATAGTTTCATGCTGTATTCATTTCTTCTTCTGCCTTTCTTCTTCTCCCAGCAAAGAACAGATGTGAGACTCAGCGAGATGCTTGAGGTATTGTAAGCATTTACACGCACACACACACACACACACACACACACACACATGCAGATATATATTTATACATGACTGGAAAGGTCCTACATCGGTGGGGATTCTGCATTTAAAGCCAAACCCACACAAACATGAGACGCTCTCACCAATGAGCTTCTGTTGTGAAGGTCAGCTGTAAAACGTTGGATGGATTTGACTACTGTCGGATCTCGTCGTAGGTTTTCATTACCTGCTGGAACAACCAATCAATCAAAGATCAATGATGCAGTCTAAAACATGGTACCATGCTGTAATACAGAATGATGCACAGTTTACTCCTCGTATGCAATTTGCGTCAAATGCTTTCATACTGTACTATTTTTCACACCTTTTTTTTTTTTTTCATTCTGTTCCCGTAGGAGGAAGACTATCCCGGCGCCATCCAGCTCTGCCTGGAATGTCAGAAGGCTGCCAGCACCTTCAAACACTACAGCTGCATCAGGTACAGGATGGAGAGGCTGTTTGAATGAGAGCAAGCATGAACGTCTCCTCCTCCTCCTCCTCCTCCTCCTGTGCCGGGTTGTTTAAAGGCAAACACATTGGATACCCGAAGGGCAATTTTCTGTGTTCCTATGCAGCGGTGATCAATTTGTGGGAGAGGGTGGGTGCTGCAGTGTTTCTTCTGTGTATTGATCAAGGAGGAAAATGACTGCCGGGTTCCTTCCCTTTCCTGCCTGCCAGCGCCTACAGAACCCGACAACAGTATTTTGCGTGGGAATGAACGTCTCTCCCCGCTGCTCCCGACACGTGCCGGCGAAGCACAAGAACACATCTCCAACGCACTGCAGCACGCGTTAGTCTATTTACAGAAAAGAGCGCTGGCGTCGCTAAACGGAGAGCTCCATGTCGGCAGAGCTCCGCGTGAACTCGCACATTCAGGCCGTTTTAAGCAAAGACGTGAGGATCTGCACCTCGACGTGCAAACGTTTCACCTGGTGGTGACAATGCCGTTTGAATGGTGATCAGAAATTAAAAGATATGGGGGGGGGGGAAATTGACTGTTCTTTCTTGCTTACAGCATCTTTGTATTCACACGCGGTCCGGGATGAATAGAAAGTTGATTGCCCTCTTCGCCTTTGCTTCCCGTTTGAAATATGCTAATGCCGCTGCCTGACTGTGGCAGCTTTTAACGCCGGTTTGCGTTGATCACACGTCAGTCAGGCATCGCATTTGCATACACATCGCGCACTCTGTGCCCAGATGTGCTACTGTGGCGCACCCTCCTTCCCTCCAGGAGCTCGGTTCCAGTCGGCTGCAATGTAATTTAACGCCGTTCTTCAGTGCTCGTTACGCACCGTCCCCTTCTTTTGTCCCTCTTCCCAACCCTTTTTAAAGTCTATATGGTCCTCCCCCGTTTACACAGCCTCATGCTCCGTTTCATCAGGCAGTGAAGGAGGACGGCTTAAGAGCCGCACATGTCATCACCGCGTTGGTAAACTGTCAACACTGCTGTGGCCAAACCAAGTAATCCAACCTTTTTTTTTTTTGATGAATTTACACAATACATTTTACAAAAACATTCAATCCAGATAAAAAAACAAAACAGTATAACGCTGTCCGCTGTCAGTATTTTGTTGCTGTACAACAACAATAAAATAAATCACTGAAGATCAAATGTTATGCTGGTTTAAAAAATGTTCCTCCGAGTTTCCACTTGAGCTAATTGCCGCCTTAGCATTGAGGGAGGCGGTTTGTCGGGGCGTCCCGGCGCATTGGAGGGACAGACGGCGCTACGTTGTGTCCGTGCGGGCCGCTCAACGTGACGGCGCACAGATTTATTCAGAGCCACGGGTCGCCCTCCTCCCCTCTGTTGTTCCCCTCTGATTGTGTCTCATTGCAGATTTTTATTTTTTGTGTGTGTACCAGAGCACTTGTGTCAACAAATCTATTGCTCCATAATGAAGTTCTCTCAGCACTTGCAAACAACCGCCGGAAAATGTGTTTTCGGGTTAGTGGCTTTGGTCTGAGTGAACGTTGCTTCTTTTCAAATCTCAATTCGATTTACTGGAAATTTCTGTTTGCCAACGTTCACCTTTGACTTTAAAAATATTTTGCTTGGAAGAAAGAAAATGTGTGTCTGTACAAATATACATGAACTCTAGTCTCAAAGTCTGCAGTCATACAAAATGTATAATGGAATCTAATAGATGTAGCGTGTAGTGACCCATGTGACCTTTGACCCACAAGTCAGAACCATACCCAGACTGAAGATGCCAATGCCGAATATAAAAATGTTAGATCAAACCTTGTACATCAGACCAGAGGCTCGTCTCTCCTTCCATCCCCCAAATAACACACATTCTGAGCATCGCGCAGACACTTTGAAGCGTCCACGTGTGGCGTGTCGGCAGTCTGTGTGTGGCTGCTTGTCTCGAGGCTCCGTGGACACCTGTTACCGACGATTAATTGGAATGGGGTTTGAAGAACCACTCCCTCATTTCCACATTGCTATCGCGCTCCTCATGTCCCCACTTGGGAACAGGTTGTTAAGTAGCTTTTGCTCTTCATCTGTTATTTATGCATTCCGTCTGATCACGGCAGCATCTGTGGGGAGGAGCTTTGTCTCGCTCAGTGGACAGTGTCATTTGTCAATGTATTCGTGGTGAGGAAACAAAAACAGGAGGCTTGCTAATATTGTCACCTGGGTTACTGGCTTCGGGTTAAACTCTTTGTTTCTTTAAAAACAAAAAACAGAGAAATACTCTTAGTTGGTTGGTACTGCCAAGGTTTGTGTAACATGGGGCGTTCTCTTCTCTCTCATGCTCTTCCAGCGCTGATCGGTTTGCGCTCTAGCTTCTGTTATTCAACCACGCTGCCCTGTGGGAGCATGAAAGGGAGTTGTGTGATGAACAGAACCTTCTTCCTTTTGCCCCCCGCCCCCTCCACACACACACACACACACACACACACACACACACACACACACACACTCCCCCCCACTGGGTCCCCGTAGTGTTTCTGAGCTGAACTCCTTTTTGTTCATCACTCTCCTGAGCGTTGCGTGTGGACATTCAGGCCGCACATTGAGCCGCTCAACCCGACGTAGTTGAGCCTTACTTACTTCCTCTTCCACTCCTTTTTGATTTTTATTTTTCGCATTGGCTGCCAACAGTGGTTCCAGGGATGCGATGAGAATACCGGCCGTCCCTGAGCTTGAAAATGTCTCATCTTATCTTTCCGGAGTGATTATGTGTAGCCTTCAGTTGGGATTTGCTTACCACATATTTCTCCTGTTGTTGTGTTTACAGAACTGTCTCTTTACTCTGATTAAACACTTCCAGAATGTTTTTTAGTTGGTGTGTGTGTGTCCTTCCTATCACACGTCTGCAATATGTCGCGCTCTCTCTCTTGCTGACACACAGACGCAGGTAAAAAAAATAAAAAGCCTCTTAGAACATCAGCTTTTGAAGTGGCTCCTGCTCGTTTTGTCGACCCGGGGGACCCGCTCTGCAGTCTCCTGTGTTTCTCTGCCCCCCCCCCCCCCTCCCCCTCCTCACTCCCCTCACTCGATACCCAGTTGAGGCTAAGTTGCCTAATTAGCAATTTGTCAAGGACACTCTCCCCCTCGGGCGACCGCGGTCTCACAAGGCACGACGCAAGTGCAGCCTGACCTGAAAAAGACCCCAAGCGAAGCAGAGTCGTAACGGGGGAGGATTGTAAATGGGGGAGTCACAAGGGAAGCGGATGGATGTCTCTGGGACGGGCAGAATAGTCCCCGGTTTCGTTTTGCCATATTGCAGATTTTTCGAGTTTTTTTTCATTTTTTCCCGGGACGAGGCAAACGTCTGAGTCATTCCGAGGGAGTGACAATCTCACACACACGGACACACAATCTGCTTCCCTGAACATCGGTTGGAAATTCATCAGCCTCCTCCGTGCTTTTGCTCCCCTTTTGCCCTTCATGAGACACGGCCTGTTAATAAAGTGGTTTTAGTTAATCAGTGCATTAAAAGATCATTGCAATTATTGAATGTCAAAACAATTTGCCTGAGTTTCACATCATTTAAAATAGAGAAGATTAAAATATATAATATATTTATTATAATAAATATATATACATTTTTGAATGGCAAATAAACAAAGACTGTTGTGTTTTACACCAGCAACTTATACTGGGTATTATCCATAGTTAAGATATTTACAGAGAATGAATTGAATGATGTCTATATTAAGATTTTATTATTATTATTCTTAAGAACGGGTTTGCTAAATCAATGTCCATTTTTTTCCCCCCCCTCACAGTGAATTGAATTCCAAACTACAAGACACTCTGGAGCAAATAGAGGTATGTGCCTATGTGCCCGTTATTATAGAGCGATACCAGCCGAGGGACTTTTAGCAGTAAATAAGATTGTCCTCGTACCTTGTAAGTTTCCACAAGCCCTCGTCTGAAAGAGGCAATTTGTCCTTCATTTCGATAGCTCGCCTTTATTTTTCTGGGTCTGCCAGATATTGACACATTCAAAACGTCATTATTGTCTCTGTGCAACCACAGTGAATTATATCGGTTTCATCTCTACCTGTGTGACGTGAAAAATGGAACGCAGAGCAATTTTCTCTGCTCCGCTGCCGCCGCGCTCGAGTGGATTAATTACTTTCGGTTTTGTCTGTACACAAGACGCAGGCGCGCGCGTACACACACACACACACACACACACACATTGCCATGCAGCAAGGTGCGCGTCTCTTTTCCCCGCCCCCGTCTGTCGGAGTTTGTGAATAAGCAAAGCAAAATCCTCCAGGATCATAAAAGTAAACACTTGCGCGCGCACACACACACACACACAATAGTGGGATTTTAGTGTTCAACCCCGTCATCTTAAGAATGCCAAGAGCCAGAAACCCCATAAACACAACAAAAATAATGCAAGCTCACCGGCTATCGTCTGACCCGGGTCGTCTTTGTATTACATCGTTTGATGTAATACGACGGGGGTCGTCGTGGCGCAGGGGTTAGAGAAGGGTGCTGGGAACCACAAGGTTGGTGGTGATTCCGGGCTGCCCCATGTTCCATGTCGAAATGTCCCTGAGCAAGACACCTAACCCCTAATTTGCTCCCCAGGCAAAATGTGAAAAGCCATGGGTTTTAAAGTGTAATGTAAGTCGCTTTGGATAAAAAAGCGTCTGCTAAATGACCTGTAAATGTAATGTCTCCTTGCTTCTTTTGGCTTGTCATTTTTTTTGGTCTAAATATACAGTTATCCATGGCGTCTATGAGAAAATCACATGGAAGCTTGTTTTCCTAGTTATTGTAGAAAACTCCAACGGCAGCAACCAAAAACGCTGAAACTACGGGAGGCGTCACTTGAGGTTCCAGACGGAAGCTGGTTTCGGTTGCAGCACCAAACCTGTTCAAACAGACGGTTAATCGCGGTAGCTGCGGGGGGGCGGGTGGTGTTGGCATGTTCGAGCACAGCTTCTGAAGCGTGGGAAAATCCGATCGTTGCGGCATCCGACCGCTCGATATCCTTTTGAGGTTGTGCTACTGTGTCAGGGTCGTGCTGCGTCCTTCAACCTCGCCTTGCTTCCTTACCTCTCTTTATTAGCTCCCTTTCAAAGACGGGCACACTCACAAAAATACGCCCACGTCCACATCCAATTACCCTCGGCCTGGTGCGGCAGCTGCACATCTGCACATCCATCTATGTAAATCCCCCGGTCTTAACGTTGATAATCCCCCCTCCTTCCCTCTGCTTTTTGTCATGTGTCTATTTCTGGCTCCAGGAGCAGCTCGACGTCGCCCTGTCGAAGACTTGCAAGCACTTTGATGTTTCGCACTACACCAAGGTCCAACTGGCCTACACGCTCCTGGGAAAGACTCAGGTCAGTGGTTCGATCCGTCTACAGGGGCCAAATGTGACCGGACGCGGCGGTCTGACTGTTGTCCTCGCTTCACGGCACGTGTCCCTTTTTAATCTCCTGTTGGGGAAATGTCAGCTTTTCTTAGCCTTACGTTATCGATGCTAATGTTCATATATATAGACAACGTTGTTTCCATAGTTTCACCACCATTTTGTTTAGAACAGTATGTCATCCTTCCTGTTGCATTCTGTTCTGCTCGCTGTCAAACTCACGCCCACAAAAAAGGACAGTCTTCTCGATAACCCAGGGAAGTTTAAGTTTAGAGCAACAACTAGTAGTTTTTGTCAGAAGAAATATAAAGGACCATAACCTTAAATGGCACGGATATTATCTTTTTACTTGCTCCTCAAATCCCACTCCAGTCCTGGTATTTGTTTTTGTTGAAAACCCCTGATCGCTCTTGCCTCTGTGTTTAATAACCCACACACCCCATCATCATATTCAAAATCTCACATAGCCCTGATCCCTTTCTTCTGCTTCAAATTACATTTCCCCGTCCCTTTCTCATAGCCCTGACCTTATGCTTTCTTCATAGCTGTAAAACTTACATAAAAAAGACTATTCATTGCGGCCTTTTCATTACTCTCTGATATGAAAGAAATTCTTAACGTTCCGCTTACATAATTTTTGTCCTCGACCCGATTGTGACTTTTCTCCCCCGACTTGCTGAAACGAGTTTGATTGACCATGTTTGACTAACGATGAAGCTGCCATTAGCTTTTCTCTACGCTGCCAAACCGCCTCAAGTGAAATTTCAAACATTTACACATTTGTTCATATATTGATTTCGCATGCATTCGATTCCTAAATCAACCGTTTTGTATTGTAATAATATGTTTTATATTTGTAAACTCTGTTCGTTTGCCACCGGTGTATCCGCCAGCAGGCCGTGCTTTTTTGTTTTGCTGTTTGGTTGTTTTCCTGATCTTTTTGTCTCGGTCACCGAGATGAAGGGAAGCTCATAAACTCAGGCCCCTATGATGTCTGAAAATAACCCTTTTTGGCAAAGCAGTGGCCCATTTTCGCTGAGCTTACAAGTGAAAGTAATTAAATCCTGCGAGTTGAATAAACTAGTCGGACGTATTCTTTCTTTGTCCTGCAAAACTCGTGCGCATGTTAATGGTTAACGTCTCTTGACATTAACATCCATCCTTGAATCACAGAGATGAATCATCAAGGCTTGTTGTGAATGAATTGTTTTCCTCATTTCTGTGATAATCAGTATTTCAGTCTCAAAAGCCCACAGAGGAAAGCGTTCTTGCCGTTCATCCCACGGGCATGTTGTTGTTTTCCTTTTCACTGTCACTGAATCACGCCCCCTCTTCTTCTCCTCTTCTCTGTGTCACATTAAGCCACACATATCATCTTCGCCTTTATGTGAGCTCTCACTGCACTTTTTTTACACCCACATAGTTACACTGTAAATAATAATCTGCAACGTTTCACTTCAGGTTTTTGTATTTTCTTTCTTGCTTTAGCTGTCATTGCCTGATAGCCATAGTGCAATGGACCTTGTGAACCAGTCCATGCTTTGTGCAGCCAGCAGTCGACCCCGTGTTTTTCAGCCAGATGAGGTCGGAACTCTGTACAGAAGCAGAAAAGGAATGTTTGAATTACTTTAGTGGCAGCGGACTGTCAGAAGGGACGCTGCCCTCGTTTTGTGGAGGTGAGCCTGCAGTAAGACAATTTAATTGCACGGCACAAGACGTCTCGCTGGGACTCCGCTGTTCCCCACTCACTCGGGTCCCGCATCGAGGCTGTGCGAGGGAGCTACAGAATGGCAAATGTGACTTGTGATCTGTGACTTTGCAAAAATGTTATGCTCACAAGTGTAAACTTGCAGCTGCGTGGAGACAGCGATGCACATTCTCCCTCATGTTGTATTTCCTAGCATATAATACCAAACATCAGGTACACAACACAAGTCACCCAGATGTTTGATTTTTTTGCTCCTAGTTGTTTTCCTCTTCTCTGATCCACCGCTGGCAGGTGACCTCTTAAACATAGCAGCCAACATAACGGCGTGCTGGCTCTCTCTCTGCAGACCGCCATGGACCAGCTGCACATGCACTTCACCCAGGCCATCCACAACACCGTGTTCCAAGTGGTGCTGGGGTACGTGGAGCTCTGTGCCGGCAACGCCGACACCAAGTTTCAGAAGATGCAGTACAAGGACCTGTGCACGGTAAGGGGATGTGTGTGTGTGTGTGTGTGTGTGTGTGTGTGTGTGTGTGTGTGTGTGTGTGTGTGTGTGTGTGTGTGTGTGTGTGTGTGTGTGTGTGGTGGGGGGTATTCACCCATTCTGTCTGCAAAATGTAGATTTTTTTTTTTATTTGCCCCGTGTTGGATTACGGTGAAAACTAAACCCCCTTCTGGACTCAGTTAAGTGAGAACTTACTATAGGACTAAAAAAAAATATCAAGGTGTCTTGATGAAAGCACATAACACACTCGCACGCCGGGCCGCTCATATTGCGCCTCAGGCTTCCCCTGAACGATGCCTTATTTCCTGACGAGGGATTCTACAGATGCTACATCGCTGGGTGAAATGAATGCATAGAGGAGAAAGGGATTCATAGAGAGACGCGTGTACCGCGCGTTCGCCTCGCCATGAGACCGTTAAATCTTGCTCGCTATGCAGAGCTGCAGCAGCACGTTATTTGAGGGGGCCCACAGTGCCCCCCCCCCCTTCCCTCCGGATCAAAATAAATCCCATTTGGATGGCCGGCAAGCCATAACTCCAGACGATTCATCATTGGCTTTGCTGAGTGGGAGTTTTCTTCTCCCGGGGAGATGTGCTGAGATGTATGTGCTGAGATGTACGGAGGTGTATTGGTAAAGGTTATTCGCGCCTGATCGGAGGCAACGGTTGCTTTCTTGACAGTCTCTGGATGTTGACCCCTCCCTGACTCTCCAGCTCTTACGTGTGGCCTCGCCGTTTGCCCGCTCAGCTTTTACTTTGCTCTTATCAACAACGCCCCGCCCTTCACCTCCTACCTGGGCCGCCTCTCCTCCTCACCTCTCCTTCCCTTGTCTCCTGCTTCTTTCTCTTCAGTTTCTGCGTATATTTTCCTTTCCCCAGTCGGTATGCGGCATAGACGGATTTGGATCCGCTTACGATCCGGAGGAGGTCGATGGGCGCCTGCATTCATGCTGGATGGTGGCATGTTTTCACCGTCAGAGCCGGAGAGAGGATTACCAGTATCTCTGTCCCTTCCAACAGCACTTTTCAGCACTTTTCTGTGTCCCCCGTGAAAATGTGTCAAAAATCGGGATTTATGCAAAAAATATAATTATTTCCTTTGACGTTGATTGCCATGAAAAACTGAAGACCGTGGATGTAACAAAGTGCTACGGATACACGTTAATTAGCTCTCGGTTAAGAGCTCTCTCTTGTTTCCGACAAGGACGTTTGGCTCGTTATTTTCACCGGCGGCTGCATCTGTAAACGACTTACTCAACTCCTGTCTTCCCTTTTAGCAGAGTGTCTGCGAATACATCACGACAGGGACACTGATTAACTGGACTTTCGTGATTCGTGATTAAGACATGAGCTTATTTATATTTTACTTCTAGATAAGGTGTCAAATGAGAGCATTTGCCTCCCGGGCCGTGTCTCCATAACGACACTTTAATATAAAATCATGAGGGAGTAATTCGCCCTCAGGCAAAAGCGTTATCTCTAAATGATGCTTGTTTAACCTATTTGAATCCATTTTTTTGTATTCAGTTGAACTCCTTTAATACCAAATAGAGAACCATCAACTGTCTCGAGGCCTCCTATACACAGATCTTCTCAAATATTGTGCACACGCAGCTGTCCACAAGCTGTGACAGGCGCGGCGTAATGTTTACTTGTGTTGGACAAGCTGTCCGCACAGCGCGTCGGCCGGGTGATCCCACTCACAGCCCACGTATTCACAGACCCATGTTCCACTGTACACAGCAACTCAGGATTAATGGGATGTGCCAGTAGAGTCTGGCTTGTGATCGTGATTGATGCGGCAACACATCCCCCACGCCCGGTGGGGGGGACGAGCGCAGAGACAGTCGGCCCGCGCGGCGCTCCGGCTGATCGACCATTTGAACTAACTTTCTATCAAAAGCAAGACGTTCTGATAAATAGTCTCTGGCGTCCCGCTGTGCGTTTAGAGAGGGCACGTCCGCCCCGCTAAGCGCTGTTAATCAGCAGTGCTGAACGTCCAAATCCATTGGGCTGTCTCTCTCAAAGGTCTGAATGTTTCATGTTTCCGTCAGACGCTGAGATGATTATTACAAATATAAGTCATCGTTTTACTGGCGCCCTGTGACTTAACTCCTCCTCCTACTGCTTGCAATCAAAACAACTGTTGATTGGACAATCCAAGAAACGTAACTGACTACTTGAGGTAGAATAATTTATCAATGGCACTCACAAAGGGACAACTAGGAGGCGGATGTGGTGCACACACACACACACACACACACACACACACACACACACACACACACGGTAGAGAATGTTTTTTGCTTTGGATCAATATGAAACCTGGCGTTTGTGGAGAAGAGAGGACGTATTCAGCTGCTGCTCCCCCCGATAAATAAAGGTCAAGGAAATGTGAGACCTCCTCAACTCCATCTCTTAGTTATGCAACTTAAAATTCAAGAGGAAACGGGAACACTCGGCAAGGTCGGTTGTGATAGTGAGAGGGTCTTATTAATTTTACATCTACATCTCCTCATTAATGGCCAGCCCCGTTCCTCATCGCGCCCCTTCAGCCCCCCGTCTGTCCGTCCTATCGTAGACTGCGACGGGCATCGAAGCTGCTGGTGCGACTTCAGCCTCTCGTTCTTTCTACCCGTGTTAAAGAGAGCCGTCATCCCCCCCCGACAATATGCAACTGCTGCTCGTCGTGACGCATCCCACTCTCAGCTCTGCGGGTTCCCATTATTTTGATATTGGCTGACCTCCAGCGCGGTCATAGGCATCTGAAGCATGGACCGTGCTGGCGGGCTGTGTGGAGTGGATGTTGACACTGTCGCTCACGTTAAGTAGTGCTATTATCCTGTGCCGGCCCTTTTTTCAGAGTGCTTTATGCATCATATAACGCCCTCATGGGCTCTGATGGATGTAAACTGGTCTCACACTGTTTGGCTATTAGTTTGTCACGGTAGCTATATGGGCTTCTTAAGACCACAGCTGTTCATCAGCAAGATTATTTTTGCTCTTTCCCAGTGAGAGGGATGATCAATTTGATTTTTTGATTCCCTGGATGAGATGCCCTCCCCGGCCCCCCATTCATGAGAGTTCTTTCTTTGTAGTTGCCCACGACACCCTCTCTGGATGAATCTGTGGTTTGAAGAGCAACACCAAACTCCCTCTGTTTATCCATGGGTACTCAGTCAGTGCCTTTGACAACGTCGACATGTGCAATGAACCTTGTCGTTGCGCATGGCAAGTTTTTGTGATCAAGCACTCTAAAGGACAACATGAAACGGGGAGCCGATGATCATAAATATGTCCGTTTCCAGCATTTTCATCCCTGCGGTAAAGCACCAGGCGGCTTCCTGCCGAGTAGGGTAGTAGATAGTTATCAAAAAAGAGCATTTCCGCGAACTATTAATTAAATCCTCCAAAACGTCTTTAGCAACAGCATCAATAAGAAACCACTCAAGCAAAAAGCAGCAGACCCTTTCTGTGCTCTTTAAGAAATCGAAATTCCCACTTGTACGTAGAAGATAGTTGTGTCACCGTGAACCACTGACAGCTTAATTGACTCATGGGAGCCAGAATGCAATTTGAAAGTTGACCTTACCGGTAGGATGCACCGGCGACGATGTGATCTGTGTTTACTGAGTTCATTTCAAGATCATTTTGAGCTCACATGAGGAATCCCCTACCTCGGTACACAACTGCTTCATGCGCTGTGCACCGATTTGTGTTTACGGTTGTGTTTGTGTGAGAAAAAGAAGCCCGTTTGCATTCTTGCACAGCAGGTCTACAGAATGCCGACTATGTTTTTAATCTCTAGCGGGTTCATCTGTTTATTCGTTCTTTTTGTGAAACGACGGGAGGGGTGTGATTGTCTTTTCCCATAGAAATGGAATTAGCTCAATCAGGGTCACCTGCCCTAGTTTATTTGTGTGCATTCACACACACACACACACACACACACACACACGCACAAAGCAGCAGAAAGAACTCACTGCTTTGTCTTTTGAAAACCTTTCTGACACCAACCTGCCATGTGTTACGTGCATAATGATGGGCTACACTTCACAGAAAACCAAATGGCTGAAACTAGACCCCGAGCCTGCCTCCTCTGAGCACTCATCACTGTACTTGACTGTAAGGCAAGAAAACGTATTTTTCACACCCTTTTATAAGCGCGCACGCACACACACACACACACACACACACACACACACACACACTGCACACTGAACAAAACAGCTGTGTAGATGTTCTTCTTCTCATTAAACCCACTACAGATCCTCACCCACACACGCACACATAGTCTCATCTCTAACCCCCTCAGCTCCGCTCACCGCGGTTGCCCGGCAACATGCAGCTGTGATGCGGTTGACTGGTGGAGGACACGGCATGTCAAGTGTAAGCCTGTTTTTTTTTTTTTGTGCAAACTGGTTCATTTGGTTGCGGTTTGGTCCGCTGCTGCTGGAACCGGTTTGTAACTGATACTGTGTTGATCGCTTTTTTTTTTTTTCAGGTTGGTCTTCAGAACTATTATTTTCATGGACTGTGCAGGGAAATTACATTTCTAGTACACAGTAGCATGCGTGTATTATTATATAATTGTTAGTGCCGGTGTTTCATGTCATGTTTGATACTGGATGCACACAAATAGTACAACTAGAATAAAAACATTACTATTGATGTTGTTGGGAAGTCTATTAACGAGTGTTGAACAGCGGCCCAGTGGTGGGATTCAAATGTTTTTTGTATTGAGTACAAGGATTCGTCAGTCACCACCACAGTTCTGTCATAATTTGTCGGACTTGAGTAAGAAAAGATCGATTCATGTTCACTGTACACCTGCAAAGCCCTCCACCAACTTGCACCTCCCTATCTCTCTGAAGTCCTTTCCCCCTACCAACCTCATCGGTCCCTCAGATCCACCTCGGCCAGACTACTTTTCACCCCCACATCCAAACTCCGCAGCTTTGGGGACAGAGGATTCTCCAGGGCAGCTCCCAAGCTCTGGAACTCACTCCCCATTCTCATCAGACACTCCGACTCCATCACCACATTCCAGTCCCGCCTCAAAACACATCTTTTCTCATCTGCTTACCCGTAGCCGCCTCCCTTCCCCTACCCTTCAGTCTATGTAGTTGTATGCGATCGGCCCTATATGTCGCCCCTCGTGTCTTGTCTCCTGTCTGTCTGCCTCACACCATCCCCCCTTCGACTATGTTAAAGCATCTTTGAGACATTTAGAAAAGCGCTATATAAAACCAATTATTATTATTATTACTGTAGCAAAGGTGTTAAAGTGCCTTTTAAAACAAAATGAAATGAAGATTTATTATAGTGGTAAGTGCATAATTTATAGTCATCGTTAGAGGGATTGCACGGTGTTTCGTTTTAATTTATTCAGAGGCTTCTTTATTTCAATATGATTGGCAATTTAATTTTTCTCATGTTGAACTTTGAGACTTCACTCACGTCAGTATGATCACAGTTGGGCTCTTCATTAAAAAGCGACCGTCAGTGGCAGAGTGTTGTGTTGTTTATGTTCACAATGCTTTTGTCAAAGGAAGCAGGGGGTCTGCAACCACTTCAAGTGATTGAAGTGCTGCAGCCGGCGACGGCACCGTTTGATCCGGCAGGGATTCATTCGTCTAGTTTGTCCGGCGGGACCCTGAGCCCTGTCAGGGGCTGTCAGGGGCTAGTAACTTACACACATCCTCCGAGGCGGTCGGGCCCTCTGAGAGCTCAGAATGTGACGTGGATATGGGTTGGATGTGTGCGGATAGAACAGCAGTGTGATTTGTCCTTCGAGTTCCCACGTGAAGTGGAAAAAATGCACGAAAGCACTGAAAATGTTATTGAAATTAACATTCTCCTGCGGTACTATCCAATGAACCAATTCACATTCAGGTTGGATGACATGACAACTCCGAAGGATTACTCACTCCTTAAATACTTAATCCTCTCCAATGTACCTTTCAATACTGTCTCATAGTGCGCAGGAACAATAAAGTTAGACATTATGTCGTAGCTGATGTATTGCTTTTACGATCCTCTGCATGTTGTAGATCTTCAGTCCTCTCTGTGAGGGCCATTTGAGATTCATCTGTAAATGTTAATTTCTCTTCTCTTGTCGGCAGCATATCACTCTGGACAGCTACATTCCCTGCCTGACTGATCTGTGCAAGGCATTGTGGGAGGTGATGGTTAGCTACCACCGCACCATGCAGTGGCACGAGGAGCATGACAAACACGAGGCCACGCCCACTGCAGGTAAGAGAGTTTTACTTAAAAAAAATAAAATGGCACAGGTTGATTTGATCAGATAGACCTCCACATACAGAGGCTCTATCAGCCTTTTAGCTCACATACAAAAGAGTATTGAAATTGTGCAGTGTGGTGATACTTTATAGCACCTTCTGAGCTCCCTCTCAGTGTAGAGGTCATCCGCACCGGCATAAATACGTTAGATCACGCTGTTAAACGCCTCCTTCCTCCAATAACCGCAGGAGATGGTGTGGTTCTGCATTCGTTCGGCGTCTCTGCGGTGGTTTGCGTGTATTAATTTTGTCACAATTTGTTTGACACTGTCCTAATTACTTGAATACACATTATATGCACACGTTGTTGGATTCACATTGGAAAATGGATGGGGACTAGCGGTTTAGTTTTAAGGCTAAATATATGCACAGGTGATGAAGCACTAGTGATTTACGCGGGACTTTGACTTGAGCTCAGGACATTTGTGTCTCGCTGTTTCACTTCACGGTGGTACCGTTCACAGATGAAATGACTTTTTCCACATTGTGTTGTTGTTTTTTTTTTGTTCTCCCCAGTGACATTCTTGAACCTCCAATATCACTTGAGCCGTTTTTATCGTTTTAGAAAAGAGGAAGCAAAGAACTCTTTGTGCATTTTCTGCCGACAACAGTATAAATTACACTGACTCTCCACTGGAAGCTGCTCTCAAGTTACGGCAAGACGACTGAACATCTGTTCAAACCCAAAGCTTGTATCTGGATCAACGAGAAAAGTCTGACTTGTGTCTCAGCTTCCTGCCTTCAGTCAGCCCGACATGAAAACATCTGCCTGGAGAAGCTCTGTTGCCAAGGCGATACATACTTCACGGTTTAGCAGGAAGCTCCACAAGAAGTAGAATGTCTTACCTGTTTTGAAAAAGTAAACCCTGCTGGATTTAGTCTGTTGCATTTCTTTTTTTTTTTCCTCACCTCGTCACTGTGTCCTCATTTGCTTTGCCAAATGAGCTGCGAGCGTTCTACTAGTTCCCATCTCCCACACCGCACCGGATCCATTAGGCCAGTGGATGAGGACGGAAAGATGTCCGGGAATGGTGGGCGACAGTCCCCTACATCCTTCATTAGATGCGACACCCCCCTCTCCCCTCTCCCCTTCAAGGGGAGAGGACACGCGCCGCATTTCCTATCACAAGGCGCATCTATCATCTGGCTATTTGATTGTCCGTCCCCCTCTGTCCTCTGTATAAAGGTGTCCCTGACCCTGCTTTTGTCCTGGCACCTTTTTCCTCTCACTTCTAATGCGTGCACAGGGTCCATCAGACTAATGATTATGGGCCTTTGGTCTCATTTGTTGAGGAGTACGACCTCGGCATACAGTGACCTCCATCTCACGCGGGACGCCATCAAAGTCTCAACTGTCAGGCCCACTGAATCTCGCACGCACACACACACACACACACACACACACACACACACACACACACTGACACACACACGGCTCTCCCCTCCTTGAGAATGCTAAAACAGCATTCGGCCACCTAATAAATTGAGCGGGTTGGTGTAATGTTATTTTGCCACTGGCCAAAGGAAAGGTTATTTCAGGAATGGAATAATGGCTCCGGGTCGCATGCCTACATGACAGAATAGATTTAACACGAGTGTGATGGAATAATAAAGGAGCATGTTGGCTAATACTGAAATATATGGCGGCTGTCTGCTCCTATGAGATGAAGACAAAGATCAGTTTTCAGCAGTCGGGGGCGAGAGTTGGCCTTCACACCTTAAGGCGCAGCAGTAACGTAGAGTGTAAACTATAGAGCGCATGCGGTGTGAATGAAGTCATGGTTTACTGACCTCCAGCGCTGCATATTGAATAGTTATTTTTTTTATCTTTTTCATCTTACTTTCCTATTGCGTCATACCTCCGTTCCACTATGGCATCTTGACTTGGCAGCCAATCTAACGTAATTCTTTCTTTTTTGATATTTACAACCCGCTGACGTGTATAAAGTAGTTGGATTTATGTGCAAGCCTGTTCAGTGCATCCCCCTGAAAGGACCCCCAGTTCGGAAGTTCCCACATTGAACCATTTGAACTCATTACTGTGGCATGTGCACCCGACACTGAATAAATTAATTACAAATATGTAGGATATAAATTGTGATGGAATCCTCTAAAATGAAGTGGGTTTGGTCGTGCTTGTTGAAGCTTTTTAAACGCGTTTGAGACCGTGATCACACTTGTCTGGACGAAGAGACTTTGATTCAATGCTCTGGATCGTATTTGTCCGCAAATGTGTGTCCACGCTGCACCCTTCAATGCGACCTGTCTGATTGGACATGATTCAGCATCCATTGCGCTCGCCAAATGTTTTTGCTCTCACACACTCGCTCTCCCCCACTTGTGCTCATTAAATGGAATCCAGTGATGTCAAGTCTACCCGCTCCAATTTCTCCGAAGCCTTTTTGTTCTTTTGCCTTTTAGCGAGTGATTCAATTGTTTTTAAATGTGTTCCGTCTCTCGACTTAACTCAAGCCAATGTTATTGGAGTCCCAAGGACAGGGTTTGAGATTCTCAGACACGTCTTATTAAACCCTGCCACAATGTCACCGTCGGACATCGTGGCTATGAATGGCTGTAACATGACTGTGCTGCCTGTGGAGGTAATACTATATGAAAGGAAAGAAATGGATTACGTGCATTGTGAGCAGACTCCCGGGGAAATGCAGAATCTGAGATGGATCACAACATCAGATAAATGCATACAACAAAGGGAAACCGAATGGGATGATTGCAGAGATCCATGATGTATCCAGGGGAAGAGTTTAGCCAAAAGTCTGATATGATCTGCTTTTGTGAAAGGTGTATCAACTTTAAAACAACTATTGGGCTTCATGATACCTTTTGTTTGTGTTTTAAAGCACTCATATAATAATTAACAAAGTTTTTTATTTTATTTTATGAGAATATTCAGCCTTTCAGATTCTTGGAACAAAGTTGCAAATTCAGTGAGATAATAGTACATTATAAATAGTACATTATATAGTACTGTATATAGTAGTCTATAGTATAGTAGTAATAGTCTAAATAGAGTGTTGGAAGAAGATACCGATAAGGAAGACCTCTGTACAAGGCATATACTTTATTATGAAAAAACGTCTTCAACAAGTTGTGTTTGAAACAGATAATTTATTGTAGGATTGACATACTTTGTCCCATCTCGTTTGAACTTAATTACAGGCGACGCTTCTTAAATGGCCTATTATTGCGGTGGGACACTTGAAGCCATTAAGGGAACCACATCGTGCCAAGCTAACGCAACACCATTTGACATGAATCCCACTTGAGGATTCGTCTCTTCTTTGGTGCATTGAGCCTTTTGTCAGACGGACGGATCCTCCGTGCTGCTAATTAAATGCCTCAGAGTGCGATTAACGCGGGTCCTGTGGGTGCAGCGGGGCTCTTCTTGCGCGCCGATGAATCCAAAACCACAGAGCCGCTCGACCTTGTGAGGTGAACTATGCCGCTGGCTGTTTCTCACACGTTATGATAGAGCCACAAGGAACGACGATCATTCATGGATGATTGGATGATTTATAGGGGCACAATTATTTCAATCCATGAAAATCGCAATGTCGGCGAGTGCGGTTTTCAAATGGCCAAAATGTGTGTCAATTGTCGTCACGCATCGTATTCGGCGGATTAACACACCTCTGGTTGGTTGGTACGAAACCCGGCAAAAATATTGCACCGTAATCATTTCAATTTGTTTTGGGAAGTCTGACGTCCCGCTGCTCCCTCGGGAGTCACTTCTATTCCCATCTATGCCGTAGAAGTCCAATAAGACTGACTGACCTGAATGATGCGTGGAGTTTGCTTTTAAGAATAATTGCAGTTTTTTCAAGTGAAAACATCACGTCAAACATTGGCTGATGTCGTTGTGTAAACCCTGGATTACACTCACACGTGTAGTTGTGTTGCACCTGAACAACAGGCCTGTTTGATTTTTAAAGACGTCAGGTTGGCGAAAGAAGCACTTCTTTTTTTCTTTTTCTTTTTTCTTTATCCCCATAAGAATAACACATTCACAGACTTTGAGATTTCAGAGGAGCTTTGATTAATCCACACTCACTGATCCCTGATCCCACTTCTGTCTTTTAGCTTTGGTATTTCATGCCCTTTTGACCTTTTTTTCCTTTTCGTTAAGTGACGACACGGCGGTTCTGAAGACTTTCTTGAACTTTTACCGGCCTTTCTCTCGTCCTCTGTTATTATATTGATATAACTAGATATATTCAGTGTGTGGGTGTGTTAACATTTATGTTAATACTTTGTTTAATGGATGTGCTTTTTGTTCTGGTATGTCACACCCTGACATTTTGGACCTTCCATTTAACTGTTGAGTAACATTCTTTGCCTTTTAAAGAATACAGATATAAGTGTAATGTTTCTTGTTATGGAAGAAGGCAAAGTGGACTCCGCAGGTTCGCTGTGACGTGGCTCTGTTTTGACTACAGCTCGGAGGTCTTTGGCTCGAGCTGGATTGAATTGTGTTTGTATGTTTAAAACTTTAGGTCTCTCAACCATGTCCGTGCTTCGGAATAAGAGAAACAAGTCGCTGTGATTCATGGCCGTCTCCCGTGATGCCTCTGACTTATGTGTCTAACCAGCATCTGGTTCTGAGGCTAATGGATGGCACCGCATGGGATCTCGCGCATAACCAGATCCACACGTACTCAGGCGGTGAAACTTTTATGTTTTCTTCAGTGCTCTTAAACTACTCTTAAATTCTTTCCTCTCCAATGCTCCTAAATGATCCGTTCTCCCGTCTGTGATTGGATCACATGGCAACGGGTTTGCTGTGGGGGCGATTTTTATATCTTTTTTTTTGTATTTTAAGAGACCGCTTTTAACCAGAGAAGAAAATGATCTTTTCTGAAGGAGCACATTTCATCTTGGTTCTCGTTTAAAAAGGCTTGAGGAAGTTCTTACACATTTAAATGTTGCCTTAAAAAGAGAAGTAAATTATTTATTCAGAGCCCACCAGTGTGTAAACCTCATTTTGTGCTCTGCAGTTCTGTACTTCTTATCTGGCTTATAGGGCCATGACCAGAGTTATTCGTGTCTCTCCTGCTTAGAAACGGTTGTAAAATGCTTTTGGACATTGTGTCACGTTAGGCCATGTTATTATATACTGCACTGAATGATGTTCAGTAACAATGACGTTGGTTATCCAGGTGCTGCCGTGTGTAAAGAGTTTAGATGGGCTCTAAATCCATAACGACACGCGTAGCCCTGTAGCTGACCCGGGATCACTGTAGAGTAAAACCGTAAATATTTAATGCGCATTTTATGGCGTTTATTCATTTTTAAAAAAGAGGTCCTGTCACAGTCCGCACGGCGTTCTAGTCGATCAGTAAGGTGATGGGCGGGGGAATCGAACCAGTCAACTGCAGATGTTGGTTTCATTTGGCTGGCTGCCCACCCCCGGCCCCTTATTGAAGTGCCATCCGGTATTGTCATATTGTCAGTCTTCGCTCTCTCTCTCTCTCGGGGGACTCCGCGACCTACGCTCCCGTCAAATGCCGGCTGACATCCACTTCTTGGACATAAAGTCTCAGCTGGAATTCAAAGCGACTGTTGACGTGGCCGAGCTGACAATGAAGGACGACAGTCACACGTTTCAGATCTGCTTTCCTCTCTATTAGAATATTAGAATGCACCGGAGGAATCCTATTTCATCCTTATTAAAGGTTATTCATTATTCAAAAGTCTTTTTGGACTTTAGTACAGATTCTGATCCAGTCCGCTCACGCCTCACAAATTGTCCATTGGATGAAATCAGTGAGTTGAATTCTCCGAGTGATGCCCGTAACGGCCCCTGTCGAACAATAAGGTAAATGCGATGCATCAGGGGAAATTCATCGCCACTTTGTTCTTTCTTTGAGTACCTCTAGATGGTGCAGCGGCAGCAGAGTCTGATGACTCGGTGGTGGACCGCAGCTACGTGAAGAAGAAGCTGGAGCACGGACTGACTCGGATCTGGCAGGTTGGAACAAATGGTTTCTCTCTGTCTCCATCTCTCTTCCTCGTGGTTTTCTCCACATTTGCGTTCCAGATGCTGCCTTCACCGCACCCACCTTTCTTTATTTATTTATTCGTTCAAATTCCCCACATGCCTCTCGTTTGTCTCCTCCAGGACGTCCAGTTGAAAGTGAAGGCCTACATCCTGGGGACGGACATGTCCAACTTCAAGTACGACGATTTCATTGTGGTGCTCGACGTCATCAGCAGGTACACGCCGAGGCCACAGCGCTCAGCTCAGCCTGCTTCCCACTGTTGCTGTTCCTTTCTCTGTCATGTCTTTTTAAAATCTTCTCTTGTTCGCCTTGATATACTTTGACATGCAGCCCCTAACCCCCCCCCCCCTCCTCCTCCACTCTCTAACTTAATAAGATTATGTGAACACACACCAACACACGGACAAAATAAAGTCCTTTAATCTAATAAGGAAATGATCATTGACATGAACTGAAATTATAATGGTAGTGTTTCCAAACCCATTTACACAACACACTTTGATTCTATTATTATTACTCTGGTTAATAAAAGATAATCACAGACACGAAGTGTGTCCACATCCTGCCGACATGTTTGTGACCAGAATCCTGGATATTATTGTTGACATCACATTCATCTGTACATTTGAGAACCTGTGACTCCAAATTAAAAGCCCCCCCTCCACCCTCCCCCCAAAAAAAGTAGTGTCTGTTGATCTAATGAAGCCACTGTTTGCGTGGCAGTTGTTATCTGAGCACACACTGCAAATGAGATAATCTGTGTTCCTATTCAGCTACCGTGAACTGTCTAAATAGAATACTTTAGATAGCTCACTTTATATTCAGACACTCTTGTGGTACTTTGTCTTCACACCACTGCCAAATTACATTGGTTACAGTTACCAAGTCCGTTGACATTGTGTCTGTATGTGAATATACAGAGTGAAATGTATTTAGTTTATGCAAGTAACCCTTGAATTTAATACTCTTATTTATTTATTTACTCATACTCTTTGTCGTATCTCTTCATATCCTACTCTCCCTTCTCTCCTCGTCCATCATTGTTTTCTGTCCTCGTGTATCTCTGCATCCTTTTAACCTTCTCTTCCAGGTTGATGCAGGTGGGGGAGGAATTTTGCGGCAGCAAGTCCGAAGTCCTGCAGGAGTCTATCAAACGCCAGAGTGTCAACTACTTCAAGAACTATCACAGGCAAGACGTCTTTGCTGCATCTCGATCATTACCGTGGGGATTGGACCCACCTTCTAATCTTTCGCAGAGCCAATGGGATTTGGTTGTTTGTCGTCAATTAGACGGAGAGTGCGCGGATCTAGCGGCACGCTCCCCCGATGTGTATGAAAGAAATCCCCTCAGGACGATGGTAGATAGTGTGACAGAAACTTTTACAAGCAATCGCAACCGTGCAAGAACGGAGTCGATATGTAATTACACAGTAAAACTCCCTGAGTTGGAAGCGCATTTGCCTCTTGATTATGTAGCCCCCTGCCTAACACATGATTATGTATGCAGTCAGGCAGACAGCGACCCGTCATCAGATGTGATTCGCATCGATCAGTGCTGTAATTAGCCATCACGAATCATTGGAAAGACTCTTAAATATCAGATGCCAATAGGTGTCATTCCTAGTTGCAAATTGTCAAAAGAGGGAGACACGTAGGCATGATGGGATACACGGTGGATTAGATGCGAAGAAGGGAGCTTTTCTAATAACGACTCCAGGGAGAGAGACATGATGATGATGAAGAAAGGAGGAGGGGGTGAACACCAGAGGCAATGACACGTACTCCGTCTGCCCTGGTGGCCTGCAGGCTTCCTGAATGCATCATCTTTACATTAGTAATGATTCATTTTCCAGCCCGTTGGGGTGGGCGTATTGCAGAGGACAGAATGACATTGTCAGCGTTCAGAAATGAGAAATATCGAAGAGCTGCGCTATTTGGTAATTTCTGCTATGGTTTCCCCCACCAGCTCATTTTTCTGATCAATTGAAATGTTTTCAAAGCTTAAATGTCCGTTTGAATTCTCTTTGCGCTCCATTAGAAGAATATAACTGCGGGATAAGATGGCAGTCTGTGCAAAATGGACCGACTTAAAATGCAATTAAAATCCCCTCTTTATTTCTCTGCCACAACGCTGCCTCCTTGTCACGCTCACACTTCAAACACCTTTAGGACCATTAACACGGGGAGGGTTCCAAGTCAACACTACTCTGACATTTCCCCCAGCAAGACCCACCAACAGGGGAGCTGGCTTGTTAACCTGGAAACATGAGACACACACACACACACGTCACTGTGCATCAGTGACCTTTACAGGCTTTTTTTGATGTCCGCACACTTAATCTGGATTCTCGGAGCATGTGAAGTCATTGCTGGTCAGAGATGGACACATGTCGACCTCTTCTTTTTATCTTATCTGCTTGTACTTCCTTTTGTCCTTTTTTATTTTCCTCTCATCTCCCTCAGGGCTCGACTGGAGGAGCTGAGGATGTTTCTGGAGAATGAGACGTGGGAACTTTGCCCAGTAAAGTCTAACTTTAACATCGCCCAGCTACATGTGAGTAATACGCAAGTCCCCCCAGGAGAAAACGGAGGGACGCGGTAGCTTTAATTTATCGCTGTCACCAATCGCACACAACCCCTGCTGGGAAATCTGCATGAAGATATGAATCACGGGGGAACCCTGCTTGAAGATGTCTGTATGTGTGTGTCAGCCTCCCATAAGATGTGTAAAGTTCACTACAGGCTATACAACACAGATGAAGATACAACGTCTGTAGTCCCTGTGGCTGCTGATGCATTTCATTCCCCACACCGATGAAATAAACCCTTGAATATCAGAGCCTGTTTGAGTCGACTATATTTTATAACCGACTCAAACAAAAGATCCTTTTGGACGGAAACATCATGCAAAAAGCATGCGTGTTGCCTTGCAAACAGACCATTTGCTACAAAACATGAACCTAAATCTTTCTCTGTCCCATCCTCTCCAATCCAGGAGTTTAAGTTCATGGGCCAGTGTCGTTCGCCCTCCGTCTCCCCGAGCAGACAGGCCGTGTCCTCGGCCGGCCCCGTTCAGGAGGAGCTTTCTCTGTTCCAGCAGTACCACCAGGAGGGAAACCCCTTTGAGATGCCTGCTGAGAACAAAGAGGAGGAGACCGAGGATGTGCTGGCGTCTAACGGGGTGCGTGGAACCTGCTAAATGTTGAAAACACACTTGTGCCAGCTTTGTTGTTGTTGTCCATCACAGCCATTGTGTCGTCATTCCTTGTCTTTAAAGCAATTTCCTTTCCTACAACCACTTCCAAGTATGTCTTATTTAACGAGGCTGCCCGTCGAGGGGGCATCACCAAACACGTAACTGAAGAGCCGTTTACCGCAGCCACTGGGCCGTCGTCGCCGTGGGCCGTAACACACTTGCGTTAATGATGTAGGGCCCGCGGTACACAACTTGCACCATTATTATGACACTTTGAAACAATATTACACCAGCCGTTAAACAGAAAAAAAACAACTTTGGTAGATTCATTGGTAAAGCAAATACTCAACTGTAGTAGTAGTAGAGCTGCATGTAATATATTCATTTTTGATGATTTCTTTTTATTGTGCAGTGTAGTGTTTAGTGTCAAGCCCTCCAATATTAGAAAACCTTTTTTATTTTTTAGGAACACATTTCTACTCTTGTTTTATGTCAAATATAAATAGGCAGCCATTTACCTTAAAGTAAAAATCTTTGTTGTATGGAGAAACTAGCAGGGCTGCCACTTTGGTGCCATAAATAATGCAGCAGTGGAGCAGTTGTGATATATGTATTTTTTTCCACCGTTCATCTATCACGGTACGTTGTGCGACTGCATCTTCAAACCCGGAGGAGCCGCTGAAGCTTCATTAAGGGACAGAGTGTGAGCCTCTTGTTTTGTCCAACAACTGAAGGAAAACCCTTCTGCTTGCCTGACAAATCCTAATCTGATAACATAATGAGCGTGGCCGCTATCGTTATATCCCACATCAGCCCGCTGCTGCTGTTCATTCAACAGTCAAAAATCAGTTAGTTGTTCCTTCGAGGGCTATTTGTAAAAAACGTATTCCTCTTTATGAACAGGGAGAAGAAATTACACCATTCTAACACCTAATTTTTCTATATATGTATATAATTATATATATATTGTATTTTTCTGACTGGCTCAACAACCAGCTGTGTTGCTTCAGCTTGTAACTGAGGACAGAGACAATAGGTCTTATTTAAGAGGAGTTTCAACCAGACACTGAGACCCTTCTTGTGCTTGTGCCTGTGCACCCATTAGGGCAAAAGATGAGGGGATGTTACACCTTTTCTGATGATTCAATTACAGCCTTTTAACACGGTTTGCTTTGTCTGCATTTTCTTCTTCCTTTTTGTACTTTTTGACCCAATTTCCCCGCGCCGTGCTTCCCTTCTGCTCATCTCTGCCGCGCTGCACTTGTTCTCTGCACTGACCGTTTGACCGTTCTCCTAATTCAAGTACGAGTCAGACGAGCTGGAGAAGAGTGTGTACCAGGACTACGACAGTGATAGTGACGTCCCCGAGGAGCTCAAGCAGGACTACGTGGACGAGCAGACGGGGGACGTCCCCCTCAAGAGGTCAGTTCTGAGTCATATTGTCTTACGCCCCCTTTGGGAGACACGCAGCTTGGGGAGAAGTCCCCGCCGGTTAACGCAGGTGTCCGTCCGATCTGCCCCTGGCTATTCAATACAAAGAATGTTAGTTAATCACGCATGCAAAGAAAAATGAGTTGATGAACTTTTCACACGCTCCCATAAAGAATAGGAAGTCATGCATTATTCCACATTTGATGCGTTTGGCAACGATCACCGCGGCTCCCCTCTGCCTGACCCTGCTAAGTAAGCACAAAGCTCGTATAAAGCTTTTTGTCTACACATGAAGAATTCTCTTTCTTCCCACCTTCGCCTACGTGTTGGTGAGTATTGGAAGATGAATCGCTGTTTAACAAAAGCAGAGGCAAATCATGGCATTTAAATGAGCTATTTGAATGCGTCTTGTATTTATTTAGTCATCGGGGTGCGTTGGATTCTAAGGGTGATGTAATTAAAGCAAACAATTATCATCATAACAGCTTATAGCTTTAATTTTTCATATCTTCTTGTCTTTTGATTCAGCGTTGTGAAGTTTAAAATCTTTTCGACGGAAAAACGTGTGTTTGTGGCCGTCTGAGCGGTGATTTCACATTCTTGTTTGCGCAGGAAACAAGGATACAGATGACCATTACTTATTCAGTAGCTCCTCATTACAGAAGCGCTGTTTCAGTAATAACCTCCTGTCGTGTAATTCACGGTGACTTGTTAATGCCGTCTTAATGTTTGCGCTCAGTTTTTCAGTCTTGTTATTGACTGGTCTGATGTCTCCGCGTGAACTGTCCCCACATTCGATTTCCTGTTCCCTTTTAACCCGACGCGAGCCCATAGTCAAGTCAAATGCCAATGTCCCCTTCTTATAACCAGGAATCACCAATAGCTAATTATTGAATAGGTCGCATGGTCACACCCGGAAATTAAAAAGGCCCATGTAATGAGGTCCGGTGCTCCGGATCACCGGTTCAGAAGCTTTACCCCCGAGGGTCCCACGGGGGCCCCGGGACTGTGCAACGGGTTCAAATTGATCAGTTAGAAGACTCGGACCAGCGCTGAGCCTTTTGAACCTGCCCGGTCATTTCTGAGAATTAGTGATGTTAACGCGTGTTACCGAGTCTCTCCTCCTCTAATGACTCCGCCCTGCTTTTCCCTCCCACCACCCAAATCCCGCCCGCACCATCAGTGCGTCCCGAGAGACCATAAGAAGCAAGAAAAAGTCTGACTACAACCTTAATAAGACCAATGCACCGATTCTCACCAATACCACCCTCAACGTCATCCGGCTCGTCGGTGAGTCCTGAGTGCGCCTACACACCCACATGCGCGCACACACACACACACATGCGCACACACTCCATTACTTTCCTCTCCTTGAGAGCAGCACAGACTTCCTCTCTAACCTGCCGAGGTTTCTACTTATTCCCCTCTCTGCTGCTATCGGTGTGACTGAGCCGCACTAATACTTATTAGCCTTCAACCTGAGCTCTGACCTTTGGTCTCCAAAGAGCTGCTAATGCGTCTCTGTGACGTGGCTTTGAAGACGTCTGAGCCGAAGCGTGGTTCTTGGTGATGTGACCTTCATGAAGTCCCCTTTTCCTTGTGTGAAAGGGAATTGGACGTGGCAATTATCTCCTCCTGAATTCTTTTAAGCCAATTAATTGATTTAATAATTAAGGATGATACAGATTCACTATTATTCCAGCAGAATCCGGTCCTCCTACCAGTTTTATTTTAAAGTGTCCTATTTGTCTTCTGCTCAAAATTGAAAGACTTACCCCGACACACTGTCCAGTACGAAATAGAATTAGTCTTTTATTTACATCAGCTACATTGATTTAGAGCTGTGTAGAAAAACTGAGTGAAAAAACAATGTTTGATTCCAAGAAATCACTACTAATTTAGTCTGTGGAGCCCTTTGATGGAGTTTGATTGGTCCCTCAGTTCTTTTTGCTGAAGTCAAGTGAAAGGGTCTGAAAAATGAGTGAGAGCATAGTGCTGCCTCAGTGGCAATACCAGCGCGATTGAGTTTATTCCTGCTTTTTTACCCTCCGTTCATCCCTTCTGCTCAATGTCAATGGTAACCATGTTACACCCCTGCACCTCCGTACTTATTGCTTTTGTTACCTTCCTGCTAAACTGAATCCTTGCGCTTTAGTGTATGCAAATGCAATGTGCTTGTACTGAAGTTTTCCCCACTATGGACTCCCTGCAGTTTAAGTCTTTTAATCTCTCACCAGATTTATTTAGGAAAAGAAGCATTTCATTACTTGTGCTGGGTGAAAATACAACCGTTCTTATGCCTGAAATGAAACCCAGTGTGTGTGTGTGTGTGTGTGTCCACTGGTGTACAACCAGGAACACGTGCTGCTAACTGTTTGTTACCTGTCCTCTCCGAACAGGGAAGTACATGCAGATGATGAACATTCTGAAGCCGATCGCCTTCGACGTCATCCACTGTGTGTCGCAGCTCTTCGACTACTACTTATACGCCGTGTACACTTTCTTCGGACGCAACGACATGGTACAGTACTTCCGGTCCCTGTGCTACCCCTTGATGACACGTTGGTAAAACAACGCGTAGTATGTATTCGAGTCATTTCCCGCTGGATCTCGGGCAGATGTACAACACAAGCTGGAGTTTTCCGCAGCCGTCAATGAACCGCTACACATCCCAGATTTGTGTCCCACCCGTCAGTCCTCGTCCTCCCACTGCCTCATTTCCTGCCATCTGTCATTAAAAATGAAATAAAATGAAGGCTTGAAAATTCCACAAAAAAACATAGAAAGAGGAGTTTTGATGAGCTGCAACACAACAAGAAATGTGTTTTTGAGTTACCATAAGTATAAGATTTTATTCTATCGCAATGCCTGCAGCTACAAAATATTACTTGTGCTGCATCGGTGGCTTTAAGAAAATTGCCTTCATTTATTCCTGACTCTCGATCTTGAACCCTCATGTTTATTAGATAATATTCGTTCATAATCTCCGTCATTTCTCATCGCTCTCCGTCTTGTGTGTAGATTTAAGTTGAACGATAGGTTACGGTGTGCGAGCGCACTTTTCCGGGCTGCGCGGAGAGACTATCATGTCATTTAGAGCGCCTCTCAAAGAAAGCAAACCGCATTTGTGTCAGCACCACCCTCGGGGGAAGTAATAATGACACCAACAAAATGACTTCTGTCCCACCGAGGTGGAAGAGATAAAGAGGATGAACGCTCCGCAGGGGGGGCGCTCCACTACACATTATTGACTCGTGTGTGTGTGTGTGTGTGTGTGTGTGTGTGCGTGTGTGTGCGTGTGCGTACACGAGCCTTGGGGAGATGGGGGAAGGTGACAGGCACGCACGCACATGGTGGTTGTACGTTGACATCTTGGTCTCGGCCTGACCACGAGCGCTGAATGTGCAGCATGTGAGCGCGGTCCGCGCTTCTATGGACACCAACACTCTTTCCGTCCTCCTTATCTGAAATTGTCTCTACCCTTCTTCACGCACAGACTGTGTGCCATTTTCTTCTGTGTGCCCCCCCCCCCCCCCTCCCTCTGCTTTTTTCTTTATCTTCTGTGCCACAGTGTCTTTAATCTCACATGCGCCGCTCCTTTTACACAGCTTTGTTCTTCTTCTGGGTTTTTTTTCTTTTCTCTTCTCGCACAGTTCCCATTGCAGTCCTTATCGCTCTGCCTGCATCACTCCGGATCTTTGACTCTTCTCCCCGTGTACCTCTAGTCCTCATTAAATTCGGTATCATGAACCGGTCCGTTTTAATAGTCTTACTCAAAGAGGCAGCTGCCGTAAAATGCTAATGCCCCCCCATGAATCTTTAAAAAGATTATGGAAAATTGCTATGCACATATGCTGGTATTTCGACCTAGGCTCTGCTCGCTTTACACCGCTGGAATCAAAATGGAGCTGCTTGACTCCTCCACTTGAGGAGTAATGGGTGACATTAATATTCAAAAGGGTAAATAGACCATTATCTGTGTATATTGTCCTTGTCGAGGCAAGCTGCACTATTGACTCCGTCACACGGATATGCTAAAGATGCTTTATGTGCCATGCTCACATTCTCCAATGCCATTAATGACTCCGCTTTTCAGTGCAGTTCTAAACTTTTTGGAAAAGTGATTAATGCTTTAGAATTATGGAAAGTTGGCCCCAATGGATTAACCTGGATATTTGAATACGAGACATGGTAAGGAAAAAAAAAAGAGTGAGGCAGAGAGAGATGTGAGGGGAAAGATGGAGGGAAGATAAGGATCCTTTTTAACTTTTCACTGTACGTGCGATGGCAGAGCGGAGGAAGGAGAGAGAGACTGGATACTAAAACAATGATGAGAGAGAGAGTGAAGTGTCTGATGTTGGAATAGATGGCTTCTCTGAAAATGATCGATAATGCAAGAAACTTTCCTTTTTCACAGTTCATCAGAATGGATTATATTCATCTGGCATGCACATGTGGAAGTCAAAGTTTTAGCACCGTACGAGTCTCCTGTGTATAAAATCCCCCTCCTATCTTCTTCAGATACGTTTGAACCAGGCAGAATTAAGACTAATAACCAAAGATACCAGTTCTCCAAGGGGAGGCGAGTTATCTTATAGTTGGAGTTAAAATGTTATACTCTGATGCAATGCTATTTTATTCCTTTGGGGTTTGAGGCAACTTCATTGAAGGGGCGCTGCGGCCAAACGGCATCGCGCTTCCCATAATACAACCCTGTCGTGTCTTTCATTTGACTCTCCCTGTGTCGACCTCTTTCAAACCTCAATTTTTCAAAATAAGCCGTCCGTCCGTCATCAGAGCCTTTTCTTCCAACCTTAGTAAGCTTCCTGCCGGGACACAGAAGACACTTTTCAGTTGTTGATGTGTACACAAGTAATTCCACCAATTGTGTTCATTAATCCTATTGTGTTTGTTTGCTTCTTTCAAGTCCTTTTTTTTTGTCATCAATACTTCTTCCACAGTGTTTTTCTTTATTTTCATGTGCAACTTTGCTTCTTGTGTTTTTCCTTTCTGCTGCCCATCCGTCCTCCGTAGCCCGTCCCGAGTCCGTCTCTGCCGACTCATGGTGGCAGAGACGCGGGGCCCGTCAGGGTGGTGGGCCCGGCCTGCTTGGTAAGCGTGGTCCTCTCGCAGCATTACGACTAACACACAAGCCTGGGGCGTCCGTAAATGCTCGTCGACACTTGCCGTTTCCATTTGAAGTGACATCAAACGCGTCTGAGAGGGATTCCAGTAGCGCGTAGGCTGTGCTTATTTTTTCTCCCTCTCCACACTGAGATTAATGTTGACGTCCGCTCCCCCAGTTTACTCCTCCTAAAAGGAGAGAGTGAAGATTCTCATGTTTGCGACTACGTGAGATGAAAGGCAGATGTGTGTGTGTGTGTGTGTGTGTGTGTGTGTGTGTGTGTGTGTGTGTGTGTGTGTGTGTTGTACAGTATGAGTCATCGGGTCTGGGCCTCATCAGCAGCAGACTGAGAACCACACTGAACCGGATCCAGGAGAGCCTCATTGACATGGTAAGACTCAAACTCTTCCTGCACTCCGTGCCTCACTTTGTCCTTTGCTCTTTCTCCCTCTCTCTCTCCCCCCCTCTCCTCCCTTTTACCATCGCTCGTTACCTCATCGCCCGTCTCATTTTCTGACACAAACATGCTCTCTCCGCTCCCCTCTCTCTCCCCCATTTCTGCCTCTGCTTTTATATTTTGCCTGTCCGCTCTATCCAGGCTGACCATATGTCTGATCTCACTGCTCATATCACCCACAAAATGCATTATGGGTCGTCATTAACTGGCCAGTGGCAACTCACACACACACACCTCTCTCTCTGTTAAAGTGGCCACACCAGAGGTGGATGTGTGTTACTCCATTAGGGCTCTCAATCGCTGCTCCCCCTCTGTGAAACTACATAGTGACAATTAGTCTGATGCAGTACACTTTTTACACTTTTGTCTGTATCTGTAGTCTTTCTCCGCTGTTGAACGTGTCCTCGCCCACCGCTGTCTTTCATTGGTCTCCATGCCAGATGGGCTTTTTGGGCCTCTGTTTAAAGAAGCTATGCAGATTTAGTCAGGCCCAAATCTGCGATAATACAGTTAACAGTTTTTCTCCCCTTGAGGCAGAAATTAAATTCTGTTGATGTTCTGGGTTATATTTTCTTGTTTGTTGTGTCGCTTCAGTCTAATTAGTGTAGATTTAGAGAGAGAGTCAGTGAATGACTCACTGAACTCATATCGTTGTCTTTCTGCACTATCGTTATACAAAAAATTCAACTTCTTTTCATTTTTAAAAACACATTTAGTTATTTATTTGTGTCCGTAATGTACATTATTATTCAGAAGCTCCAAAAACCAGCGGGCTTCCAATTCGTCCCTGAGCTGTCATATCGGAAAATAAAGAGGAAGATATTGCTTAGCATGCATAGTTAAATTGGATCTTATCACATGTCACAAATGGTGACTCACAATATATACTCTTTTCCCACGGTGAATTTCGTGCTCGCTCCTTTTGCTTGACGCACGCTCCCGATCTTGAATCTAGAATCGATTGCTCTTCCTCTTCTTCTTTTTGCATTGAATTTTTTTGCGGTTGAATATTTTAACGTTGAAAAACATTCAGATACATGATTTCAATGCATAAATATTCAGTGCTAGAAATTCAATCACCTTTTTCTTTCAAAATCCGATGACACAGATTTACTTCCATAGTTTCTCTGTTCAGGAACAGCTGGCAATAACTTGAATACTAGTTTGGAAATAGAGCAGTAAAGGAGGGCTGAAAGTAGTCCGAAAAAGTTACAAGTTTAAATTGTAGTAAGCAATGAGCTGCAGCGTCTAAAAACCGCAATCCCATATATTTCTCTTTTTAGAATTATGCCTCGCTTTCTCGCTGCTCTTTTGTGTTTCACATTGCAATGCGCTGCACACACAAATCTCACGCACTCATCTCCACAGCTGATGTGTATGATCATCTACAACAATTTATATTGAGCTATACGGAATATAAATCTCTTTTTTTTTTTGATCTAGGTGTGAGAATCTATTCACACTGAGCACCGAAACTCCTCCTGCATACAAATACACACCCCCACACACTCCAGAGATTGACGCCGACTAGACCTCATTTGTAAACATATTATAAAGATAATTGCACACTGCATTTCAATTAAGCATCTGGATCCTTGAGGTTTTGTCCCGCCCCCCCCCTCCCAATTTGTCAGAGTCCAAAAGCAATGTGGAGGCAGTGGCTCTGAGCCCCTCGTGGACGTCGGCGAGGTTTCGTTTCCCGACGAGGGACAAGAGAGAGATCATCCCCCTCGTTTACGTTCTACCGTCTCTGCCGCCGGTGTTCTTGATTAGCACTCTGAAAGACAGTTCTCATTTTCAAATTCGCTCCCTTTTGACTTTGAATATTGTGCGTTTTGAGTCTGAGTGATTTTGCAAGGTGGCGAGGTCGGGCAGAAACTTCTCACAGTGGCAGAGCGGTAATTGACCGGCTCGTATATTCGTTTCCCCTCGAAAACACTTGTGGCGCAGCGTTTAATCCCGCGCGCTGACGTTTTCTATTTCAGACGTGAAGCCTTAACCTCGACGTGAAGCAACCAAATTGTTTTCATTCCAGAGGAATCGGCTGTAAAATATTGATTCACCTACAGTGCAATTCACAGTCTTTGGGCCCGAGCGCTGAGCAATATCACGGTCACATGACCGCGGCGGATGAGAATGGAGCTGTCAATCCCATCTGCGGCCATATTGGCGCTGCCGGAAAGTTCAACCTGCGGCAGTTGTGGCCGATGGTGTTTATTCTTTCAATCAGCCGCTCTACTTTTCTCACTGCTTTTTCCAACTCCTTCGCTCTCGCTTTATTCTTACTTACTTGTTGTCTTTCCTGTGTGTGTGTGTTTTTTTTAACCTGCTTGTCACATCTTATCAGCTGTGTCCTCTCTGCTCCCAGTTTACCGAAGCTTCTGGCTCTTATTTCAGCGTTCGCTATCCGCTCCGCGCATTAGGATAGGATCCTGTTTCCAGCCCCGTCGCGGACGGAGTCACCCTGCACTTTTGCTGCCGTGTGTTTTCGTGTGTGCAAACGTCTGCCTCTTCTTAGAATGGGACCTTTTCTGCCTATTTTCACGCCTGGCAACGGAACCGTAACAAGAAGCCGGGTAATTTCTTTGTTGGCAGCAGACGTCTGGCAGCGAGGCGTCTTGCTAAGATGCACACAAAACACACACACACACACACACACACACACACACACACACACACACACACACACACACACACACACACACACACACACACACACAGACACACACACACTCTCCCAGACAGGAAGACACAAAAGATAGAGACGTTGGTTGGTTACTACGTCTCTCCGATGCGCTTTCCACGCTCTTTTCCTGTTAGCGGCAGAGTGATAATCCCTGAGCATCTGTTGTGGTCTTTGGGACTGACACACACACACACACACACACACACTCACACACACACTCATGAGAGGCCCTGACTAATGTCACAGAAACACACACACACACACACACACACACACATCACCATCGCTGTCTAGAAAGGCTTTTTTTTTTGTGGCCTGCTGTCTGTCTCTCTGGCAAACGGTGTGACACACCGGTGGGGATCTGCTGTTTGACAGTTATCATGGATCACATTCATGCTCCGTGGTGGGAATGTCTACGCAATATTACTCAGGATATCACACGTATTGACACTTCTCTTATCCTAACCTGCGGACAGTTGATCCCCACGGATACTGTAACTCACTTTAAATATGAGCCCTTTCCTTTCATCCTCTTCCGTTCTTTTTTTTTTTCTTTATACATTCATCTCAGTTATTTCAAGTGAGCGCTTTGGTTTTCAGGGTGTCTGTCTTTCCGTCTCGCCAACAAAAGATCTCAGGAACACTTTTGAGGGGAAGACCTCATCCCCCTCCACTCAAGGAATAAGTGATTGGCTTTTCAAAGGTCACCGTGACTTAGAACCCCCCCCCCCCCCCCCGACTCCCCGATTAACTCAAGAATTCATCACGTTCATTTTAGCAATTTTACACAAATGTCAAATGCATGAAATGAGTCCTGACTCTCTGGATCCAAACTACAGTTTAGGTGGTTGGCTGTATTTCCGGTTCGCTCCTTGTGTCATGGCTGTTGTCATCCCGAAGCAGTTGTTCGGACCAGCAGCTTTGGGGAAAAGAAGGGTGGGGGTGGCGGTGGCGGGCGGTGTCTTGTAAAATAAATGAAGGCCTTAATTCCGTTTGACATCCATCTAATGAGAACCCAATTTCTAGTATTAGAGTGACAAAGAGGTGCAATTGGATCCACTTGACAGTAATTGCCTGGCAGCCGGTCCACTCGATTTGCCCATAAATCTCTACAGAATGGATCTGAGAGGAGTAAGCAGTCAATCAAGACAGAGTGAGACACTTCAATTCAGAGATCACTTTTCAACTCCCCTGCTGGAAGCTCCCTTCGTGGCCGGGCGATTACGTTATTATCGAGCTAAGAGTTGTTTATTTACCATTTGCTGGGGAATAACATTGGAAGTTTTAAAGATGTTCAATGTTTTTTTTTTTAAAGGCCACGACTGATGTTGCAATGTCCTGGCTACTATTTGAAAGTTAATTGACGGATCCAATGGACGTTGCTCAGGCCTCCCTTTCCCACCTCAAAACAACCAGAATGTAGCTTCTCACTACAAATCACCCAGTGGACGAGCAGGAAAATCCAGTAAGGAAATAGATGCCGCAGCAACGGTGAGCCTGACTTGGCACTTTGATCCACCCCTCGTGGTGCCCAATGCAAACTGTGGCTGCGATGAAGGAAACTGTCGCTCCTCGCTGTAGTGTCGTTAAGTGTTCTTAAGTTGAAAGTCGGGGGCCCGTGTGAAGGCGCAAATGTGCTTCGGAGGTTTGGTGTGTTTTCCCGGCGGATCTGAAACGCTTCACTCTTCACTCTGATCGATACGGAGCTTCAGTGTCACTTCCTCCCTGAGGCATTATGAGAGAGAGATCGCATGTCCCATATGAATACCATTAAGCCCTGAAGAGTCTCATTAGTCCTACCACACGCACATTATTCTACATATACCCACAGACGCTTACATCTCTTTTCATCGTCCAGCCTCATTAAGAACCATTTTTTAATCGAAGCTTCTCCTGTTGGAGGAAAAAATAGTGGGTGATTGATAGTCATCAAGCTCTCGCTTTATCCCTTTTTTTCAAAGCTTTGCTCTCATTTGTTTTCAAATCCCTCCCTTGATGATCATTTTTTATGTTTTCTGTTTATTGAGAATTCCAGGCTTTAATTTCTGATCATTACACAAGTGTATATAAGCTGCCCGGCTTTGATGCCTGATGTCTTCATACTCAACGGGGTTGTTGGTCCACATGGGGAAACTATTTCGGCGGATATATACCTCGCATTCAAACAACTTGTTTTCCCTTCCGACCGTCGGCGGTATACAAACGGTATACAAACACCCTCAAGGACATTGAAGTTGACGTTAGCGCACACAGGCTCTTCTTGCTCGAGTACTTTGTTTTAGTTGAGTAGTACTTTCGGGTGGTTCTGCTCTCCAAAATCCCTCATTAAATTTGGAATGAATGCAGTTGCGCTGACATCTTCCAAACAAACATTCCATCTTTACGTGTAGAAACTGCAAGAAATGACAAAGGAACAAAGCGGTAATCGCTTGACCTTAACCGGGGCTCGTGGCTGCAGGACGAATGCAACAGAAAGCACGTAGAAGTCTTTTTGGTGGAGATGGAGCCATCTGGTTTTCAACCATGGCCTCTCGCCAGGATTAAGTGGGTACAAGTGAATTGTGCAGAAATGATAAACGGCTTAGTACAAAAAAAGAAAAGGTAATAAGGCAAGAACACACTGGCTGTAAGTCATGTGTTTACAATTCATTTTCCGCTAAAATATAGTTTCCTGGCGTTAGCTTGTTAGCTTGGAGCATTTCCTATTCAGTGTGTGGTTGTGTGTTCACATGTCACTTCAGTGTGAGTCGGTGTATTCTACACGCCACTCTGAGGGGAAACGGAAGTCAGTGTCGTGGCCTTTAGATGTTTTTGTGACAGATGTATATTGACATCTTTCTAGTCAAAGGTTTGAATCACTCTTAATATGCTGAGGCCGAATCTTTTGTTAAGTGTTATCCAAGAGTGCTCCTGCAAAATATGAAATCATTTTTCTCTCACAGGAGGATTTTAGTCTATTTTTTTTTCTTTATTGTTTAGCAAAAGGTTTGAAATGGTTCATTAACTCAAGGTCCTCTTCCATCTGAGCAGCAGCGTCAGAAATATCACTTTTTTGGCCCCATTTTGTTACATAAATTCAAATAAAACGGAGGATTCTCACTCCTACAGATATTACCTTTACTCCAATACAATGAGAAGGAGCCAAGCTTTCATGAACCTGGGCCTGTAAAGTCTATGGGGACGGAGGGAAAATTAATATTAAAATAATTTGTGTCCCTACACTTTGCCTCATTGAGGAAACTATTCAGAGCTTTAATTCTATAAAAAATGGTTGGTTCAATTTTTTCTACTTTCTGTCATTACTTTTGTGTTAAACAATCTAAATTAGGGCAAATTTGTGTGGTTGCACGAGAAACTCCACCTCCGTCCTGATTAAATAACTCGCGTAACTGGGTTGATGACTCTTAAACTGTCAGATGAAAATATTCAGACTGAGCTTCTCATCATGATTATCAGAGCTCTCGTACTCCAAACACATTTAACAGCTCTTGTGCAATGACGGTGTGACTTGAGCAGACGTGAAATCCGTAGCTCTTCGGTTCACTGATGTGGAAGCAGCTTAAAAGTAGATGCTTATAGAAACAAAATGGTCCAGCTCTTATGAGAAGAGTCTTTCCATACAATCATTTTCCATGGCTCACTGCACTGATGCATGCTCATTTCTGCAACGAAGACAAAGATCACTCGCTGCCCCGGGTTCTTTTTCTCCATTAAACTCCGTCAATAGTTGATGATGGTTTGCACCGTAACGACAAGGTTATTGTCCTCGCAGCGACAAATGAAATCAGGCACATTTCCCTTCCCCTCACCTGCCAAAGTGAAATATAGCTGTATAGAAATCAAGCCGAGAAATGTGTTTCGTAAAATTTCCTCCTGAAAAGTGATTGGCGAGTACCTGCTGAGTGACGAGTGTGTGTTCGGAGTGTGTGTTGAGCGTTCGGCTCGGACTATCCGAGACCTCTCTGGGAAAGCAACGAATGCGATTTAGGAGCATTTCATTGGAGTGTTTTGGCGCACATGATAATAAATATTAATAATAATGCTATTTGTCTGGCACTTTAAGAGATACTCAAGGTATTTGCAAGGTAAAAACACAAACCGAAGCAATGAAAGACCCTTAGTGCTGATATTCTTTATACAGTACCACACCATACCCACTAAACTACCCCATATAGACACTGCATTCTTCAGGCTGTATCGGCTAACATTATATACGACACTTCACAATGACGAAAATCCTATTCATCTCGGGAGAACAGCGGAGAAACTCCTTTTGTAATGTATTCAGCAGGTGCAGTGTGTAAATCAAATGATGTATGACCTCTTCACAGTGCGTCTTCATATGGAAAGATTTGCCTCATCCACTTTTTTTTCTGGCCCTTGTATGACTTAAAAGGAAAAGAATCTATAACTGACATTTAATCTGCACAGTGTGGCATTTGTTTTTCACGATCCTGGCAATGCGTTACACGCCGAGGCTGAGTGTCTGCATCAATGTTATCATCGAGGACGGCGAATAAAGAACTCACAGAATGTGTTAACGGACGGTCTGCTATGAAGATGTGAGACTTGATGTCTTTATATACAAAGCCAATTTAATTCAATTTGATTGATTTTCACTAAGCAAAGAAGTATAATTGCTCTTTTTATAAGAAACAAGCTTCCTCGCCTGAGCATTACTACATTCACTGCATTCAAATGACCATTACGCTTAGCGTACCAGGTCTGCGTGTTTGTTCAAAGGAAATAAAATTCTCCGGGTCATCGAAGGCCGACAACAGCGGGAAAAGATGTTTTTTCATGATCTAATGTTTGTCTTTTTGAGCATGAAACTATAGTCGATGCCGCTGCATGTGCATGTCACCTCAAACACGTAAAATGTAAATTCCTGTCGAGGTTGCCACAAGCTGCCAAAACTTGACGCACCTCTTAAATGTGTTTGCTGCTTCAGAATTGGAAAATAATCCCATATGCATGGTAGTGTTTTTAGTGTTTCTTTCTTTTTATAGTACCTTTTTGTATTCAGTCTAGTCCTCGCCTCCACGCGAAGGATCCCCGCAGAGGCAAAATCTGTCGGAAAAGCAAACCGACGTTTCTCCCGGCAGTCTTTCAGTAGGTTTCTTATCCGTATATTTTTTTGCACCGAGTGTTTATGCTGCAGGGGCACAGTCAAAGAAAGGTCGAGCCTCATGCAGAGAGATTAAAAATAGACCAAACTAGACTTTTCTGTAATGTCAGACTAATGCAGCCAAAGGGAAATCGACACGGTTCATTCAAAGGAGAATACATCAATGTGACTTTCCATCAATCAATTAAAGTCAGAATGATACAGCAAAATTAAAAAGTGGCACGCTGCATTTTTAGAAAGAGAAGAGGAATTAAAAATGGGGTGGGGGAAGGTTTTCATACCAACCATTTCATTAAACTGAAGGGAGTTACATGAATTGCATTAGTTTTTGCTTTCTCCCCTGAGGTGCATCGGGTTCGTGTCCCAGTGTTTTGACCACAGTGTCGCACCACTTTCTTCTGATACGTCCAACGTAGTAACAACAGTTTCACCACCACTGATACGTCATCTATACAAATGGCCACCGGCTCCTGCCGCTCAGCGCTTTTATCACGGTCCAAATCCTGAATTATAATTGAAAGTGTGCCTTTCTGTATTAACTCCAAAGCCGCCTCGTTAGTCGTCTTCATGAGCTGTGACGTGTTGAGGACTTTCTTCATCGATCCTTTTGTAGCATCAGTGACCTAGCTAATATTGTTTTCTCTTTAATGCGTTCAAGTTAATGAAAATGTGAACACATTCATCTTAAGACTGGCGGAAGTACAGTAAAACCCATTCATTCATTAACTAATTCATTAAGCGATGTTAATGCTAATATCAGAGAGATGGATTCTCATGTGGGTGTGGGAGCGTTTCCTCCGCCTCTACGTTTTGTCAACATGTCGGTGATCCCTAGCCGGCGGTGCACCACGTCACCAAAGCAAGTTCGAACTCTGAGAACACTCACGGAGGCACAGCGACGCCGTTCTCTGCCCAGGGAGGCATTACTCAGCCACATCTCCACGTAGATAACGGCGCTTTGCCATTACGTTAATGTTCATCATGTTAAATGCAGTTCCTTCCCATGTGCAAGTCCTTAAAAAGTACTAAATCAAACGCATTGTTTTAAGGAAACAAAAGACGCATCGTTGTCAATATGACATTCTGCAAATGCTCCGCAGCAGCAGGCCTTTTAATTCTGGATGCATACGTGTCGAGAACAAGTTTGTTAATCTTCTAAATGTTATTTCAGACCGATAAAGTTTATTTGATTTAATGCAGAGAGATAACAGATGTTCTACCAACCTTCAGCTTCTATCTCTGGCTTTCACCGATGAGAAACCGGTGACACGGCGGCCTGTTGCCGTGCTTTTATCTGTACACAATGCTCTCCTTTGTTCAGCCGACCCACTGGTTGTCTGGAAAGATGGTGCTTAAGCACAACGTTCCAAAGTGCAGCATGTGTGTGGCAGGACGGTGGAGCATCAACGGCTCCCATTCCGTCGTTACCTGTGTGATTGCTATTGATCTCCCAGAGGCGGTTTGGTGGAGCTCTGCAGCAACATGCCAATGTGATTCATCACCGCGTTACATTAAACATTATGACCTGACCTCCTGAATGGAATATCAGTGGCTTAGTATTCAGATATAGATTATTGTGATGGTTAGGGAGGGATTTAGGTGGAAAATGTTTCCTTTTCTATTTCATTTGTTTTAAAAATGAAGGCACGGTTGGGTTTCTGGAGGAGAGGAGGAATATATCAAATGGAAGATAAATGCTTGCGGTTCAGTGTTCTGTCAGCAGAATTTTTGAGTGTGTGTGTGTGTGCTTTGAATGTAACCGAGTTCCACGAGGTTGATTTTGGATTTCAGATCATGCTTACATCTACACTTTGTCTGCTCTGTCCCGGGAAAGTGACAGTGGGACGATGCTCCTGCACAGAAACCACACTGATGGTTACAAGTCATTTAGTATTTATACAAGTATTATATCCAATGCAAACACCACACACGTTTAACCATTTCGTGCTTCATTCGAGGGACACGAAGGGTAACGAATATGATGAACACGCTGTGTTTGTGTCTTCCAGGAGGCGGTGGCGGAGAACGCACCCGTCCACGGTGCAGCAGAGGACCGAAAGGAGAAGGTGCCGAGCCCCCATCTCAGCCAGCTGGTGGTCCTCACCAACAGTGGGACTCTTTATGGGCTCGCGCAGAGAGTGGTGGCCACAGAGTCTCTGTGAGTACTCTGTGAGGCCACAATTTTTAGAATACATGATGTAGTTCCACTTTAAGAAAACACACAGCATTATTGGTCTTTATTCCTAATAAGACGGGTTTCATCAAAGCTTTTTCTTTGTGTTTTTAAGTTAAAGAAGCTGATTATTTGGTCTGGCCATCAGCGACTTGCATGCCCTGAGAGGATTATTACCATTCTTATCGCTCTCACCATAATTTGTTATTTGTTTGTCTGACTCACGCAATCAGTGGCTCGCTTTTTGAAATTCATTTTCTCGTCTGGCTCGGCGTGTCTGGTTACTCCTCCTCTTCATCCCAACCGATTACGCCCACGCACACTCATACTTAATTAGGTTAAACTACTGTCGGTGAAACGACTCTCGGACCCTGAGAAGTGCGCCCTCTAACATCTTAAACACGCGCCGTTTCAAACTATGAACAAAGTGATGAGCAGAAATGACGGATGAGCGCTCTGTCAGTTGCCCGTCTTCCTGTCGTTCATGTGTCCTGTTCGTAGAAGCCTGATCAGATAAGCGTGAGCAGCGTGTGCTTCTTCTTTCCCACGCATCATGTTGCAGAGGTGAACACAAGCTGTTCCAGCTGCCCTTAATTTGATTTTCTCTGCCACATGAAGACAATAAAAACCGTTTCTGATGTATGGGGTGCTGGCTGCGTTTAGTTTAGCGTCAACCAGAAGTCCCTTATTTATGTTATTGCTTTAAAAATAAAGTGTTTCATATGTCTTTTAGAAAGAAAACGCATGTTCTCGTTGGTATGCGGTTTATCAATTGACCAGGGCGCAGGCAGGCGCTCGATGTCCACAGCGACCGGGTAGTTTTCAATCCCGGGCAGGAATGCCTGGAACGGCCGTGGTGAACGTGGTTCCAGAGGACGGATGTGAAAGCCCGAGTCTGGTCGAGTGGTTTTCTTCTCTCCACGTTGCACCGTTCAATCAGTGGGGCTGGTGGTGCTCCAAAAGAAATCTCTGTGTGAGGCTCGCTCTGCTCGTTAAACTCCCAACCCGATGCTGCTCCATCGCTTTTCATTTGGAGAAACGGTGAAACTATAAAACCATCGTACAGCGAAGGCTCTCTGTTTAGTCACAGCGGAATATGAGGGTATTATTTCTGTCCGCTCTCCTGCTTCTGTTTCGCCCTGTAATACCTTTTCTGCTTCACTTTTTTTTTGAGATGTACAAATAATATTTCCCTGCTGCCTGATTTCGATGAATAGAAATGGTTCTTTGCTTCGGGAGGTGAGACTTGGATTCAGAGACTACAGGATAGTTTTTGTTCTGACAAACAATAGAGTCTATTCGACTCAATTATTTATCAACGTAAGTGTAATTATCACAGGGAATAAATCAGATTGCTGCGAAATGGAGAACGGTGCATTTAATCATACATGAAAGAATACCTTTAGGAGAGGTGCGACATCTTGGTGAAATTAAGCAGATATTACATTCGTGCAGATGAGCATTTCATATCCATTCACATCACCACGTTAACAGGTGATCTACATTCCAGTCCTTAATCCAAATTCCATCAAAAGTAATGCTTTAGTTGATTAATCTGTCTCTCTTGGGTAATACAACAAAAACACACTCATTTTTTTACGTGTCGTGCCTGAACAGTTTTTTTCCCGAACAAATGACTCTGTCAAATGAATTTATTTGTTGTCGTTTTTTTCTCTCAGGGTGTTTCTGGCTGAACAGTTTGAGTCCCTGCAGTCCCACCTGGACACCATGATGCCTGCAGCAAAGAAGCCCTTCCTGCAGCAGTTTTATTCCCAAGTAGGCATGCACCTGCTCGCTGGAGTCTGTTTGATTGCGTTAACTGTTAATCCTGTTGTCACTGGCAGCATGTGGGCGAGCCCGCTTTTATCATTTCACATTTTAGCATTTCTATTCTTATGTGATCGATAATCCTTCATATGATGCTAACAGACACACGTCTTTGAATTCCTTGTGCGCTGTTCAACGACATAGTGTAACATATGCACAGTGTCTTTTGTTTGATATGCTCTAAAAACCAAACAAAAACAACATTTCAGTTGCATTCACTTGTTTATTTGTAGCTATCGCTAAACAACTGAATCACCCAAAGAGACAATGGTCCGTCCCTCGTGACCTCGCTAGCTGCTCCTCCTCGCCCCGTTTGTGTTTTTGCTCTACTTGACATTTGAAACAAACAATTGCGACAGGTCTATTTTCCCCAAACAGCAAGTAAATGTCACATCCCATGAGTTCACTCTTGGAAAAAAAAAAAGTGCAATCGATGCCCATCAAAGCAAGATCAAATAGACCTTTGCCTCATTTTGTGTTTATTGCATTCATAACGCTCACGAACACGCGTGTATTCTCTCTTCTCTCAGACGGTGTCGACGGCCAGTGAACTTCGGAAACCAATATACTGGGTTGTCGCGGCAAAGGCCATCGACTACGAACAAATGTTGCTCCTGATGGCTGGCGTGAAATGGGACATTAGGGAAATAATGTCGCAGCATAATGTGTACGTGGACGTCCTGTTAAAGGTAATGTGGGTGATTGACAAGCAAGGCGTCTGTTCATCGGTTGGGTTTGACGTGCTGTCATGTTGGCTTGAGCTGAAAAGTGTGGAGAGCTGAATCGTTAAAGAAGTATTAGATACGGCATGATCATGTTTCTAGTGGTTCATTTACACCTCCAGCAAACCAATGTATGTCCAATATTCCGCCTCTATCACGGAGCCATTTATCGGGATGTTCAGCAGCTCAAATCTCCACTCAGTGAACTTGTTGCCTTCTAGAAAACCAAAACAAGGAATGCTCTGTTAAGCGGAGCGAGACTGAATAGTCACTTCATTACTCTCCGTAACATCTGTTACTGCGATTGCCCCGTTTCCCCTTACATGCAGTCCTTTTATCTGTTGCTCATATGAAGACATTGATTGGTCACAGTGCATTTTGAATCCAGCTCTGCATTAAGATTATGTTCAAAGATGGAAATGGTCTCCTCACATTTCCTAGAGATAATATTTAATCACCTTCCTATTAAGATTGCTGCATGATTTCTGCCTCAAACCCGGTTTCTTATCTGAATATAAATTATGACACTAACACTACTAATATTCTTGTTGGAATATGTAGTTTTATTTGTTATAGTCTATATTTTATATTATATAATTTTATATATTCAATTCTGAATTTCCCCAATGTTTATTCGTCTCACCCAAACCATATGCTGCACTCTGCGGCTCTGCGTGTCTGGTGCTATTCACAATAACCAAAAGTAGAACACTTAATATTCAGCTTTAACCGATTTGCTTTCGTCTAGCTGGGGCTTTTCCTCAGTTTTTGTTATACTCGAGTAATACAACCTGGGTTTATCCTTTTAACATCTCTTCCGTTTACATAAAGTATCATTCTTCATTCCACATAAATCCCACGACTCTCAGAACCCACAAATATTTCTCCCTCGCGATGGGGTGAATGATTCAGAACAGGGTGTGGGAGCTGTCAGGAGTCGAAAGCAGAAGTTTTTAGCTTTGTCAGAGACATTTCAATTCCTAACATTGTCTTTTGAATTGGATGTTTCCAACTAAACATGTGTCCATATGCACGTCGGCCACTTCTGCGCTTTGCACGGGATGTAAGGAGACGCAGCACTAGTTTGCTCACCTTTGACGTTCAGAGACTGAGCGGTTTGAAAGGCTCAGTGAAATCTGGAACGGACGAGAAACAAATCCATGACAAATCCCCTCGTATGCGCCGGCACGTCTTTGAAAGCTGCTGGTTAAATTTCAGTTCAGAACAGAGATGTTGTTTGAATAGTTAAATAAAGTTAATAAAATCCAAGTAGAGTTTTAATTGTTTCCGGTTCAGAACAGAGATGTTCTTGAAAAAGCTAATTGTATGTACATGTATGCGCATTCAATTCCAGTGTATCCAGGAGCTTTTGTATTCCTCACTGGCTTAAAGATCTTTGGTTTAATGCAACTCATTTGCGAATATATACATATACATATGAGCTACGTGGCCTGGGGAAGGGAGGGACATTGGGGACATGTCTCTCTCACTAGCGCGGTTGAAATGCCTAAAGGTGTCTAAGTGGTCCAGCTGATGGACTGACACAGTGCATCACAACTAGCGTCCTCATCGGGTGCCGATAGGCCTCCGCTTCCTTGTCAGACACTCGTAATGCGCCGGGATCGTGTCGCGTGCATTGATTGGAAAGCGTGCGCTACATTTTGTTAAACTGCATACAGGAGAATATTTTATTCATGAATTCAGGTTGATCAGTGGCGCTCAACAATGGCATTGATTTGCATATAAAGTGGGAAGAAAATGCGGCAGCCTCAGAATGACTTCATTGACAAACAGCTCCAACCAGAAACTGTGTTGGAGCTGTTTGTGAATGATTAACGTTTCATTCTTGGCTGCAAAATGAACGGCAGTTACATATTCTTTAAAATCAGGCCTTGTTTTTTTTGTTTTTTTTAACTTGACACAGTTAAATTAAAGCAGTAAAATAAATTAGAAAACCACATACCTCTTCTGAGACGCAACCCCTATGCGTGTGCGCACTCTGCATGCATGGCAATTTCTTTCTCTGTAGACAGCTACATAATTATATGATATCATCTATAATGGCACATTTCAGGGTGCAGCAGGTACACAGCAAGTGTTTGGCATCGCTCTGTCCTGTGTAGCGTTTCTGCCTACAAACAATTTGTGTAAAAACATGGCACATGTAACTGTAGGCCACATGTGACCCAAACTCTCTCTCTGTGTAAAAAATGTAATCTCAGGTGTGTTAATAGAGCCGTTTTTTCCACAGACATTTTTTTAAATTGACCAGGCAAACCAGCCCTTTTAAAGAGATAAATCACACCTTTGTTAAATTCATGTGTAATACAAAATAATACACATGTTAAATACTTTACAAATGAGGCTAAATAGATGCATCATATCATCAAAAAATGATTAAAAAAACGCTTTATTTATGAAAACAGATCAATCAAGCCCCCTAATGCAGTTTGTTCCTTGGACTGTAGATAATGATGTTGTGCAACGCGCCGCATGAGGTGGTTTCATAACACTGGTGGGCTTGTCTGAGGTGGGTTCGGGGAGCTGCTGTTGGATGTCAGCCAGGAACACAGAGTAGCTGAGAGTCGGAGGACATGAGGGCGTATCGCTGTTCATGCAGACTTTTACTTTGTTCATCACTCCCTGTTGGGGAAGTTGTATCAGTAGGGAGTTCGTATCCCTGATGTCTGTCTGTGTATAGATTATGATGTGATGTGATAGATGTTCTACAAATCTACAATCCAATTCATTTTTGTTACATCAGATTCCACTTCTTGTCGACTCTTGAATGTATTCACCTGCGCTTTCTCCTCTACTTTCCCAGGAGTTTGAGGACTTCAACAAGCGGTTGCAGGACGTTTCCAGGCACGTGCGCATCCCGCTGCCTGTGTCCAACGTGCTGTGGGAGCACTGCATCCGCCTGGCCAACAGGACTCTAGTAGAAGGGTGAGGACGACCTATCAACAGGATGCTTGTGCAGTCTGTCATCATCCTATTCGACTGCCAAAGCTGTTTTTCTTCTTTCTGTCATTACGAATTATAGTTAAAGCTTCTGTAGAGAAAAAAGATTTAATATTTTCCATCCGTGTTTGCCGCAGAAAAAGGCGGTTTGAGACTTGAATTGTACAATGTGCTAGGTTGTCTTTTTATTCGAACGGAAAATATTGAAGTTGTAATGAAGCTCAGAATGTGCATCAATATTGATATTCAATACCTGATGGAAAAAAAGACTTCAGGGAGCTTATTGATTTGTTAGGGCTTTTATAGGCTGTCAAATGAAGGGGGAAGAACATTTATTGGCATTGGGAGCCGTTGAGGGAGCCGAGACCAGTCTGATTTTAGTTTCCGTAAGTTAACTTGTTGCTCTCTTTGAGGACTTTATTCCTGTTAACAGCACTTGAGCAAGAGCACAATCCAGACTGCAATTTGTCCTCCTTTTTTTTTTTCAAACCGTGCTTTCCCACATGAGTAACAGCCATTTCTATACCCACAAAATATGTGCATTATTTTTGCCCAATGTTTTATAATTATGGTACTATGGAAATTCTACATCACACCTGCATAAATGGATCTATTTATAATTTAATAATAATACAATTATATCAAACGTCGGCATCTGAAATCCATTAAATAGAAGAATTGGAAGCAGTTTATCAGTACAGTGAAAGCCTCAGTCAGCAGCAGTTTGTTTGTCTGCAATCTTTATTTATGAGAGCGATCCAGCGTGTATATTAAGCTGAAGGGAGGAACAAAGTAGCTACAAACACAAAGCTCAAACCTAATTGAAGCATTAGTTATTACTTAAATTTAATTTTCAACTCAATTTTCTTTGACCATGAAAAATAGAGAAAAAAGGACAGAAGTGCAATAAAAGTCACGTGTGCACGATAAATAACACAACTAAGCAAATGCATTTTAAAGTCATTAAAAAGTAGTTTATTTCTCAGAATCCTGGGGAATTGTAATGTGTTGTTACAAAAGCCTTTTATCGCTTTAAAATGTCTTCTGTCCCTAAGCTAGTACACTTAACCAAATGGCATTTCTGAGTCCTCACTTCGCTGTGATAATGATGGAGGAGGAGTAGAACGTGTCTCTCCTCTTTCGGTCCGCCTTTGTTCACCCCTCAGTTTTGAACATTTGGGCATCATAAATAAAAAAATTAAAAAAGGGGAATTCTTTCCAAAGCGTGCAGTCGAGTACCATGACGACCAGAGGAAATGAGATCCGTAGACTCTGTGACCACGGTTCTTCCCCCAAAGAAAAGCTCTCTTAAATCCCTGCTGCCTGCTGCCACCTTCGCTGCCCGTACTGGCAGCACTCTGCGCTCGCCAGGCACCTCTGCATCAGCGAAACGCCCCACACGGGCCCCTCACACGGGCAGTAAAATGCTCTTGACACGTCCCTTGTAATGTATTTCACCCTTTTCTTCCTCGCTATGCAAGACGTGCGGGTTGTGTCAAAGTGACAAAACTCCTCGGTGTGCTTTCGCTCAGCACTCTGCATCCCCGCCAGAGTGTGTTGTTGGGTGAATGTGCGAAGTAGATTTTTTTGGGGGCGGGGGGCGGGATTAAAAACACTGAGTTCGACCAGCTGCACGGTCGCCAAAACAGCTGACAATTACCAGGCGGTCACTCCCGTTTCGCTGGAGACGAGAAGTTGGCTGATGTCGAAGCCAAAATGATTCCGAGGAGCCAATTTGTCTGGTTGCAGGGCTCGTGTTGGCGGAAGGGGGGGGTGGGTGGGGGGGGGTGTTTGCAGTGGCGCGGACGGAAAATGGTTTGTGCTGAAAGGTTTGAGGCGAAGGCCCTGCCCTCTCCCACCGAGAACAGAGACCATGTTTGGACAAACGGGCCGTTTGCTCAGCAAAATGTAAGCGGCTTTCGCAGACTTCTGCCGTCTGCTCGAATCTGCCAGCATGTTCCTTCCAGCACACATCCGCGCCTCCTCTGGCACGCCATGGCGGCATGTTCACATTAGTCTGGGACTCGCTCGGCCCCGTTATTCAATTTGTGTGTCCAGAGAGCGGGCGAGGCCGAGAGCTGGAAGCGGGCAGAGAGGGAGGCTGAAGTGCGAGCCAGAGAGCCGACCTGTCTGTGGTGTGTTAATGTACTAATGTCAGAGACGCTGACCTGCCAACGGTCCCCTCTGCCAGACACCTGCAGCACAAACGCACACACGCGTACTCGAGCCCACACACACTTTTACTGACATGGCACAGGCAGCTCTGTGGAACAACCCGGTTTCACAGCTAATATAAAACACGTGCAGACAGACATTGGCACTCAAGCCTCTCGATACCGTCGCAATGAATTCACAGCTCTTAAACACAGACACGCATTAAGCCCGTGTGTCCAAATATTCACAAAACGGGGTAAAGAAACGAAGAAAAGCAAACTGAAAACTGATTCAATCAAACGGATGCAAAGACAAAAGACAAAAAATAAAAGAAACTTTGAATAACATGCAACACAAATTATGCAAAAGAAAATGGATGGATGTCGTTATTCCTCATCAGCCTTTCTACCAAATTCTTTTTGATTGCTAAAATGTTTTCCACAGAATGTTTTGAATTTTAATGGGTTGCGACTGCTCCCGTGACTTAAATTACTTCACGTCTTTGTTTATTTCATGGCTGAGGCTTTGACAGTATTTTCACTTTTAACTCAGACGGTGATGGAAATTGGCATCTGACAAGCTGAAACACATCTTGCAGACCTTTCTTAATGCACAATAACTTCACAGTAGGAAGCTAAAAACGGCAGAAAAAAGACCAATAACACCTGTGATGACTTGTGAATCCGTCCTGTCCTCCAGTTACGCTAACGTGAAGAAATGCAGCAATGAGGGCCGCGCCCTGATGCAGCTGGACTTCCAGCAGTTCCTCATGAAACTGGAGAAGCTGACGGACCTGCGGCCCATTCCCGACAAAGAGTTTGTGGAGACCTACATCAAGGCCTACTACCTCACCGAGAACGACATGGAGCAGTTCATCAAGAACCACCGGGTGAGACGGCGGAGGCGGAGTCAGAAACACAAAGTATAGAGTTAAAGATGCAGTGTGTGGCGTTTGAAGGCATTTAGGAGGCAAACTTATTCATATTCTCTTCCATTTTGGGGCAATAAATCCTCAAATTCCACACATTCCATGGATTTAAAAAAATGTTTTACTTCCTACAAAATGATACTCCCTGCATGTCCCTGAAAGCCTCACGCCAACAGACGCTAACACACTTATGTTTTTTAAATGATTTGGTGCAGGAGTACTCCATGAAGCAGCTCGCCAACCTGGTGAACGTTTGTCTGGGCTCGCACATAAACAAGAAGGCCCGCCAGAAACTCCTGGCGGCCATCGACGACATCGACCGACCCAAGAGGTAGTCCGGTGGGCGGAGCCTGAGACGCGGCGAGCACCTCCCGCGGCGGGGACACTCCAGCAGAGGAATTCTGCGTCGAATGTTTTTTTTTTGTTTTTTTCACAGCGTAGCTCAAACGTTAGCCAAATGCTACATACATACACGACTGACACGTTCGCTCTCAAGCTCGCTGACGGTGTCGACGTTTTCATCGAGCCGCTCAAGTTTCACTGCAAATTGTCTGCAACCTCAACGGCGTCATTGTCTTCGATGACCACACGGATCTCAAATCTCGACAAAAAAAAAAAAGGGTTCAACTTTAACGTGAAGTGAAGCACGATGCTCAACGTCTGAGATTGAAGTTGATTTGTGAGTTTCTTAATTCTATAGTTCCGTAATGTTGTAAAGTTTTGTGGTAAATACTATAGATCCAAAGTAGAGATCCAATAAGAGTGTGTAGTGTGTAATAAACCTTCACTATCTAATTTAAAGCTTGATTGAATATATTGGGTATATCAGGGTTATTGTTGACTTTAATCATTCATTATGAGTTTCTCCAGCGGCCGATATCTTTGTTGTTGTGTTCTGTTTTACTACGCTCCGCTTTTTTTTTTTTCTTTTTTTTGTCTGAGAATTACATAAATCTAATATAATGATGATTCTGAAAAAAATATGAATTGCTGTAATGAGAGTTAATACAGAGTGAATCTGCACTAGCCGCATTTGTTTGTTTGCCACTTGTCACGTCTGAGGAGGCGTCTTTGTGAATGAGCTTTATCTCTGAATTCATTCTGGGGACTTCTGGACTTTGTGGGTCGTCTTAAGTGATTCCTCATGAGTTCGTAGTTGACCTGTGAACCACGAGGGCTTTTAGGCTCCCGTGCTTCAGTCATCTCCATGTTTCCACATGGCGTGAGGGCGGATTGATTCATAGTCAAATGGATGTGGGATGAAGTAAAGGTTTTCGACATGGCCTCCAACTTTTGTTTGCAACTATTCCACGAAATTCCACAAAATACTGTACATGTGAATGTTCTGAACAAAGTCTGTATTTATTTCTAGCTCTGTGTGTTTGGGCTTTTATATGATGTGTGCTGGAAGTGTATCTTGTCATTTATCACCTGTCAGTATCCTGTAATTTACCAACTGAAGCTAATAGAGAAAATTTCAACATCGTCAAATAATGCAAACGGTCAAGTACACTAGTGAAAATCAGTAATCGTGTTAGAACTGTAAGTTGAAGCAAAAATGATTGACATAATAAACACTCTAATAATGGCCTCTGTTATTTGTAATGCTTACATTAATAAACTGCATAATCTACAACTCCTATCCCATCTTTTAAGGAGAGCCTTTAGTGTCCATCGGGATGCGATGGTTCCCTTCCTGCGGCGCTGCCGTCCATCCTAATGATGCTGAGCCGCGAGCGGGACGCTGTCAGATTAATTACTGCGTCTCCCTGTGCGTGATCAGGTTGAGCTGGAGGAGCTGGGAATGACTCACTACAGCTTTGGTGACTCACTGCTTTTGTTTGAGACCACTTTTCCTACCGACTACGTGATCGAGCTGCAGCTATTCTTCCTCCCCGTCGTCAGATAAACTTGCACCGATCTAATCAGGCATCGTAAACTGAGTTTAAAACCTACAGTGTGGATCTGGTCTAATATGTGATGTGGTTATGGGGGCAGTTTTGAGTTCACGTTTTGGTTTTATCGCAGCTCGTGTGTTTGACCATTTTTAACCTTTTATATGCTGTTTTTTTTTCCTTGCACAGCTTTGTTTCCTCCTCCTGACTCATTCATGACCTTCACCGCTGCTCTCGCTGACCCCTCCCGTGATGCTGTGGCCTTGTTAACCTTTCGTATAAAACACCAGCCGCTCTTCGCCCCTGTGTTTTGTTTTTTTCTTTCCCCCCTGTGCCAAATTTCCCTGACCTACATGGCCTTTCTCCCGCTCTGCGTGCGTTCACAGAGACTTCATTCATGCGCATTACAATGGCTGGCAGGGCCTCTTACTAATGTTTACTTTGCATGATGATTGACAAGACGACGAGAATTAAAGTAATTGTGGTGACAAGAGGAGATGCTGATGAAATGTGCTTGTACATGAGGAGGGACGTTGACTCTTGAGTAGGAGAAATTCAGATCATGAACGGCCTACGGTGCATTTAAAGCTGCTTTATTCGGATAAAACGTCCATGATGATTTCTACGGCATAGCTCCGGAATACCTGTTTAGAGATCTCTTGAAACTTTACAGTAATAGTTCATAGGGCTTTTTTTTGTTGTTTTGTGTGGAAACACATCTAACAAATCTAATTTTCTAGGTATTGGGTTCTGTATAAAAGCAATAGTGTGTTTTTTGGCTGTCGGAGTACATTGTTTCTAGACCTCCGTAAACACTGTATTCTATTCCACACAGAGTTTGGCTGGTTTTAGTGGCTCGTTATATCGTCTTCATCCTGGTTCATTTTAGTGGGACCACACTGAAGAAGTATTCTCCGGCATCTTAGCGGATTTTGCGCCACGTACGTTGACATTCAATGCAATCCAGTTCCTCCAGCCCACAGATGTTCTTAAATTCAAGAGTAAAAAATATACTCTACTTTTATTGATGTACATTTTCCATTATTTTTTTTTAACTAAAGTAAAGTAATCTTCTCTTCACCTCTGCTCCAATATATTTGGTCTTCATAGACATTTTCTGTACCCGGCTCTTAAATTATTTTCTCTTCTCATTTCTCCGATTGTAACGTAAATAGTTGTGAAAATGAAACGCTGGGTTTCTTCGTCCGTCCTTTTGTCAGGTCACTTACCCGTCTACAAAGAGGGGAAAATGAAGGGGATAGAAAACCCATTTGGGGCGTGAGCCCACGAACACACACAAGCTAATATGAAAGATATATTGAGTTGACTTTGAGTGTCTCCCTGTGTAAGAGCAGAAAATCAAACACTGTTCCTCAGGGACAATGCAGGCGTTCCTTCGCTCTCTCGTGATGACAGCGCGTTGTGTGCAAAGAGCTTTCAGCCCCACACAAACCCAACTGAGCCGAGAAAGAGGTTCACAAATCTTTATGGCATGTGCCGTTTATTGCAATGTGCTAATAAAATTGTATTGCTTGCTACATAAAACTCCATCGAGCATCGTTCGTTTGAGATCAGATCAGAATGCATAAAAAGGGTAATTTATTCACTTAAAACCAATGCATGCACTACAAATTAAAGTTATTTTCCTCGATGTAATGGTCATAATGCCACCTTTTCCCTTCACGTTTTACTGAAGCAGCTAATTGGATGTCAGACTTGAACCTTCGCGACCACCCTCTGACTATCTTGTTCCACCAGTCGCTGCCGATTTGTCGCTTGACTGACGGTGCTCGAGCGGAGAAAGTGTCGTGACCGGCGGTAAACACGAGCAGGCGGGAGAAGCCGCTTCGTGACGCATTGGGGCTCCTCACGCAGCAGAGGGAGAGGCTGTCGACTCCGAGGTCAGCCGCTGTCACTGTATCAGCAGATGGAATAGGGAAGTTTTAAAGATCGATATTTCCTGGGCAGCTATGTAAATAATCTGAAATTGATACAAATGTGAGCTTTTAGGATCTAATATGAGTAATAAAATGCATTTTGTTTCACGTTAGCATGTGAAAAACTAAGCAAAAATGTTCTGTTTTTATTGCTTTTATACTTTTGGCAGTTGATCAGGAATAAAGATCTTCTAAGGTTGACTTCAAACAATGCAATGCACGTATAAATGTTCACTCGATGCAGCTTTTCACTTTAAAAATGTTTAAGAATTATTTTTAGGTATTAACTTGTACTTTATTACACCATCGGTCCTTCATTCCTGAGCGAGTGTGCACCTTCTGACTGTCAGCGGCTAATCTTGTCTATTCTATCAGCATCATATTAAACATTATATATTCATATTAACCCGTTATGGTGCGCTTTTTTTTTTTGGTATATAGGCTACAACTTTCTGGAAACACCTTTTTGTTGCGCGTTTTATTCTGCCATTTACCTTCTTGCACATTTCATTTTGGTTTTATAACATTTTTACTGACATTTTATTATGAAACATTGTATTAGTATCTCTTGGCATTCTATACTATGACATTTGTATAGCAATAATTCTATGACATTATTATGTCACACAATATGATTAGAGTTTTACGGTGTTGTTATGGTAGACTATGCTATGCGTCTAATGCCGTTTGTACCGTAAGTGTTCTATGAAACCTTTTCATAGAACACTACACAAAAACATTTCCTGACACCTTTTAATGGAATCCTGTATTTCGCTCATCTGCGTTGCATACAAATGATCATTGGATCCCACCTCCTTTATGCCGTTGCGCTTTCAACTCCTGACTCTAAACAACTGTGTTTTGAGGCGACTTTTTCGTAAAACCCAGAATATTTATTTGATTTTCATATTCTTGCATTGGAGTCATTTCCTGATAACAAAGGACTCCCGTTATCTACGCCCAACAAGTGAGCCATGGACTTAATTTCCTGGCTCTCGCCCTCGCGTGTCCTCGCTTTCTCAAACCTGCAAACAGCGATGACTGTGGAGCAGCGAGAGCGATAACGGACGAGTCTTTGGATTCCATTTGCTGCCGTATCTCACAAATGCCTCGTGCAATATGCAGATATATCCGATGAGTGTCATGTGAATTCCAACGTATTGTTGACTAAAAGTGTAATAAGCGATGCAGCGTTCTTGTTGTTGCACCTCGTGGTCACACACACTGTGCGTATCTGTGTGCATGTATCGTCAGGATAAACTAATATAAAATACGGTGTATATATATATATTACCAGTGTGCAGGGTTGACCTTATTCATCACAGTGCAGACAAACAATCCACTCTGTGATTGAGAAACATGTTTGACCTTCAGGTTTGAAACGCACGCTAACTGTGGCTGCCGCTTTAAATCACGTTAACGCCGTCCCGACTGACCTCTGGCGCTCGGGGTCAAAGATAACCACGCGGCTTTCGACGTACGCAGCGGAACCCCGTGTTTTGCCCTTCGGGTCACGCTCGTAGCGACGGAACGGAGCACAACAAACTGCAGAAGGTCCCCAATGTTCCACTTGATCAGACGCCGTTTTTAACTGGAGGTTCTTTTTGAAGAGACGACCTGATCGCTGACAATGGTTTGAACTAAACGTCCAACTTCCACTGCAACAAAGAACGAATAAAACATGATCACCTGACAAGAAAGAGGCCGCTTCCTCTCTTTTAGCACTTGTATAAGTATCTCTGTCAAGAGAGCCACCAAACAGTGAGCACGGTGTTCATATTTTTACTTGATGGCAAAATGATGAGCCGATTTTTTTACCACATTTACAATGTCCCGATTTGTCAAAGGCTCCTCAACGCTGCTTTTAGTGATGCATCTGTGTACTGTACCTTCCATTTGGATCACTGGGTTCTCGTCTGGCACGCTCCCCTAAGCTTTTTCCCCGCTTCTCATCACTCAGAGGCGAGCCGCGGCCGACATGTCGGGCAATTTAAAGAAGTGAAACGGAAGGCGGCGGCGGCGGCAAATGAACGGGTTTAACAGGTGCACGGCTAACCTCATTCCGTGACAGCTGCTCTTTGAACAGCAATTTCGCCTTTTGCTTTTGTGTGCGAGACCGAGACGCCGAGATGTATAGCAATACGTATCAATCCCAGTGACACATTCTGTCACTCGGGTGTATAACAGGTACGCCGTGGGGCGCACACGCCACTGAACGTGTCAATTACCCGGTAATGCTCTTAGCTGGGTTTAAGAAGGGATGGTAGATATAATTCCAGTTCGTCTTTATTGTAGTTTTTGGCTTTAATTTCTTTGGGATCAGAAAACATCAGTCTCACCGGAGTCCTATGGAAGACATTTCTACAATGAAGTCTGATGGAGCGAAAGAAAAACCTGCTTTTTATGTGTGTTTACTGAGGCGGGATTAGTGCTCATGACAAAGAGCCTTTTTAACCAGATCCAACTACATACATGTTTGCTAGAAAATGCTTGATTCCTTAATGTTATTATCTCCAGATAAACATATCTTTCATATCTGTAAAGGAACTTAGCATTCAGCGTTTGCAGTAATGCTCACCAATAGAAATAATCAATGTTTTTATTCTAGATTTAAATGCAAATCCAAATGTCAAGGATAAAAGTTTGTCTACAAGATCCAAAAAGCAACAAGCGCTAATAATCCTTCATTAGTAGAATGTGCAGTGGTTACAAACACCCACCCAGCAGCACTCGCCAAGGTAATATAAAAAAAATCAGTCTGTTGACATCTGCCGTGAAGCACTTTGAACAAGATGACCCTCAGCCGTCTTGATTGCCGCCTAATGTTCCGTTCAGGATCGACCGGCGTGAATCACGAGGCTCCTCATGGTGGTCGTCCGGAGGGTTCCAGGGCGCGTGCGTGCATGCGGGGAACGAGCAGATGGTGCCGACTAACTGAGCTCCAGCAGCTTTTATACTCTGCAGACAGAGAGCTCATACACACACACACACACACACACACACACACACACACACACACACCTACTTCGGCCGCTGTTATTTACACATTCCCGCCGTCACGTGAGCGGGATGCTGTTTTTTTAGGGCGAAACCCGGGAGAAGGACCTCGGATGCACTCGGATAGTCTGAGCACGTTCAGCTCGGTCCGTGTCCGCTTCCTGTCTCCTGTCGTACCAGGGCGCCGTGGTCCACGATGTCTCAGCTTTCAAATGTCACGAAACGCCTCCTGCGGCCCCGTGGGCTCGACCTGAGCGTAAGCCAGGTGAGGCAGTGATGGTGTGCTTTGGTAACGGTGCCGCAGGCTGCAGTAAGCGATGCCTTATCTGTGCTTGGAAGGGGACTGGCTGTCGCTTTGCAGCCTGCTGAGGTACGAACCCCGAAGGGACAAACACACACTTCCCGTTTAGGTCTGTGACTTCCAGCCTCAGGACACAAATGGCCTTGAAGTTCCACAGTGTGTGTGTGTGTGTGTGTGTGTGTGTTCACACACATCAAGGTTGTAGATATGTATATATTTTTTTTTTAAAGAGAAAGGAGCGTGTTTGGAGCCGATTCAGACTCCTCCTTCAAACCTGGTTGAGTTCACACTGTTTGGGTAATGAAACGCTGTAGGTCGGTGCTCTCTCGCTGGGGTGGGACTCCTCATAAAACGCCTTGAGAGCCGCGGTGAATCCGAGCATGTCGCTCGTAGACGTTAACGCGGCGTTTCACGAGGCTCAGCGGCCCCTTAACTTTAAGCACTTTGGCTTTTTCCGCGTGTCAAGGAATTACAACACTGGGAAATATCTGCACTACCGCCCAGTAGATGTCAAAATGTGCGGCTCAAAGGTTACGGATGCTTGTGTTTTAGTCACATGGGAGCAGAGATGGTTGTGATTGGTGGAGCTTTCTGAAGCAGACATTCAGTGTGGACACATTTCACAAGACGATGACCGCTCACTAACCCCGACCCTCAACCCTTATTTCAACGAGACCTCCTGCAGTTTAATAGGACAGAGAAAAATATGCGAATGAAACAAGACTTTGGGGAACGTCAGAGGCAGAAACGCGTTCACATGTGTACTGACAAGCACGTACTCTATCAAGGGCCCCGATGATTAATGATTTGCTTCATACGTGGCATTAGTGTACAAATTAGCGAACAAGGATATCTGATGAGAGGCGGCTACACGGCGGCGATCGTCTGGGACGTGTGAGAAAGCAGACTGACACGCTGACTAACTAAGAGAAGAAGTCCTTTACCGAAGAAGCAACATCAGGTCGACGCCGTCGGCGTCGCGCCCAGCAGCCGGTAAATATTATCACAAGTGGATCTGTGATCTGCTTGGGCCATTGTTTTGGCACTTGTGTTAATATCACGGGTTTGAGAACACGAGGCTCATCTGACGTGTCGCATTGGAGTCACTTCACTGAGCGATTTCTACTCCCAACGTACTTCTGGTGGGACGCTGATTTCCTCCAGCTGCAAAAGAAAACCCCCATTGTGAGCAATTTCTAAACTCAATGAAAACCTTGATTGTTCTTTCCCTTTAAAATGTAACGCAGCAATTAATCAGTTTATACTTCATCTTCATATCTTGAATGTTCAAGCAGAATTGGTTGAAATTTTCCCTTTTATATTCCTTCACATCCCCTTTTTTTTTTTTTTTTTTGGATGTAGTGCTCCGGCACTCTGCAAAAGCAATTTTTAAATGCCTGAATGGCGCTGCTGCTAAATCTCATCACGACTCAGAAGCCCAATCTCTCACAAGCAGACAGACGATGCTGCAGATTAGTGAGAGAGAGAGAGAGACACTCTGATGGGGTGATTTATTTTCTTTAAGACAGCTGCACACACATTTCGTGTCCGTTTATTTGTATAGAGACTGGTGGATATTGGTGGGAACTGGTCGGTGAATCTTTGGTGTGGTGCAGACATAGTATTCATGTGCATAGAAACAGCCAAATAGTAAAACATAAATAAAATAATACATTTGCACAACAAAGAATCAATGATAGGCATATAATTTACATGCCTGGTGACTAGTTAATCCTTTTTAACGATTTGAACATTAGCAGAGCTCCTGGTCACCAGCTGGAAAAGTGGAGGTCGTTCATCATTTATTCATCTTTAATGCAGATTAATCTTTAGAAAATCTTCAGTAAAGCCGAGCACTATATCACCTTCACAGCTGATTTCTGAGACCACATGACACATCCTTGGATTCGTCTGGTGTCCTCTGAGATTGTCGCCATCAGGGAACTTTCTCAAATGCGCTGAAATCGGCGGTTGATATTTTCCCGGGAAAAAGCTCTCGAGATGGAGGCTGTTCAATGCAATTTACGACTTTCTGCTTTTCTGTCCCGTTGAATCTGCCCAAGGAAAAGCCCGCAACAGGAGGATTTGTGGCAATTATTGAGATTTCTTTGTATCGTCATTATTCCTGAACTCCTCCATCTATTGTCTTCATATGCAATACAGTCTGCATTCAATTTCAGACTTTGACTATTTTCATTTAAAGATTCCCTTTTGATGGATTTAGTGTTCTGTAGTTGAAAGGGGAAAAATATTTATCAGAAGAATAACCAAACCGTAGACATCTAAATTCATCATCATATTATTAGAACACCATGGCGGTGAGTGTGCAGGATGACAGTACGTCTCCTTCTGTGGGCTTATTAGCATTCAACACAGCCTGGACTTATTTTCTCTCCCTATAGAAAAGCTACAGTAAAACGTCGTGACATTTATAGGAGAACTTAGTGTGATAATATCCTTCGTTTGTCGTGGGCCACGAGCGGCGATCCACTTTGGAGGGGAATTGTGTGTCAATTCCGTCTCACTCCACACATCTGGTGCTGGTATGCGATTCCATCTGAACCTCTGGAATCGAAAAGGGGCTGCGTGGATGACATTGCCAAGACCCAGGGATTACAAAGACGGCCAAATGGAGTGAGAATTCCATTGTTTTCTCTGGACACTCATTATACAAAATCTCTCAACCCTGAAATATTGAGAAGAATAGTGTTGGCGCAGAAAGTGCTGCTGCATCAGATAATGTTGCCGAAAGGCTTGAAAACTAAGTTTGTGTGGCAAAGGTTGTTCAAAATAACAAATCTTCTTTTTTCGTCTTACTTTAGTTGATAACCTCAAATAAATCATTTAAAAAAATGAAGAATGAAAAGCGTTTTTGTCACCAAATAAGCGGCGCAAATTCTCCATTTTCATCTAAATTCTTGATTTCTTTCTGATCTGCGAACAGCGGCTGCAGCTGGTCTGATTGCAATTTACTGAGTTACACCAAAGGGCCTTTTATGTGTGTAATATTGTGCTAGAAGGTTTAAAAAAAAACACACATAATCAATTTGGTTTTACAAAATGCATTTTTTTTTAATCAGCTTTGAGATGATGCGGGGCCCAGCTGGGAGGGAGAAGGAGACCAACACAAGCCAAAATAAATGACAGGAACATAACAAAAATAGCTGTCAGAGTATTTCACAGTGCAAAAATCTTTCATAGACACGGCGTCTGCTTGTATTTACATGGCATCAATATACAAAATATACAGAATCTGTCTTCCCCGAAACCCAAAAGATCAATAGTACATTATGTTTAACAGTGTAACAAACCACCGTGATAAAGATAAGATTCATACAAAATAAATAAGACACTTTCAAATTAGGGAAAGGGAAAGCAAACCCTTCCATCATCGTAGGACGATGTCAGTCTCTAACATTGATTGTCTCCGTTTCTTCCTCATGGTTCGCAACAAAAGAGTAAACAAAATATAATATTGCAATAGTTTTTTTTTGTTCAGCAGGAATTAAGAGGAATGTTGAATTACGCTACAAAATGAGAACCAGCTGCTTTCAGGTAGTCGGGCTAATGGGTTTCCCACAGGAATGTGGAAGCTCACGTCCTGTAAAGAGCTGCATCCTCTTATAACTGGTTTGATATGATTTGATCATTTAATTAGACCAATTCAATGTTGTTGGCTCGCAGTGGTTCACCTCCCTTGTATATTTATTGGGGATTTTCTTTTTTGTATAGCGCTAATATCTGGTTATTGTCAAAGCATAAAGCACCATGTATTTTTAAAATATAGTTGAATATAGATTAATGATGATTAAAAAGCCAATTACAATTGAGTTTAATAAAATACTGTAAAGATCAACCTCAGAGCCTCGTTCTCACTAAATGTGCAGATTGTATCAGCTTCACTCTGCATGGAAAGAACACATTTTAAACTGTACTTCATGATAATCCTCTAATGTCCCACACAAATCTTGTTATTCCAGTTGACAATGATGATGAATAGAAATAATCACGTACAACGGCCAGTCATCCAACAGATAATAACATACGAGCCCCGATGTAGAGTGAATCTAGTGAGTCTGTGATCAGAACAAAGCGTCTCATCTCATGTTTAAAATTATTCTAAAAAGTGTGAAGATATTTTTATCTTTTTTTTACTAGCAAAGCCAATGAAAAAACAACGATGAAGTGTTGTATTTTTGGTGCACTGTACATAATTTCTGAGTCAATTCTACACAACACGTCTGTTGTGAAATGCATGTAGAATTTTGTCTTTTTGCTGTGGACGACCACAGCGGATAAAAGCATCTCAACCTATTTTTGCAAACAAAGCCTTCTTGTGGTGTTTTTATCGTTATAAGTTAGCGCGTGGTTCTTTCTGGTACGTTGTCCTGCTGCTGTAAATATCCACAGGAGAAAAAGTATTCCCCCAACAAATACACTATATGCTCTTGTTTGGGTAACGATTACTAGAAAAAATAAATGCACTTATAGAACATTATAGATTTGTTGCCTTTAACAGGAAAAAAAATATCCCTTCCCTCAAAGATGCACATTCTTTGTGTATTTTAGCACATAAACAAAGAGTCAGCTGGAGGCTTTATTGACAGTATGCTTACGGCTAACAAATGTACCTGGCTGAATTTCAATGAGTGCTAATAAATGTGCAGTTTAGAAGCAAAACCTCTTTTAGCAAAACAAGTGATTTAAAAAAATAGTGATACAAAGCAAGCCATAGATTATGGCCATCGACGCTAAACTACATCATCAAAAATCCTATTGCACATTTGGGATAAAGCAACAACCAAAATGGCACCAGAGTAACATGGAGGTGTTTGGGACAGATAGTAGGTTATCAACATCTGCTGTCTGTGCAGAATTGTGAGCAATATGTGAACATGTTGACTCTGTGTTTACAGAATGTCATTTTTCACTTTGCTCAGGACGGTTATTCCTGAAAATGCTACCATATTCCTGCATAAACCTGCGCAGATGAAGTAATAGAAAAGTAAAATAAAATGGGGATCGACTAAAGGCCTCTTGTACATGATAAAGGATTATCGTGAATAAAATCTGTGCAGCTTGCACCCTGCAAAGAAAGTGCTTGTTTGTCAGAACCATTGGCACAAATGATAGCATACTTAAGTCGTGTGCGGTGAAACAACACTAGCGGTTGTTCAACATAAAAATACAGTTTTTAATATTAAATGTATTGTGTGCATTTAGCTTCTTTTGGCTTCTGTGTGATTAGAGCGACCGCAAAAAACACAAAGCAGTTGGTGGTGCAGCCGACGATCGCAGGACACACACTTAGTAGTTGGCAAGAATAATAAACAAAATGAAACAAATATTATGTACACAATTCCAGAGCCAAATTGGACCTCTATCGCGATCGTGAGATGAGGTTTGTGGGATTTGTAGATTAAGTGTGTACTCCTCGGTACAGGCGAGGGTTCGGAAGGAATGTTTCTCCTACTTTACCTTAGAAATGATCATCATCACACCATCAAAAAACACCAAACACCGTCCTCACCGCCGCCTTCATCACAGTTATTCCTGCCTCCACTCCGGCACAAGCCTCCGGCACACTGCGAGCGCGCTCACAACAGTTCTTAGCAGCTTCTAGTTTGTGACACACGTCAGAAGCAGCTCTCCTCCCGCGCCACCAGCTCTCGACATCGCAGTTCTCGGGAAAACGAGGCCGCAAGGACGAAGTAAAGTCGATTTAAAGGTCGGCCGTGAAGCTAATCCAATGAGCTCGTCGTACCAGGACCTGCGTCCCGGTGCTTTGGGAAGGGGGGGGGGGGATCAGCCACTGAGGTACATCTCCATCTAGCTCTTCGTCGGGCAGCTCCCGCCCCCGCTCCTCATCCTCCCTACTGGCTCAAGCGTACATGTCTCCCAGCTTCAGTGCCACCAGTTCAGAGTCCTCCGCTCGGCGCCCGTTCAAGTGTTCGCTGTTGCAGTCGTGGTGGTACATGAAAGCGGGTTCCTCTGTGATGGAGGTGGCTGTGTAGGAGGCGGAGCGCATGGAGCAGTGGTCCTTTCGTCTCTGACCCAACTGGGTTTTGTACTGCATCCACTGCCTCTTCAGCGTGGCTTGCACCTGAAACAAACACACGCGTGTCTTAACACAACTGCTGCAGCATGTGTGCTGTACCGCTCAGGTTTCAGTCCCCTTAAACGGTGAGCAAACGTAAACACACAAGTCACGTTTCTTAGAATGGGGACAGGTCGAGAGGTCAGATCATCACGTTTTAAATTGTCCCCCGCTGTACATTCGTCATCTACAAGCTGCGCACGGGGAGTAAGAGCTAGCAGAACTCTCAATAGTCTTTTGCAGGCATCAAGACAAATATTGACGATCGATCTGCTGCATTCTGATGGAACATCAGGAGAAACAACAGAGTCAACGGGGCTCACTTTAGACTTAACAACGAGCTGGTGGAGCCATTCAAAGATTCAAAGATTTTTATTGTCATTTACACACGCCCTGTGTATTGAAATTCTTGTGCTTGCCTTTCCGGAAAGCCGACCAATTTTAAAATAGAAATACAATATTTACATAAATGTACATGAAATAAAAAAATAAAAATGAGGTAAGGATAAGGCAGAAATGAGGTGAGGAGGAAAAGTGCAAAACTGAGCAGGTTGTAAAAGAAGAAACTTAAATGAAATGAAATGTGTGCAATATAAAGTGAATCCTAACAAGCTAAAGTGTAGACCAGTTGTGGATTAGGTGATAGAGTCCTCTCAGCTGTCTAATGGCAGTGGGGAAAAAAGAGTTTTTCAGTCTGGTGGTCCTGCATTTGGCACTTCTGTACCTCCTGCCTGAGGGTAGAAGCTTGAACAGTGAATTACTACACTATATCGTTCACATGGCTGATTGTTGGTGGTTTGCCCTTAATTAATGCACTTATTCAATAGAGCACTTTTATTTCCCCGGTAAGATGGTTAACCTTTCAGACGTTCTGTTAAAGTCAGAATGCAGAAAAAGGCCTAAGTGCCTTTTTTTTTAGAGGACTTCAGCTGCTCGTGACTAACGTTACCAGCGCATTTAAAAAGAGAATAAATAATAAAATGACAATATTCTAATTTATTACGCTTGTTGTTCTGGAGTAAATGATACATTCACTGCATCTCTGGACAGAATCCTTTCATGGTTTTCAGACATAAACCAGCAATAACAAGCCTCTTTTTAGTGTTGTTTTTAATTAATGTATGAATTACTTACTTTATTTGGTAATATGCGTCAACTTAAGCGCACCTAAAAACTCAATGGCTAAATCCCATGACTAACTAACGAAGGCTGGCTGTATTTACATCTTTTTAACGAAAAGAATGTTCCCGTTTCACAGAAGGGCTCTCAAAAAATGTTAAAATCTTTCAAATTTCAGTTGATAAATAGATATCAGTTGAAAAATGTAACATTATCTCAGACGGGGACGTTTTGTGGCGTATGAACATGATTCCTGGACGCTGTACGCAGGGGTAATAATTGTGCGTCTGGGTGTTGGGATTTTCTGGCCCAGCCTACAAGCTGATATTGTCGAGGGACGGATCTGGAGCTTTAGGAATAATGTGTTCTTTTTTTTTTGTCAAATAACTGCAGCACCATTGTGGAGGCTGAACGAGTAAATGTTTGACATTTTTCCTTTGAAGCAGTGATTGTTTATCAAGAACCTGAATTACTAAGAAGAGAGAAACCGCAGCAGTGCCATCGTGTTATTGTGTAACACCAAATACTACGGTAATTAATGTTGGGGTATTAATGAACTAATGATGTGAATTGTGACAGTAATTGTTACACTGAGACAAAGGAGCAGAACGGCCCTGCGGCTCGCATGTAGAAGGTCTTGCTTGATGTCACAAAAACAGCACGCAGACTGTTTGTGTCAATGACCTGAGACCACAATGGGACCATTTGGGAAACAAGGCAGGTCTGTGCAGTTTGGCCTTCACACCAATGAACAGATTTGAAACCCGCCCAAGAAACCCGTGTCCTGATTAAGCGAGCTAAATTGGTCATTATACGAGTGAAGCAGGCAAACCCGTTGGTTCCCTTGTGGTGGTTTGTGTTCATTGATCCCTCATCACCCCGAAAGTGGCCTCATCCTTTAAACACATGCTCTACACGTTGTTTCAGCTCCGTTCATTGTTTGCGCGGTTTACGAGTAGGCCGGCGGCGTTCTCTGATCATGTATGAGCTAATACCTGACCTATTTTCCAGGGCCGAAGTCCGCAGCTCGCCGCTCTGTTCCGGACAGTTCATGCAAGGTATTTAAATCGGCCGTCCCTGTCAGTTTATGAATCTCTGCCCCGTCCCTCTCAGACAAACATCCTTGTCCTCCGCGGAGAGTTTCACATGTTATTCTTAACGCATATTAGCTCGAAACAGAGCAAGAGCTGTGCAGAACTCCACGACCTGCAGAACTTCACACCGCCACGGTGACCTGCTAAAAACGTGCAATTGATCCCTGCTGCGGGTCGTATTGTTGGCGCTTTACTTTGCAGCGACCTTTGAAGACGTCCGTCACACAATCGGTCTATGGAGCTGAGCATTAACCCTCGGCCCTTCAGTAATGAAATCTGGCTCGTTTGTTTGGGTTTGATCCAAAGTAACGACGCACGCAGTCGGACAGCTGAGAGGGGTATTTTAAAGAAGAGTCCATTTTCAGCAAGGCTTTGAAATCCTGTTGAGAAAATTCTATTGATGTTGTGTCTTTGTCGACGAAGAGTTTTTGTGACCTTTTGAAAACACAGTAATGTGTGAACTCCCTGACACCGTAGGTAAGCACACTTAGTTAGTACGTGAGAGTAAATGAGGCATGCTCACCTCTCCGTTGAAGAAACAGAATATTGTTGCCACCAGTAATCCCTGAAAAGCAAAAGAAGACAAACAAAAAGCGATATCGTTCAATATTGATTCGATAAGTTGCTGCACAAAAGCGCTGCTTTTTGAAAGTGAAATTAAAGTAAGGGAATGTGGTGAAGCAGTGAAACCCCTCACAAAAGTGAATAAACTGTGAATTTCATTGACCTCCTTCCTGTTGTTTACTTCAGGGCCTAACTGCTAGCTAAATGTAAAGACAACAATGAGGGAAACATATCTAACATGTAAATCTCGAGTCTGACCGGACCGCATCGTTTCCATTATTATTTCTGACCTTTTATTATTGATTAAGTTGTTACCAGATGTGCAAAATACCTCAACCCTCTTTCCTTTTGAACTCGGCTGCTTTCTGGTATTTAAACAGAACTCCCGCTGAATGCTCGGTACCTGGTAGTGCATGAGTATGTGCATGATGTACTCGTAGACCTCGCCGGCCAGGCGGTTCTCCGGCCTCCAGGGACAAATGACAAACTGTATTCCCAGCAGGGGCACCAGGATCAAAGTGGCTCTCACTGCCTTCATGTACATATTGGACTCTGCCCGGTGAGTGTCTCTCAACTTGGTCACCAACACTCTAATAATATTTAGCAAGAAGAACAGGTTCACCTGCAGAAAGTTAAAAAAACAAACATATTTATTCATTTATTCTGATACTACTAAGAAAATTAACCGACAATATTCTTTTTAGCTGTAAGATCAGAATATTTCTCTGGAACATTGGATAAGCAGACTTACAAGAAGCGCTGCCATTATGGGCCCGTGCACGGCGTACAGCAGATGGGTTTCCACACTCATCCAACAACTACAGAAAGAAAAACACGTCAGTCTGTTCTGTCCGCGGCCCAAAGTACACGTGCACCCGCACACACAAAAAACATAAGGTTCTTCACGCTCTCGCACGCCGACGAGCGCGCGCGTAAACATCTCCTGTTTATTTGCATTTGAGTTTCTGGGACATTTACTCACTTGTCGTCGAAATACTTTTTCCTTGCCACGGCGTGGATGGATGCCGGCACGAGAGGAAAGCCTTGGATGGGAAAAAGATGGTGGCCATGTGAGGCCTCGAGTGAACTCAGGGGGAAATAACACGTCACTTATGCAACGGTAAAAAGTGCGGTCAGTTGTTTTTCAGGACTTTCTCACAAGATAGATTATTCCTTCAGAAACACAGAAAACTCTCTGAAACACATTGGATCGACTTTCCTATTGCAACAGCACGGCTCCGACCTGAAAAACAACACCACATGGGAGAACTTCCTGCAACGGCCCGGTCAAATTTGACATTATGTTTTTAAACAAAATCCATTTGTCTATTTGCAGACACCATTGAGGCGCTGCAGCACATCGTCCACAGATGGACCTGAGCTGCCTCTACAAACACACACACACACACACACACACACGCACACACACGCGCACACACGCACACGCGGGGAACACAGGCCTCAAGGTTGTCCTCCCCGGTTTTATTGACGACCATCCATTTAGCTCCATGGGCTCCTTGTTTGACTGACTGCACCCATTATTCCTGCTTTGAACCAGGTTAAAAACAATACAGCGCTAAGCGACGGGGGGCCACTTTAGCAGGGGGGGCTGTAATATTGCACGACATCGGGTTGGTACATGTCACCTCTGGCTTCTAGATCGTGTTCCGCCTTGTTGACTTGTTTTCAGTGAGCAGAAACTTTATTGAACACACAATAGAATACAACGAACGAATGCAGGTTGGCTCACCCCAGCCCAGGAGGTAGTACCAGTGCAGATGTTGCTCCTCTGCAAACACGGCCACCACGATGAGCGTGTGCAGGTAGATGCCTTCACAGAGCATCCAGAAATAATTGCAGCCAAGCATGTACATGTGTAAGAAGTGCAACACTTTACAGCCAACCTGCAGAGAGAGACAAAACAGGAATCATTTGTTTGAATTGAATAATTTTCATTTTATAAAGACCAAAATGCTCATGACATCAAATCTGGATCCCTGAAAAGGATCCATGTGTGCAAAGTGACACAAATCTACTTTCAGTACACACTGAGCTGTGCTTACAAAGTGCGTGCTGTTGCAGGACAACTTGAACTTCTCGCTCTTGCTCTCCTATTTGCTGGACAGAAGATTGGCGGATTGTGTTTAAAGCATTTTTTTTTAATTCCCTTTTGATACCGTGGAGCTCATCATTGTTTTTATGTTTTGATAATTCTGCTTACAGATAATTGAGCTATTGTTGACATAATAAATGCATCGTCATTGCAACCGCAAGACTATACAGTCTGACTGTGATGTGGGGAACCATGACAACAAAGGACAGGACAGATTTCAGGGTGAAAACCTCCAATGGCAAGTCAACTGGGAAAGACTGGTTTCATGTTGTCTGCTCCTCACTACTGAGCTGTACTGCAAACCTGATTCAAGTTAGAGACAAAATGTCATGTTCTTTGATATTTTTGAAGATCGTTTTAATTATTGTGCCTGCATATGTAGTTATTTTTGGATCTTGAATATTTGTCGGCAGGTCTCTCTGCCAAAAAATATCTAATACTAATGAGGTGCTGAAATCTGTTGTCGTAACGTTCTTGTGGTTTGTGGTACCGCAGCAGAAAGGGAGCAAAAAGGGGACATTCACACAATAGCCGTTTTCCAACCTGACATGAAGAGAAGATTGGAAAAGTAAGGAGATAAATTAGATGCACCTGTGGGCTCGGGGGAAGGAGGAAATCTGCTAACACAATCGGCTCGGAGAGGAACGGAGAATGAGAGCGGCTGAAGAAGGACGTCATTTAAATAAGAATCGGTTTCTGCACACATTACGGTAAATAAAACCTTACGGTAAACAGATTATACAAAACTACGCAGTGCAGCAGGCGATCCGAGGACCGGCTGGTTTCATGATCAGCACCACATCAGCACCACATCAGCACCAATCCACGTTGTTGGAGTGGTGCTGATCTCTGGGCGCAACCTACAACAGTACCTTTGTAATAGTATATTTAGAAGAAATCAGGACGCGAGCCACAGTTCTGAGATGGACAGATGCTGGCTTGCTATTAAGTCCTGCTCTCTGGCGTCTTCTTAGCTCGAAAACACACGATGATTATTCACTTCTAAAACTTTTAACCATATTCTTCTCCCTTAATTCCCCACATTTCCTCTTCCACTCGGGGAATCTGCAGACATGGACTCGTATCTGCGTGCAGTGAGCTCTTCCCGTTTTGACTAATGATCTCCTCCAGGCGCGCAGCCTGAAGGAGATCATGTGTGCGTGCGTCCACCCGCTGCTGATGGCGCATAACGCTGGACCCGCCGCTCCGATATCGCTGATGCTCATTAACGATCGAAAGCTCCAGGGACCTTTGATGGTTGGAAGTCATTCACACTCTTAACATCACTGATCAGCAACTGCTTCAGTTTGGAAGTCAGTCTTCATTTTCACATGCACAGCAGGGTAAGATGACATTGTGGGCATTGTGGTTTGGGTTCACACACCACAGCGGAGGTCAGTGCAAACAGTCACAACTGGTTCTCACTAAAGGTTTGTCGAGAGGCACCGACATTGTTCTGGTTCGCAAATTCAGCTGCATGTGGATGTTTCTCATGTTTCTTGCCTCAGCTTCGGGGGATCCACTCGCCCAAACACTGCTGACTCCGTGTCACCACACCAGAGGCAGAATTAAAAGAGCTTGTAAACTCCAGGAGAAGCAAATCTCCACCACAATCCACTGCTCCTAAATCACCGGGGCAGAAAACGGGCTCATGAGCCGCTGCACATTTCAAAATGTTTCCCAGCAGACCCGCGGGAATCCCCCGGAATCCCAAAACCCAAAGCGGGGCCACGGTGACCAATTGTGTTTTGACATGCAAGTGAGCACATCAGGTCGACGGCGGCGTGTCGGAAAGTGACGGACTTGACAGGAACCTTTTTTTGATGAACGCCAGAGGAGGGGAAAGGGTTTGAAAGCGAGCCACTGCACGGATGTGCACGTCTGTTGACGCTGATGATGACGGCTGCGTCTCGGGTACGTTTAGAGATGAAATACAACGTGCGAGAGGAAGGCAGTCTCGATGAGCCACGATTGGCGAACGCACAAAAAGAAGAAGCAACAGCAGGACGCGAAATGAAATCCAAATCCAGTCGAAGCTTCCGCTGTCTTCTGGAAGGTTCTGGTATGTTTTCGTGCCAGAGAAGCTCCGTCTGAACACTGGGGTCTGATGGGATTGTATTTGGTGCAAGAAAACTTTTAAAATGCTGCTGTTTCGCCACTTTTATCATCGGAAGTTCTCTTTTTTTGTTTTTTGTTTTTGTTTTTGCACTTCAACATTTTTGGAGGATAAATTCTTAATTTTTAAATACACGTTCAGGAGCTTAAATCGGTTTCATTTTATCGAGTTCTACGTCGCGGAAAAGATGTCATACTTATTTCATTTTTTTTATAGCTTAAGAAGAAGCAAGTACAGATTAACAGATTTTCTTTGTTTGTTTTTTTTCCAAAAAAAGGATCGGTCCTCGAAAAGTAACACATGAATTTATGTTCAGGTCCGATAGTGAGGGATTCCTACCAGACAGATTTATCATCCCTACCAAAGCAGACCTCGGGGTTTCAAAGAATTCCTATGATGCATTCAGTGTGTCGCCAAAAATCTTGACAGAAGAATGTAGAAGAGAGCAACATCTGTCTGTTGAGTATCTGTGTCGAGTTATGCCACTGTGAGATTTAATCCTATTTACGATGTACTCAAACGCCTGTCGTACAAACTATTTAGACGACACGCCAGGTCTGTTTGAAATGAGCTATCCTTAGCAAATACGTTTTATGAAGTTTATTTGCAGTTTTAACATTGATGTCCCCGAAGCGGGAGGCCCTCACCAATCTCTTACAATGCTAGTACAAAGAATCACATACCCTGGGAACCACGGATGCCTGGGGAGGTTGGAATTAGCTCATTTATTAACAATACATTGGACCAAACAGAACTTTCTCTGAAATATTATACTTCAACATTCATGAAGACCCCTAGGAGGATTTTCCATGTCCCATTACAAATGCCTGAGGAACTAATGGCAGTCTAGTAAACCTCCTGTGTACTATATGTTTTGTGCTAATAGGCAAATATTATAATGAAAAGATGTTAAAACGAGGTGGCGAATACGGTAAACATACCTGCTCTGTGTTAGCGTCGATGTTGTGTGCGTGTGAAACCATGATTCTTAGTCATTGTGAATGGACGTGTGAGAGCGCTAACAGGTAGACACTCGACAGATGCTGCACTCACCGGGTTCCTGGCAACCACTGGAGGATTATTGACCACTGCCACCAGGTAGATGATGGTGAGGGCCGAGTTGAGCACGAAGGAGCAGAACAGGTTCTTGTGGAGGGTGATTCTTTGGCAGCTCAGACTCCTGCGTGAAGAAAAAAAGGCCAGATTTAACGCTCTGTAAAAATATCGAATGGTTCAATACTTGATTATCATCTCAGAATTATTTGTGGTTGGTAAACTAGAAAAGAAAATCAATGAGCTTTTCTCATGATGGGTTATCATACCAAAAATACATAATAGATCCCAAGGGTGACTCCCGTTACACTGATACACAACTACATTACTTGACAATCAAAGTGTAAATATCTGTTAGAATCTAGCTTAAAGAACTTCCTCTAGCTGAAGGAGTTAAAGTAACATCTTGTTATTGCTTATGGAGAATAAGCAATTCTCTGTTGAGCCGTAAAAACCCCAGAGACTCATCAACATTACATTTCCTCACGCCAGAGGAAAACAACACGTGCAACTTTGCATTTTCCCTGACTTATTCGGAGGCCGTGGATGTCTCGGGCGGAGAAACCTCTTGTTTTTGCCCCAGACATAAAAGGAATTGCAGGAGCTGCTGAATGCTTGTGCATACTGGGTTTTACCCCAAATGGGATGTCGAATCCTAAAGGCAGCGTTTTTGGACTGTCCCACGACCAAACATCTTCAACCGACTGTTTTTCTATGGTAAGCTTGAGTACTTTTAACGGTGTTAGTGCAGAGTTGTAAATAACAGAGTAGTGCAGCTGTGGCACATTGCATACCAGTGTACGCTCCACATCTGGATCTTATAATACAACCTAATCCTCCAATATATCAAGTGTTTTAGCTATAAATAGGTCATGGTTCAAAGGAAGGAAATATATAAAAGATTTTCTAAGCCAATAACTTGGTTACTTTATAAAGATCTTAATTATCGTGACTTTGAGTTGTTAATGTCCTGCTGAGTTTCTGCACGGCGAGTTAAGAGCTCTCAGTGGGTCATGAGGTTTTGCAATAACGCACCTGCCCTAAACATGGCCGTGAGATTTACGAGTTTGCATAAAACTGTGCAGCAAACTGAGGGTCTCGAAAGAGATCGGTTTTGAAAAACATCTGCGTTTAGGAGGTCAGGCACATATCAAATTTTACAGCTGCAGCGTTCATGGACAACAGCACCTATAAAGAACCTTTTCCAAACACTGTAACAAAACAAAGCCGATTTTTCCCCTTGACTCAATATTCAGGTTTCTTCATAAATATCTGTAGAACTATAAAACGTACTTTATTTCATCAACATCCAGTCTGCCAACCTGGCTTTCTCACTTCCAAACTTCAAAATTCATCAACTGAATATTACACCCTTCCTATATTAATTAGGAGTATCTCCTTTAAACAAGCACTTTGTCCCTTTGGGATTATCCGTCGGATGAACGACCTTAATGAGCAATGCAATAATGTGCACGTTTGTAAAAAAAAACTAAAAGCATTCAATCGACGACATGGCTCCAGTTTTGAATCTTAAATATCCATGGAATAAATGTGCAGCACCAGGAAACCAACTTGGCATGAAATTAACGACAGTTCAGTTCTGTATAAATTGACACTCAGTGAAGCAGTAGAACTAGTTTCAGGTTTACAGATCTCACTAATTAGCGAAAGTAGCTTAGATGTTAATACTTTTCTCATTACTGATTTCAGTTTTAATTTAATGCAGTGTATTAGTTTAATCAATTTAACTTGCCGCTGAAAGGCTCTTAGAGTGAATAAACAATCAGCCCTCTTGATTACATTATAAAATGTGACATCAACACTGAAAAACGTCCCGTGTTGCTCCAGTGTTTACTGGTGTGGAAAAGGGCAGAAGGGATGTCACTGACTGCACATACGGTCAAGACCAAAGTACTGCCTATCATGAGCGATGCAATAGACTGTAGTGAAAGCCCAACATCATACGTGGGATCCTTTCATAATAGTGCCTGAAACTAAATAGCACTGATTGAGTGAATCACTATCGATGAATAAGAATTAGGACTGTCTGTGTCGGCTCCCATCTTGGTACAACCATCCTGCAGTTTTATTACAATGTTATTACAACATCATCAAACCAGTAACTACTGTTGCAGATACGTTACCAATTAATATGTGTTACCTGAAGTAGAAGAAGATGGCCAAAGAGATGAGCAGGGAGGCTATGGATAAAGCGTGACCTACAATTGCCATGTAAAACAGGATGTACGCCGACTGTAAAGACAAAGACAACATATAGGAACCATGTGGCATCACTACATTATATGGAAAACAGTACTTGGAAAAAACAAACATTTGACACGTGACACTAAATAAAATGACATTTTACATTGTTACGATGAGATCAACTCTCAATGGGGAAGAAATAAAAACAACAATAATAATCTGCAGTCTGTGACGGTAAAACGACATTAAAAAAAACTCTTTGCAGAATGTTGCTACAACATTACATTACAGGTCATTTAGCTGACGCTTTTATCCAAAGCGACTTACGTTACACTTTAAACCCATGGCTTTTTTTTACATTTTGCCCGGGGAGCAATTAGGGGTTAGGTGTCTTGCTCAGGGACACTTCGACTCGAGACATGGGACAGACATGTGGCAGCGCACCCGCTCTACCCCCCTGCGCCACGACGACCCCTACAACTACAACAATAATATCAAATCTCAGTTGAAAGCTAAAGCTTTGGTCAGTTTGACTAATTTCTTTGACGGTTCCAGAAGCTGAGAGGTTTCGTCAGCAGAGATCAAGTTTCCTCGAGGGACCATTTTATCGTTATATCATATACGGTCTGGCTGGCGTAGGACTTGCCGCTAGTGGCTGCTGGTGATAAGGAGGCTGTTAATATGTGACGGTGTCAACACCAGGCTGTTTGTAAGGAGACTCCTCCGTCAGGCCTGTGTTTTATGTCAACGACGTTACCCAACAAACAGAAGAGTTATTTTCCGTGTCTAATCTGAGGAGCTCAGATTATCAGATGAATGTGTTTTGAGAAATACAATTGTTGTGTACAAATGTTTAACCGTAATGTAAATAACCGTATTTATGGCCAAAGTGGAACATTTCTTTCCCCTTTCCGCATTTTGCCCTTTCTGCACATGCTCCAAATACCAGTGGACGTGTGGAAAAAGGAAAATAATGCTCAAACATACAACTGTGACCAACATGCAGTATATGTATAAAAGCAAGTCACTTTATCTGAAGAGAATTACCTTCAGCTTTGCTTTAGTGTTTTCGTTGCAGAGTGTGTAGTTGGACCAAGTCCTGTTGGTATCTGGGTGCCGAAACCACTGCCCGTCCTCCCCACAGTACTTGGCAGCTTTTTCTAAAAAAAATAGTCACCGTTATGTAATAAATTCATTTTCACCAAATGTTTTCACCTTCACACAGTTGTGTCTGTGTGATCGGATCCAGTTGGCCCTGGTGAATAATTCATTTTCCATATTCATTTTTCTTTAAAAAAAAAAAAAAGCAGTCAATAAAGCCAGATTCATCATTTACATCTTTAATAAAGAGCCACTCTTGAGTCTTTCTGCTCACCTGTCGGGTCGAAATCGACAAAATAGTTGGGGCAGTTCTGAGAGGTGTAAATTCCCGCCGGGGTGTCGTCCCAGCAGAGCCAGCCGTCCCAGTTACGACTGCAGTGCAACCCTGCGATAATGCCACACGCAGCAGGTCAAACACTTCCATCGTTTGGCCCGTGACGGCTTGCGGTGGATAACACCGTTACCTGATTTGTTGTAAGGGACGTCCCGATTCATTTTCTCAAAGCATTTGTACTGGCTGTCAAGGATTTTCTTGCTCACGATCTCCTGTTGCTCTGGGTTACCCGCCGGGCCGACCGTGGCCTCCTCGGCCGACTCTACTTCGGTGTCCCCCGAGAGCTGCGTGGCTGCCTTCATTCGACCCACACACGCACACACACACACACACACACACACACACACGCACACACACGCGCGCAGGTTACGTCATAATCAGTCAGGGTTGAACAACGAGCGGTGGGACTGAGGGCGAAAAAGAACGACGTGCAATCCATTCGTTTTGGTTGGCTGGGAAAGAAACGAAGAAATGAACCATGCGGGTGCTGATGTCGGCGTTTCTATGATTCTACATTAACACGGCAAATCACATCAAACTTGTATTGCTCATTTCGCTTGTTGAACACTGTATTATTATTGAACTCATCCCATTTGAAATCACTTTGGTTTTAATGACATTATTAATACAATTTAATTAATACAAGTGTTTTTCCAGCCTTTTACCTCGTTAGTAGCATTTGTCTGGCTGACCCTGTGGGATAATTAGGCTCACGATAGCTTTAATCTGCCTTTGTATGACGGTGTCACCAACTTACAGACTGTACAATAAATCCTGCATAGTTATTAGAGAACATCAGGACACGTTACCTTCGACCTCTCCTCGGTGTTGCCAGCACAGAGTGTATAATTAGTCCAAGTCTTATTGCTCTCTGGATGTTGGAACCACTGCCCGTTTTCGCCACAGTACTTAGTGGCCTTTTCTAAAAGAGAAGAATTATGTCGTCGATTAGAAATCCTCTAAATTCCCACAACTGTGTAGGTGTGAGCCGCTGTGTTCCCGTAGGATCATCAATCCTCACAGCAATTTTAAAATCAATCTTCTCTAAATACAAGATGATCATTTACAATTAAATTAAAAACTAAATCAGCAGACCTCTAATACGGTAGCTAAATACTTGAGAGAAGCTGCTCACCCATGGGGTCAAAGTTGAACAGATGATCTGGACAGTTTTGGGAGGCCAAGGTTCCCGCCGGAGTGTCGTTCCAGCACAGCCAGCCGTCCCAGTTACGACCGCAGTGCCGCTCTGCAACGTCAACAAAGCCCCAGAATCAGGATGGCGAATGTTCTTCATTCTGTCCTCCTACTTCTCTGACGGATTCACGCGGTACGTTTTGGTAGATGGTGTCAGTACCTGATTTGTTAAAAGGTGGGTCTCGAATCATCTTCTGGTGGCAAGAGTGCTCATTCTCAAGCATTTGCAGTTTCTGCAAACAAAAAACAAATATTGTAATATGCATAAATTAAATTAACAGTTTGATTCAAATATTCATCACTGATAATTCCTTGTAACCCACAGAGCGGCGGGTCAAACTGAACGAAAGAAAATGTTTAAATGCGGGTTCCTTTGAAAAGGATGGTCTTCTGATACAGGAGACAACTGTTCACACAACAATAGGTTGTAGTGCAAAATCGGATCATTTTAGAAAGAAGTGATGAACTGTTTTAGATCAACAATAGACGGAGGTGTTATACAAAAGGATGATTCCTCAACAGCTTTTTTGGGAGTAACACTAGTTTATGCAGCAGATCGTTTGAGTTTTGCCATGTGACTCACTTTAGTAGCTGCACTTCTAGTTTGGAATAAATGGATATGATGTTGTGCCCTAAAACTACTTTGTACCATTCTAATGGATAAAATATGAATGCCCCCATCTCGTGCCTTAAGTACGAACCTTTACATGTTGTCTGGCTGACCCACTGAAATCACAAAACCCAAAATCACCCTGCATATGTTCTTAGCATTGGAATCCATGCACCAGGCATTATTCAACCTACATTCACGTGGTTTAATACCTGATGGGAAGTTTACGTGATCAGGAACATCTTACCCCCCGTCTCTTCTCATGGATGGTCGTGCAGAGTGTATAGTTGGTCCAGATTTGAAGGGACACTGGGTGACGAAACCACTCACCATCTTCTTCACAGTACTTGGTCGCCTTCTCTGTGAACAGCAGTTGTGCGATTAAATCCAGGCACTTCAAACACAGTCAAAAAAGGAATAAAGGGTTGAATTGGTCAGGCGAGGGTTGATAGGAAATAAGCAGAGCTCACCTGTGGGGTCAAAGTCACCAAAATAATTGGGGCAGCTTTTGGAGGCGTTGGTTCCCGCTGGCGTGTCGTCCCAGCAGAGCCACCCGTCCCAGTTACGACTGCAGAACAGCCCTGTGACAGTAGAGGCCAAGCTTTTAACTCTCGTCGTGCACATGTCACGTTGATCAGTAGAGTCAAAGCATCCGGTGGTGGATCAAAGTCACTCACCAGTGTGAGACGATTTGTTATAAGGTGGATCTTGCCTCATTTTTTCAGAGCATTTATTTTCATTCTCACGGATCATTTTATCCACAACACCATCGGTTTCTGCATTAACCCCGGTGACCCCGGTGGCCGGCTTCAAGTAATAGGGAACTTCCGTCTAGGAATGAATGAAAGACAGTGTGAAAATGAGTATACAGACGGGTGCCACTTGCTCCATCTTTTTCTCACGTTTCTGAAGGGGAAAAGTAAGTAACCAAATACCTCTAGTTGGTTCTTTGAAGCCGGTTGACAAGTGGACCCAATCTGAACCCAGTTACCCAATTCGGCACAATATTTGGTCACTTTCTCTGTAAAGAACAACACAACATGCTTTAAAATCCTGAAAGCTCCAAATATCAAAGTACTCATAAGCACATTATTGCTTCCATTCGACTGTTCTTTCTCCGTTTGTTTTTCAGCATTATCCAAACGCAAAAACTGGGACCTAAATTATTAGCATTACCGAACAACTGTGATTTATTTAACTTGGCCTACATTATCACAACACTATGTCAAACAGAAAATACCCTATTTGGAGACATCTTCTGGTTCTCAACAGCAAGGTTTGAAACCACATGCAGTGCAGATCCATGACTCGGGCTAAGACATCAGCATCCGTAACCCGACTGCCTAGTCTTCACCAAACACCTCGTGAACTGTTCGGCATCCACATCCAACTGCACGTCTCCCCCTGAAGCCTCATATCAGCGGCATTTGCTTTCAAATAAGGAGCCATAAGAGGACGGCTAACGTCAGAGGCAGTTTGGGGAATATCCATAATGAGCCGTGTCTTACATGAACACCTGCTCTCACTTTTCATGCATATTCCCTCTCCCAATCCATCTCTCTGGCTCTGACTTCTCCTTGAAAGACTCTTTTCTTTTCCTTCTCTTTTTGTCTCCATATACCCTTTAGCTCATCTCTGTCCTCTCCCTTAACCCCCCCCCCCCCTTCCCCAGTCCCCACTCCATCACATTGCATCTCCTAAATCAGAAATGACTCGACTCTGGATCGCTTCAATCAGACGTGATTGAGCCCAATTCACAATGCAAAAACTGCTCAATATAAATGCAATAAAAATACATGTCTGTTTTTTATTCAGACTGGTTGGTTAAAGACACCGATTTGCCTCGCATCTGGTTCATGAATGTCTTGTTCTGGCCATCTTTCGCACTTACTGCGATGCAGCTCTGTTTTGAGTTAAATGCTACGGTTAGCTTGCTAGCATGCGGACAAAGATTCAAACACCCCAAAATGTAAGAATCTGAGCAGCAACACAATTTCTTGAAGAACTAGACCCTCCTTGATGTACACATTTCATTTGTTACTAGTCGACTTGTATTCACACAGCTGAGCAATGAGCCAGTGCATGTGAAGGATGTTTACAACAACTAATGCCAATCACAGCGTAATAACATTTTAAAACCGTATAAACATGTGATTTTACTGTATTATGAGTTGATACATCCTCAAAACCATCTCTGACCTGTCCGTTACATGTGAAATACAAAGAAACTCCTCCTGGCTCCCTGAAGCCCTATGATGGCCCAGTAGGCCTTTCTCTATCACACCATGAACCTTGATCTCCCTCATACAAACAGAAGATTGGATCTTTTTCTCTTCTTCCTGCTGAGCTGGAATTAAAAACGTATGGGATCTTGTTGTTGTGCGTCTGTGTGAGAAGGGTTCATTTTTCTTACCGGTCGAGTCCCGGTCAGGGTGATCTGGACAGTTTTGTGTTACAGATGTCCCAGCTGGGGTCTCATCCCAGCACAATAAACCATCCCACATGCGTCCACAGAAGGTACCTTGGAAAGAAAATGTAACACTACCATCACCTTGAAACAACGACATCAACCACATTCTGCTCCAAAATCCACCACCTCACAACATCATTGCGCCCGTGATGCTCTTCTAAAGGTAATCCATTTGGCATCCATTTGGCCTCGAAACGAGCCGGGCCTCTCACCGGTTCTGTTGTCTCGGAAGTCTTTTTGGGACGGCCGAAGACAATCGTATTGACCCTCTCTCGGCGTCACACCGTGTCCAGTTGTCCCTGTGTGTCCAGGCATGAGTGATGGATGTGAGAGTGACTCGGGGCCTCCCGCCACCCAGCGCTGTGGAGACGAGGGGGGAGGAAAACCTGTTTGCACTGACTAGAAACACGGCAGCGTGGACAGTGTACACTTGTTGAGTCGACTTTTACTTCACTGCCAAAAATGAGCATACGTCTTGGATGAAGATCATACAGAATTTTGTAATACTTCACAGTTTCGTCATGCTAAGATAAAGGCTCCCTAACGCAAGAATAAGGAATATGAAATGGAGGAATAAGCATGCAGGGTTTTTGAAGCCCCTTCAAAGCTGATCTGATGAGGATTTCATTCCGCTTTGAAATTATAGTCTCTCGCTGTTCGTGTCATCCATCAAAGTGTGTTTTGGAGCTCACAAAAGAATTTAAGCAGCCTATTTCCTCAAAAAGTGAATCCTATCAGGGCTCTATTGTTTATACTTGGAGGTAGCATTAGCGGTGAAGAAGCCAGGAGAGGGAAATGCAGATTTTGATAATGCTCAATGAAGGATAAAAGAGCCCCTTTGTGTAAGACTGGTCTCCCACATTATTTTGGGCTGAAACTTAAGACTCAGTGTATAAGGCTCATTTGCTTGCATTTAGTAAATCATTTTAGGAATGTTAATACTTTTTCCGGGAGAATGTATCTGCATGCTTCCTCAAAACTGAGATGCAAACCTCCTCTCTGCGTCACTTCGACCAAAAATACAACTCTTACCTGTCTGACAAACAATTGTAAAAGGCAAAAAAAAACACCGTAACAAAACAATGGGGAGAATGCTGATGTCCCATGTAGCAGTTTAGCAGCCGTACATATGATGTCACTCCAAACATTGAAGTAAATGACGTCATACATACGACCACCAGGCCACCACCAGTATCGACAGACGAGAAAAAAGATGCCAAGGCTTGGTTCCTCAAATTATAATATCTTCCCGATTCAATGGCAAGAGCATTAAAAAAAGAAGAAAGCCCAGACTCATACAGGAGAAGAGTGTAGATCCATCATGTTGACGATAGATAGCACTTCATATTTGGTTGGAACAAACCACCGCCGGCGATACATTTCATGAAAAGAGACGTACATATATACATAATTGTAAAATGTGATGAATATTACCCAGAGACTTTTATTTTGAAGGGTACTAATGTGGAGTTAAATCTCCAACGTGGCCATGTTTTTTGGTTCAACAGTAATTATAATGTGTGTACTTTGGCGAGTTTCTGCTTCATTTGTTCCAGACTTCACTCTAGTTCCTGTTGGTGTTTTTAAATGTGTAAACATCAGCCATTATCCTTTAGCGAGAGCCTGTGAATGCTTTGTTCCTTTGTAGGACGTTATGATGGTAGAACTGGTAGAAGGAAGTGTTGTGCACAATACATCACAATGCAGAATTAAAATGTTCAATGATGTATATACCATTTTAATGTTGTGTCTTTATCCAAAACGACAAGTTCAAATGCAAGCAAGACACGGTAGACTGTACATCATATGCATAAAGGGAAAATATATAAAACATGCAGAAACGTGCAGCCGTGGATCACATTCTCTCCTTTGGCTCAGTAATAAGAGGAGATAACTTTAAACTTTAATTATCAATTATGGTGAGTAAAAATTAATCATGAGATTTTTTCTGAGAAAAGAAAACCACTAGACCAAATCATATTACATGTCCACTTAATGAAAATAGAATATTATGTTCAAACACATTTGTGCAGCATACATAATGGGTAGAAAGAGAAGGGAAAGTTCACCTTGCAGCTTCCTTTAATTTAAAAATTGCCAGCTTACCACCAGGAGAAACCAAAGCATCCAAAGTGAGTCTGCTAACTTCATATCTTCTTCTCACGGGCAAATCTCTAGAGAGACAGAGAGAGAGAGAAGACAACAACAAGTCACAACTGAACAAACCAATGAATGTTTCGTATCAGGATTATGGCCTCAGGAGAAAACAGGAAGCATTCATTTGAAATGCAAAACACTGTCTGAGTGACAGAGAGAAAGTGCACCGAGTGCATGTGAGATTCAAATTGACTGCAGCTCTATTTGCTTTGGCTTTTCAGAGTACATGTTGTAAGGCTGCGTGGTCCACACCACGCAGCACCCCGGGGGGGCTGATATTTTAACAGATAGCCATGCATGAGCAGGTCCAATAAATCACTGTGAAAGGTTAGCAGGAGTGATTGCATTGACTTTGGCGATCTGATACACACTGATGAGGTCAGCTGATTGACATGAGCATGAAAAATGAACCTTTAAATGAAGAGATTTAAGGCTAACATTGTTGATTTCTGACCCCCAATTGTTTATTCCTCATTTGTAATCAATGATGAATACACAAATAGTATGGTTATTTATGGTACGACCTGAGACATCCTCTTTTTTAAATCTACTCTCAGAATAAGACCACTTTTAATTATCTGATCCAGGCCCAGAAATAGGCCTACTTTCTTCTCCATTATGCATACAAGTAAAGCTAAAACATGTCCGCTAGCAGTTAATTGACCATTAATGAATCACCTTCTATTTTGAATTGATTCATTATTTATGTATCTTGGGTCCCTGCTTAGTACACTGGTTAAATGACCAAACACGTAATCTGAGGACATAACCTTGGTTGTTTAGTGTTTAGTTTAGTGTCACTATTTCTGTAGATTCATTGTTTGACCGCTTCATTTAACCAATCATAAGCAATTAAGTGCAGTAGGCTGCTGCAAAGAAAATACAATGAAGCAACGTGGGATTCACTGTGTTGTTTACGGACACTGCGACGTGTGGACGGGAGGAGCCGAGAGGAAAGCACCAACCTTTCCATCAGATGACAACCGTTCTATCCGTGAGTCACAATCGCCCTGCAGGCCTCCTGTCAGTATTCACTCTCGGTGCTTAAGGTGTCAAAGGCTTTCGACTAAAATAGCCCGACCCGGATGTATCGACAGATGAATTGTTTCAGCTGAAAGAGAAAATAAACGGAGGGCCGTGGAGGAGGAGAACGGATCTATAGAAAGAAAGGATCTCCGTCGTGCCAAGGCAGAGACCCCCCACGAGTCAGTTAATAGTGAGTCACCTCTGGGTGTGAATTAGCATGTGATTTGTCTATATAATAACTGGAAACGGGTAGAAACAGCTATGCAGACTATTTCCAAAGGTACAAAAAAAACAGCCAACCTCACCTCAGGATCACAACAACAATAATACACATTAGAAAACAGTCATATGAATACACTTGGAAGTCACTGATACTCGTACGTCCTTTAATTCTGACTTTTGAAAGGTCATTTTATTTCATTTACATTATGGGAGTGGTGTCTGTGTGGTTCAATTCAATTAATTCCATTACCTATACCCAGTCTTACGTATTTACAGTCTGTACCTCAAAAAAAAAGAAAAAAGATGGTTGGATCGGGAAGTGCGGCAAAGTCCATCAATAATAAATCTGCCGACAGTGAATTTCACACTTGGATGTCTCAGCGGCACATTTATATTTAACTTACAGCGAGGGGAGGTTTGGCGTCTTTCTACTGTGTCTTTTTGTCGTTGCCATTAGCTCTTCATACATCTCTAAACAGTCCCCGCAGCATTTAGCGGCCCATTAGGTCCAGTGTGATATGATCTCAGAGGCCTGGAGCATGTGTTTCTCACTGAAGAGACAAAAGCCCACACGTTGGAGACAAGGAAAAGCACTCTAACGGAGTGAGCGCAAAGCACATGGAATACATGCAAAGCGCCGCGACCGTCTCCAGGAATACCAAGTCAAAAGTCAACCCGTTAAAGCGGGGATTTGAATCTGCTTCCGTAACATTGATTTCTGCTCAGATTCCCAACCACGTTTATGTCCCGTGGTGACTGTCATGAAAGCAGAGCAACCGTGGGAGGAATGCTTAAAAAAAGGGTGCAGTCAAAGGTTTTACTCTTGAATGTGTGACCTTGAAAAGACGTTGATTTACTTTGGAATGAACTTCATAATTTTCCATAGAGTTCTATACTTTACAAAGATACTCAGTCATGTCTGGATGACATTCAAACTTAACACATTTGTATCTCTTTGTATGTTCCACCTACTGTCTGTATCTGTTAAATAAATTCTCATTAACAGTCAACCCCCGATAACAACCGTTTAAATCACGAGTCTAATACAAATCTGTACCTTCCTTTGTAGAAAGCTTTTATTTTAATGACAGAAGAACTGTTTGCCCCGGGGCTTTCTTTTATTTTTCCCAGAAACTCTACACAATCCGAATCAAAGTGTCCCGATTTGATTGATTTTATGAGTTTGGAGGGAGGCGCTTCTCTCTCCCCCCCATCTCTCTTTACCCACTTGTTTGAGCTCCTCCTCGCTTCATCCTTTCCCCTCCCTCTCTTTTACCCGTCATTCCATCCCTCTGTCAGGAGACACAGCCGGCCGCCTCTTCCCCTTCCTGCTGCAGTGAGCGGTCACTGGCACAGCAACAACACAGATCCGGGCTGTCGTCGCGAGTGATGGAGGAAGAAGCGGCTCGATCTGAAGCCTCTGTCTCGCCACTTTGGAGCCCATCGCTCAGTCTGAAGGGAAGAGCCACACGAAACGTGATTTGGCGTCCTGTTCGTGGGGCCGCGACAAATGAGCCGTGTTACAATCCGAGCTGGTGGGGATTAGTTTGACGAATGGACGGATTGTTGCATAAGTCTCGTGTGAATAGGACAGTATTTTCAGTGATCTACAAGTTATATTCAATCTCTGTCCTCAGATACTGTGTTTTACCAACTCTACAACAACACATCCGCAATCACGCGTCCCGTCAGGCGATGTAACGGACAAGGAATGTTTAAAGAGAGGCATGAGGCATATGGTGCACATGCACTCAATTTACACTTTTTATTATACCAATAATACAATTATTATAATTGCAAACATATGTAAGTAATATAATATTATAAGTAACGTCCACCAATATTTTGAACATTTGTGGATATTTCCAATCCCCTTGTCTAAAATAAATTATTGAGCCAATGCCCAAAAAAAGATACGGAGGCTCATGGCCACTTAAATTGAATCAGTTCATCCTTTAGTGGACATTGGTGCATGATGATGAGATGTTGTGTTCTCCAGACTCGGAATGACGTGAGATCACAAACACCTCTTTGCCTCCAAAATATATATAATGTAATAATCTGAACAAATTCCCTGCCAGCAGTTTCTGGGACATCGTGTTCACGTGAATGGATCGGACGGATACTCGTACATCCTTAAAAAGTAATGCCTCCTGCCACAGGCACAGAAAGACGCTCATTGTGATAAAGTACCATTCAGAGAGGGAAGACTCCGGAGAGCCTTACATTGACGAGCTCGTGTAGACTAATCAGTGAGTTTTAACACTTCCAGCGAGAACTAGCATGTTCCAAGAGAATCCTAGCATGTATTTCCTTCCCCGCCTCCAAACATTTCCCAGTTTTCTCTGCATTCTCATTTACCCCCGGGCCTCTTGTCTTTTCCACCTTTATGTATCTCCTGCTGTTTTAATCTATTTTCCTTCTCACCTTATTTCTCGCTCACCCTGTCTTCCTACTTCTCAAGCTCAGCCGCCCCCCCTCCGGCCGTCACTTTTCACCCCTTTCTAGCTACAAACATCTTTTTTTTTTACTTTTCTGACCATCTGAGCAGATACAAGAGATTGAATTACATAACAAAATGCATCATAACAGAAAATTAGGCCACTTTCGGTGGATCGGAGGCCTCACTTTAAAATGCATAAGGCTCGTTAGTAGTACAAATAGTCATAGGTGGTCACACAGCTAAAAGCCCCCCGCCGATAGTAAAAAAAATAATGGAGCTTGTTTAGCTTTGTCAACTTATGCCAGCGTAAACAAATTTTCCCTGTTTTTTTACCGAGTAAGGTAACAATTACTTTTTGATTTCATTCCACTGGATGTTGAATTGCTTCAGTGATTTAGCTTGAGCTCTTATCAGACCTCGATCAAGTGCTCATGAAGCGGCCGCTCGGTCGATTACTTGGCAACGACTCCACACCTGAACCAAGCGGCGAGACTCGTAGTCCATCAATCAATGTGGGTTTTTTTTTTCTTTCGCTAATGGTTTTGATATGATGAAATGAATTGGATATTCATGCCGTCTCTGAGCCCTAAACAATAGCGGCGGATTGCTCACTTGTGAATGCAGGCTGCGCACCACAAAGAGGTTTGCCTGCAGTGAAGGATTGTTGAAGCCTGACCGAAGCGATTATGACAAGGAAATTCATCTCCGAGATGAGCAAACGAATTAAGACGCATCGGAATACGCAAAGCCTTCGCCGTCTGGGTTGATTGGACCGTCGTCACCTCGAGCATGACGCGTATTTACCAACTGGCACTTTGTGCATTCTTCAACCGTTCCATTCTCCAAATTCTGCGCAATGATTACCCCCTCAAGTGGAATTGAGTGTTTATCTGAAGTTGTGCTGGAGGACACCAGCTCACACGCCCCTTTATTAAAAGCTCTTCCCCTCAAAGAGACGTTTAGTGCCTCGGCTCCCCCACATTGCCTGTTGTTCCCCTCTTGAAGGGACGTTGAGTGTGTTCCAGCTGTTTAAGAAAAAGAAGCCTCCCGGCTCCGTGTAAACAGCTGATTAATACCTGCATCGCCACGACGTCCCACACACTTCCTCTGCTGGAACAGGAAGTGCAACTAGACGCCGGTGGGTATCATATCGTCATAGTCTAGACTTCATCCAGATACAGGCCTCGTTATTCTTCCGACTGGCACGGACGCCCTTCGAGTGCTTTGGAGAAACATCATGATGTTAAATGGTGTTAGTCAGTGTTTGCCGCGCAGACTGATGGGAGTCGTCTAACCGTTTCCTTCTCTCTCCGCTTGTGACCGCAC